CGTCGTTATTAGTTTTAGGCAATGAATCCTCTTGGTTTCAAATACCTGCAGATTTTAGACTTTTTTCTTTAAAAAGGCAGAGAGATCCCCAGAATTTTTTAAACCAAAACAAGATAATAGAACTTATATTTTATTTTTAAATTACAAGTTAAATTTATAAAAAAATACCTGTAAAAAGTCATGCTGTGCAAATTGACATTTCTTCTTGAACAGGTATATTTGTACCATATTTATACCAGTTAGTACCATGCTACCAGCAGTGCCCCCTCACAGGGGCAAAGACGCATGAAATTAACTGAACGTTTCACACAAAAAATATCATTGAATTCGAAGTCTACACCCTAGGATTAACGAGAAACTATATGTTCATGGGCAGCTTTACCAGTACTTGTGGAACCCCCCTTCAAAGGCAACATGGCAATGGGTAGAGACAATATTGGGGGCAATGAAAGTCCTTCAGTTATTTCCATACAATTATCTTATTATGTGGTTTCGTTGTTGTAATCGATTGTATGGCTATGTGAATGTAAATGTAGCAAGTAATGACCCCATTTTAGGGGGCAAATACCCCCCATATCTCGTAAATGTCCACTTGTATGACTGAATAACATCAACATTTGAACACTACGCCCCGAATTGACAAAATGCACCAAATCGCATAAACTCCCTCTCTGGATTGTGATACTCCCCCTTATACTGTCGGACTATTTCGACAAAATTATTTTCAATCCAAAATCAGTAATTTTGCAAACTTATTGCCTTACTATTTGCACGAAAAATCGCCAACTGGCAGCTTCATTTTTTGGGTTAAACAATATTGATTGATCTCTAAAAATCTTATAGAATGTAAGAAAATATGATTGGACCAAAATCAGTGAATATGTTTTCCAACAAACAGCATTTAAGAAACTAGAAGCCTAGTTCAAATTTTTTTAAACATCACATAGATCCTAGAAGAACACATTTTGGAAAATGTCGTTAATTTTGTCCAGCCAATAATAGCCTTACTTTTTCACAAGAAATTAGCAAATAGGAAAGTCAAACCTTTTTGCATTAAATAACATTAAATGAAGCCAGGGCCTGATTCAAATTTTTTACGTATTAGATAAATACTAGAAAAGCACATTTCAGAACAAAGAATTTTTGGTCAAACATTACTATTTTTGGCAATTATATAGCCTCATAGACCAGGCGTATAATAAGGGTAACAAATCTCCCAACTTTTTGCCACCGTGATATTTAGCTACATATGAATACTGGATATATAATAGCTACATATAAATAGAAAATTTTAGAATAATTTCAACTGACAGGACCCCTGTTTCAGTTCGGAGAGATGTTATCCTTATTATACGCCTGGTCTATCACTCTTTTCGCAAAAAAGTCGTAACTAGTAAAGCCATTATTGGCATTTAACCACATTCAAAGAAATCAAGATTTAATTTAAACCCTTTTAGGCATTACATTATAAAAAAGTTCTTTTTGGACGAAAGAATTTTTTGTCGAAAATCAGTTTTGGCATTCCTATAGCCTTCGCTTTTTGGCAGAAAACATCAACTAGCAAGCCCTTTTTTAACAAATTAAACTGTATTGAATAAAGTCAAAACTTGATTAAATCTCCTTTTTGCATCACTCCCTTTTGCATCATAGATTTTGTAGAAAAGCACATTTTGGTCAAAAGAAATTTTGGTCCAAAATCAGGTTTTTTTGCAAGCTATATATTACCTTTGCCGCAAAAAGACATCAACGAACTTGGCAAAATTTTTCATTGAATAACATTAAATGAATTCAAAACCTGATTCAAATCCTTTTGCGTATTACATGAATTGTAGAAAATGAAATTTTGGACAAAAGAAATTTTGGTCCAAAATCAGTGCTTTTTGCAAGCCTATATAAAGCCTTACCTTTTTCGCAAAAAACGTCAGCTAATATGGCCAATTAAACCGCATTCAATAAAATCGAAACTTGAATCAAACCCTTTACAGCATCACATTGGTTGTGGAAAACACATTAATGACAAAATAACTTTTGGTCCAAAACTGGTAAGCCTTACTTCTTTCGCAGAAAGACTAAAAAAGCCACTTTATGACAGAAAACAGCATTCAATGAAGTCAAAACTCGATTTAAACCTTTCAAGTATCGCATAGTTTGTAGAAAAAAGGTTTCCGACAAAAGAATTTTTGTTCCAAACTCGTTATTTTTCGCAAGCCTATATAGATGATAATTAAATTAAATTTAATCAGAGTTAATTTCACGAGGGGCTTTTGAGCATTAACTCGATCGCTTGAGATTATTGTTATTACTTATTCGTTATGTTTTCTTGTGCCATGCTCTACTAGTTTAGGGCAATGCGGGAAGTTTTCGGCCTCCTGAGAATTTGATTTGTTAAACTAGGGTTAGATGTGTGTTTCGCGGCGTTTTTATTCCCTTGGTTAATCTAGGGTTATTTAACGTTTTGGCATAGCGTGGGTCTCATCTTGCTTAGTGAAGCCACAATTCAACTAGGCTGTTTTATTGTATTTTCCCAGCCCTCCCTCCCTCATTTTATTTCTTTATGCAAAATGTATTTTCAGTATAGCTTTGTGTGTTGAGTTTCTTTTATGGCATCGTTGAAACCTCTCATACCTTTAGGCATCTTTTATGCTTTTTAGCATTCTTCTGATGCTATTAGGTAGGACTGGTGCATCGGCTATTAGTGGGGAAAAGAGGCTTTTCCTGTCCATTCCCTCCCAATTACAATCATATTTGGGGGTTAATGTATAACTTCCCTAGTAACCCCTTAATGGTAGGTTGAGCGATTTGCGCCGATGCACCAACGGCTCAACTCGCTCTCGATGATGTGGGAACGTAGCCTCATGACTGACCTTCTGATGTCTATGGCAGTTTTTCTGAGGGAGCTTTATGCCCTTTATATTGATTGGTATTTCATTCCCGAATTAGTAAATTAACCTTACTTTCTGTGCAAAAACTTAGCTAAAAAAGCCAATTTTCTTGCATTAAACCACATTCAATCAAGTAAAGACTTGATTCGAAACTTCTTTTGGATCACATAGATTGTAGAAAAACACATTTTGGACAAAAGAAATTCTGGTCAAAATCAGTAATTTTGGAAAACTAATAGCCTTACATTTTTCACAGGAAATCATCAACTAACAAATGCAGATTTTGCATTATGGCACATTCAATGAAGTCAAGACTTGCTTCAAATCCTTTTACGCACCACATTGGTTGTAGAAAAACACATTTTGGACAAAGGAAATTTGAGCCCAAGTCAGTAAGTAAATTTTGCAGAAAAACATTCTGTTTAAAGGAAATTTTGGTACAAAATCTGTATTTTTGACAATTTTTCACAATCACTCGTCAATTTGCAATGCTACATTTTTGCACCAATCCACATGCAACGAAGCGAAGACTTGAAGGAAAGGTTCAAAGATCACTTTTGAAAGCTTAAAAGGTAATATATTTACTATGGAAAATTGGCATTTTTTTGTAGCCTTCTTTTTTCATCAAAAAGGTCAAGAACAGTACTATCTAACGTATGCACATTTTCGCAAAGCCTATAGCCTTACTTTTGGGACAGGAAGTTTCTTCTGAAAACGAACCCAAGAGTGGGCACAATTTAATTTCGTGAATTAAAAGGCAAAATATAAAAAACAGGAAGGACACATTATTGAACTTTGATGGAGAGAAGATTCTGATAAGATATATATACATGGCATCCTTAGATTTATTACCACTGATGCTTTGCTCTTATTATTTAAAATGAAACACTTCAAAGCTTTTTATAAACAACTAAAATTCAAAATTGAACATCTACATACAGATTAATGCATATTCCTGAATGTTTGTTACAAAATGAAAATGCTAAACCAGAAAAACTAAATATTTTTTGTCTGTTTTATCTGATAGGAGCCTTTCTATTGTTTTAATGCTACTCTTTGTCAATTATTGATTTTATTTTAATTGGCGGCCTTAGTCAATTACTATTGGCCTCGTGAACAAACAGATAGCCTAAAAACATCATTTGGTTCGGTTATCCCGCTAAGTAGATGATCTTAACGTAGGATTATTGCTCTCCACAGACTTCAGAAATATTACAATTCATGTTACAAAGAGGTTAGGTCAAGCAGTGTCAAATATGACCAAAAAATTAAATGTTTGTACTCAAAGGCAAAGTTATTTTTTTCGATAGGGCAATTAGTGTTGTAATGTATAAAGTTATGAATAATTTTTTATGCGAATGTTGTGGGTCTCTGAAACTTTTTTTATGAAAGTAGAGACCCTATTCAGGCAAAAATGATTAAAACATGTATGAATACAATCTACTCTTAAATGTTCTATAGGAAAATTATGACAGCAAAGGGTAAAGCTAATGTGAGTGAATTAAACTCCAATGAAAAGACAAAACCGAAAAGAGAAAAAGCTATTACAAGATACATCTTAAAAACACAATTATTTCAAAAATTACCACCAAGTTAATGATTAAATGAAAAAGGAATCCCAAATAAAACTGTTTTCAAAACAACTTTCGAGTTGCGTAAAATTGTTAAATTTTCATATGTGACAGTGAAGCTTCTAGAAAGTTTGGCTTAATTTTATTTTTCTTTTAGGGTTTTGGTTTGATCGAGTATAAGTGGTGGAAGCATTTTATCAGCGCTCTGCATTTCTTGGGAATGGTTTTTTATACTGGTTTAAGTACTTTTCAAGTTGCTGGTACATGAAAAAATGCACAGAAAAAGCAACAGCGTTTGGTTTTACGTCATCAACCTGACGGTATCACAGGTTGTATCAAATGGTCTTTGTATAGAAAATCTTCTTATAGCTTTCTTTTTTAAAAGATTTCAACTCAGAGCTAACAATTAAAGCTTAAATAGAGGTGATATCAACAGAACGAACGATCTTTTATATAAACGACCAATTTTCAACATAAAAGAGCATATGCTTTTGCCAAGTCCAACATGCGTCTGGATGTTTTGAAATCATGTCTGCGAGGCAGGCTTCGCAGGAGTCGTGTATGAACAGAAAGGTAGCTTCTTCGTCAATCGCCTGCAAAAGTCGTCGTTGCTAGCAATCATAATACCAAACACCAAATAAACGGATTTAACCACTACTCGTTGAGGGTTCAGATTCCAGTGCGTATTTCTAAAAAATAATTTAATCTCCATTAAAAAAAACAATAACATGGGCTATACTGGTGCCGACACTTCGCTTGTTGTTCTACTTCCTCAACATCGTTACCAAGAGCTGTTAATATTGCTTCCCATTCTCGATTCAAAGAACAGTAAATATGGTTTCCTACCACATACTACGATGCACAATGGTCATTTGGTTTCAATACTAACAAACAGTTATATGTAATGGTTATCTGAATTTTCACGTACCAGGCAATAGATGGATTAGTCCTGTACAAGACCTTTACAATATTTGGCTTGTCTATCCAGAATATAGCAGAAAAAAATGAAAAGTGTTTTTGAATGCATTAATTCTTTGCATTTGCGATATCGAATCATAAAAAATGTTTTCAACTGGAGACAGAAAATTTTAAACAGAATCAATAATCTTGAAAAATTCTGAAGTGTTTGTCCTATTTATGGTTAAAAAGTTGTGGCTTCCATGCTGATAAGGCCCACACAAAAAGCAGTATCCCATTAGTAAACAAAAGAACTTACGCGTTGCTTTTTCTTCTTTTTGCATAAAAATTGACAGCAAGAGCAACTGCTCTTTTCCGGGACCTCGGGAGGAGCATCCCCAATCAAGTCAGGGGTTGGTGTGTCGTGTGGCCCAAAAACGTTAATTTCTTGAAAAACTTCTGTTTCTATCATCTAAAAAGGTAAATGTGTGATGAAATTTAACATTAACCACAATATCATATTTAGAAATGGTTAAGTACCAAGACAAGATGCCTGTTTTGGTGTAAAGTCTGTATTAAGCACACTCTTTCAGGATTTTAGCATTGCTTTGAAGTTAAACTAATTTCTGCAACTCAATATTAGGGAAAGAAATACTTTCATCCAGAAAGCAAAGATCCAGAGTTATGAAATACTGGCAAACAGGGTGGTAGCAGTGTGCACTAGATTATAAAAAGAAAATTTGAAAGCAGAAACCAGATATTAGGAAAAGGAAGAATTGGTGAATAAAGACGTACCTCTTTTTGCCATGGAATAGCAACAGAACCAGTGGCAAACTTTTTATAAAATTCTTCATCGCTTTCATCTATCTGCACACCCTTAACGGTTGAAAATTGCTCGATATCCAAGACATCTTTGCAGTAAACTGCACGTGGCTGTCAAAGAAAAAAATAAATGCAATGACAGGTATGAAAATAGATCGTATCAGATAAGAAAATAATCTTAAGAGAAAAGCCACTAGCATATGAATAACTAAAAAAGTAGAACAAATCACCAATAAAAATAAGAAACTGTACAACCAATTGAAATGCCCATGGACAGATTTCAGAAACTTATTTCTCAATTTTCAAGATATGTGGCTATATAGCAGACCAGGCTTCCTAGCCTCAAAACAGCTAGAAATGAACCAGGTCTCCTTATCAACAGCAGTTTATCGAGCAATTTGTTTGCAGTTTGGTGTTATCGAGCATTCATCACTAAAACCGATCAACAATGGCCACTTATAAAAAACCTGATTCTTTACACTCGTATCATAAAGATTTGCAAGTCTCATTCTTGCTTAAAAAACTTAGAGGAAAGCATGAAATTTTGGAGCAGGCTTTATTTGCATCAAATTATACTCACGTCAGGTTTAAATGGAGGCTCTGTTTCGCCAGATTCGAGGCTAGCCCAATCAATGTGCTTGAAAAATGGATGAAGTTTGATTGACTGTTGATCTTTGTCTTTACAACCTAATCTTTGTGTGTGATTCTTTTGGAGGAACTGAAATATAAAAACCAGATATAAATTAGGTAGCAAAATAATCCAGCCTAGGGTTCAAAAATATTTTTACTGCAAGATAACATTTTCCGCATGTTTCATATGTTAACTTATATGAACTTAGTTTTAAGTCAATAAAACTGCAATACAAATGAAAGAAATATGGCTTTACAAAAGAAGAAGCTCTTCATTTATTCTTCATATGTTTTACGTACAGTCGGAATTTTAGATTTCGACCTCGCATTGTTTATTCCATCGCAACAATTAAAAAAGATTCAAATTCAAGGAAAAAGAAGAATTCTTCACATGTTCTGCTCGAGGTACTTAAAAACAGAACGATATCTTTCTAAAGAGTTTTTGAAAGACATAAATTTAGGTTGTATATGATTAAGTTAATTTTTGTAAAGTTCCCCGAGGATCGATCACAGCTCTTGGAAGAAACTTTGAACTGATGAGTTCTACATTTCAAATCACACACAGCTCTACCTAGATACACAATAATATTTGTATATATATATGTATGAAAAAGTACTTCCTTACTTGCTCGCAAATATCTCGAGCTGTATCAGTAAATTTTGAAGAATACGTTTCTTTGTCTTCTTTCACTCGCCTTTCGACCTCGTCTCTCTTAACCTTTTCTTTTCGTGCTCTAAAAGGGGCCTAAAAGTCCATTTTGACAATTAAATATCCTGTAAACACGGTGGAAAGAAGTGGAGAAGCCTTTTGCAATGATATCATTTTGAAAAAACATGTAAAATTTAAAAAACAATATGCAAAGAACAGGAGAGAAAAGGAGGGGAAAAGACAGATAATAGCCTCTCTTACAAAAATAAAATGGGCAGGACAGAGAGACATGCAAACAGATCATGATGAAGGAAATCATGATCGTCGAATGGATAGTCAAGTTTACTACATGAGTAATTTCAAGGTGAAAATTTAGTAAATGAAATCGTTACCATTTTCTAAGACAAATGAATGTGAATATTTATAAAGATATCAACAGATATTTACCCTGCCCTCAAGCATCTCGTAAATCAGGCAACCCATTCCCCACCAGTCTGGAGAAAATGTATACTTTTCGTTTCGAACAACCTCTGGGGCTGCAAAAAATATTTGAAATATAAACATCCTGACTAGGTGAGCAAATTGTTGAAAACCAAAAAAGGGCACAAGCACAACTAGGTGGTTAGTGGAGCTTTCCTAAGATGAAATGCAGATGGTAATAGATGTCCCTACTGTAACTGAAACAGCCCTGTTGTAACAGTGGACATCCATGGCTCAAGATAGGAGCAGAGCCAACTATTGGAGGAAATGAAGTACCGTCCCAGTTTAAGATGCCGTGAAGGAGAGATTTACAATCACCCTTTCTTTAATTCAGTAGGTCTCCATCCTTCTGATGAATAGGGTCGTGGAATGACACGATGCTCGCCGCAAATGATCTTTTAACCGGTCAAACCTCTAGCTTAAATAGGTATTCTGCAAACTTATAGGAATTTCTGCCTAGCTAATGAATTAAAAAAAGCAAACGGTTTCAGCCTGACAGCACAAGGTACGCTTTCCCGTTTAAATACATCACTTCTCTTACCAGTTTCCATTTACTACATCGTAATGTGGGCATTTTCAGCCCATAGTGCCCCCTACATTCGACATTTTCTCAAAGAAACAAGAAAACAGCAATAAATCTAGCTGGTACTATTATAGGCTAGGTTCAGTTTGGAAATTGGTGGTACCATCTTTAATGCTTACTGGGCTATCTAAGTCAATTTGCATGTGGTTTAGACACCAGATACTGTTAGTTACTCACCCATATATCCAACAGTACCAACTCTTCCTTTGACCATTTCACCTTGGGGAATATACACCGCCAAACCTAGATCTGATATTCTTGTATGTCCTAACATGCAATGAAACACACACAAAATTAATATGAACAACTACCAATTCCCTGCTGCAACTGCACCCTTCCCAAAGTACTTTGGCAAGTCACTTAAATCAGTTTGAGATATTTCCAAACAAGCTCAGATATTAATCACGTGAACACGTGAACACCATCTATCGTATACATGGAGAGACCATCACGAAATTGAAATCAAATAGATATGTAATCGAAGAAACTTAAAACCTTTGAAAGAAAACAACAGCTTGTGAAGTATTAAACTTACCATTATCATCAAGAAGTATATTTTCTGGTTTCATATCCCTGTAAATTGAACAAATATTTACGTAAAAAACTTTTTTCGAAATTCAGGCAGCAAAAGAGGGGACTAACATAGACTATTAGAGCATCTGGATGTCACAACATCTCTGTTTTTAAACCGAAAGAGTTATCTTTTCTAGATATAAAGATTCTCAACAAAGAAATCACTGATTTGTAAATTTCCACTGTTTACTGAAGGTAGGCCTATAAATAAAGATTTGAATTTTATAAAAGTAGTCAAAGTACTTGCAATTATTGAGCAATGTTGAAAATTTTATTAGTCTACTGCTTATTGTTTGAGAATCTTAAATTATTGTAATTGTGCAAACAGAAATCTCTGAAAAGTTGTCAAGACTAAGTAAAAGTTGTTAAACCGTCAACAGCAAGTTGAACCAAAAGCAAGATTAGGCGCACAGAAACTGAGATTTAATATGAATAACACAAGAGCCATTTGAAATTATCCTAATGATGAAATATCAGATACCATCACAGTACGTTTTTTTGCTATCTTTTTGTTGTGAGTTACATTGGCATTTGCAGACAGTCAAAAGAGTTCATAAAAACTGCACTGTACACAGTTTTTGAAAAGACACGTGTAACACTAGACTTAAGTAGAGATAAACACATGACCTAATTGCCATATTATGAGACAACCCAAAACTGACATTAAAAAATAGTGTGCAATTCCGAGTAACAGTAAACCTTATGCTGTATCCAAAATTACTTTCACTAACAAAGTCAATCGCAGAAAATGGGTAGTGTAGTCATATACTTTGACTACTTGGGCAAAACTTGTTTACTCTTGTTTACTGGGGCAGTTGTTGGCATTGTTTTGAGTGCAATGTTTGTTACTTGCAGAGCTTCAAATGTATCCACGACACCTATTCAAAAATTCTTTGAAAACATCGGTGACAATAAAAACATGTAAACTTCCGCAGGTACTCCACCGGCGGAGAAACCCTAGCTAATTGACATCATTCAATAATTCGCATATTGTTCGGAAAGGAGTTTTTAGGAGAGCATTTGTACCTCTGCCAAGATAAGGAGTGCTAATGTCGTCATTAAGGTCTCATTCACCAAGAGCTTTTACCCCCGTCCTAATCAGTGGTCTCATTTTCGAGAAAGCCGGACCATGCTGCAGTGTTTTAGGTCGTTTGATTGCCACAAGCCAATACCTACAAAGACCAACCTGGGTCCTGGTCTTCCACTGTGCCAAGACAAACGTGTCACCACGATTCTGATAGTGACATTTTAGGCAATTTAAATACAAACTTGTAATACTTGATTGTTCATAAAAAGAAATCTCGTCATGACAAAGTAACAAGTGCATTCGATCAAAATCAAGGCACTGATTAAGTTTAGATTGGTCGTTGCGTAGATTTTTAATTTTTTTTTAGAAAAAAAACATTTTTTCCAAAACCAACACAGTCCCATGTAAAAATTTTGCTCAACACTTTTGAAAACTCTTGTCAAATGGAAATTAAAGGCACATCTCAAAAACTTTTCATTCATTAAAAAAGAGGAAGGATAACAAGGGGTTCTCCTTTCTAGATTTTACAGAGCACATGATACAAACACAATTTACAAGAAAAATCTTTATATCTCATAAATTCGCAGCACTCTGACTGCTGGCTGCTATTAGGCCTTACTCAGATATCTTCAGCCCTGGTCTAACAAGCTTGCATGTAAGAATTGAAATGGCAAAAAGGTTTATATCAGAAACAGCGTTACATAAAGTACTTGTGAGCAACAATTATATTCAATAAAGAATAAACTGGCCTACCTGTAAACAATCCTAATAGAATGTAAATACATTATTCCACTACAGATTTCTGCAGCATAAAATCGAGTTCTATCTTCGTCGAATCCTGGGTTTCCAAGATTGTGAATATGGAATTTCAGATCCCCTCCATTCATGAGGGACAACACCATGCAGAGGGCATCTTTTGTTTCATGTGCATAAGCAAGACTGACCTACGAGACAAGCATATGGTATAATCTTGTGAAGATTACAGTTAATTAGACTGTTGCAAAGTGCACGATGTCGTATAGACAAAGCTATACACACGTTGCTATGAAAGACTGTATACTTCTTTCTTGCTGCTCCAAGTTTAACACTCAATGTTATCGCAAGACAACTGTCGAGTTTCTGCTAATTTTTTTTGTACACTTGCGAGAATTTTGGGGGTATTTGATTTTCGACAAAATGTTGATTGAGGGAACTACCGAGTGCTGCTTATTTTTCTAAAATATCGTAAACGTTTCATGGGGCTTCTCTCTAAATTGATATTATCTGCTTCATTTTCAACTACCTTTCCAAATAACATAAATAAAAGGCTCCAAAGATTTACAAAAATATAGTGAATAAACAATTGCCATATAATTAGGGTATGATATTCAAATATTCTTTTTCCAACAGATGCTCTTTCGAAGCCTAAGTCAACAGAAGCTACTCATCTACCCAAAGGCACATTAAATTAAACTTGTAAACTTGAAATTAAAGCCTATTTGCGTTCTACGGCTGAAATATGTTTTCTTTAAAAACAATACTGTGTTCACATCAAGTCTTAGAATTAACTCTAGGATAAAAGGTACGTGACTCAAAACAGGTGTATTGATTAAAATTATGTAACTGACTCATTTTTTCTGCATTTCAAAGTGAGGATGCTATCACGAACTATAGGAGCAAAATTGCTTTGAAAATAACCACTTATCTCATTCGATTGAAATGGTTTGGGTGTAACTGTGAGGGAAAATCTTTTGAAATTTTTAAGTAAATGACCGTGATTTATAAATTTTTAAGTAAATGACATCACTAAGTGACCGAGTGATGGGCAGTGATTTAGACAACTCGCACACTCTTCATTGTCCACATTAACCTAACACAGTAAAATACCAAAAAGTTTGGATTTCTTTGACACTACACTAATGACAATAAATGTTCTAACTTGAAAAGCGGTGAACAACTGACGTCACCGGGTCTGGCTAAAGGAAAAGAGGACGGCTTGTGTTGTCTTGCGATTTACGTAAATGGGTGTACCATAAAAGGACCCACTCGGTATGAGGGTGGGAACAGAGGGAGGCGAACAATATCCTTGCATTCCTTACAGTAATCAACGCTCATAAACAACAGTAGCATGTGCCAAAATTAAGTGAGAAAACAAAGCGACTTAAAAGGTGTCTCCTAACCGCTTCCTGGAGGCAGGGTCATGCTGCCTTGCATTCTCGATTTTCAATAGCATTGCTGATGATAAATCTAATAAAAACATGTCACAAAGACTTTCGTATGTTGTGCCAAGATCCCAAGACTTGGACACCCAGTGGTAGAACAGCTACAAAACTTTCAATTAACCCAAAATGGCATTGAGAACATTACTGTTTACTGTAAACTTAACTTATGCATGACACGAGGCAGTTTTCCTGAGTGAGACACCATATCAAGTTGCAAATAATTAGATACAGGAGATCTGTTAACTGTTTACATGAGACCGAGCTTTCCCCAAAACTGTTAGCCTAATACTAGCAGAATAAGCAGGATAGCAACTTTTTGTAATGAGCAAATCTTACAACTTTTAAGAAGAAAGCGTTCTATATATACATGGAGATCGCATACTTAATTATGGTATCTTAAATTTCTGATATTATCAAAGTGGATACAAAAACTAAAATTTTGCTTCTCCTGAGATAAGTCTCATTTACATTATGCTGCATATCAGACAAAGCAAGCGCAAAGGGAGAGAAGCGGCCATTTCAAACACACCTTTTTACAAACAAAGAGGCCTTTGTGTTTACAAATTCTGACAGATCTTTTCAGCATGGCATATCAGGTGATAACAGGTAAAACTGAGCAGCAAAGATAAAATAAAAACTCAAGGAAATATTATAAGTAAGGGGAACGGCCCGTATCTGTTTACAATCTCAACCACAGGGAGTGAGTATTCATAAATGACTTTTGGATAATCCACAGGATATAAGCTTGATAAAGACAGAAGGTTTTTTGAAGGCAACACGTCAACCAGAAACCCGCTTAGTCACAGGGTATCAGCAGAGTTAGCATAGCACAGTGAAGAAAGGCCTTTTGTAGACAAAGGTAATGTTAAGAAGAATATATATAATAATAAAATGAACAGAAACTAAGACAGAAGTGATTATAAAGAGAGCATTAACTTGGTGATAAAGACAGGTGCATGACTTCGCCTTTCAAATTAAGCATGAATGTTGCTGGAGAGCGAACAAAAAGATTCCAAAGATATGTAGCACAAACATTATGACAATTTTGATTTTGGGTAAAAATATAAAATTTTCAAGTAACGGCTATAAAAGAAGAGAGGTTTATAAAGGTTGGCAGCCCCAAAACGGTTCTATTGTGAACAAAAAAAGATTAAGCCTGGAAAATAGATACGACCATATTAAGGTGGGGGCAAAGCAGAGAAAGTCTCGAGAGCGTGGAGAAAAGAAGATACAAATAACCGCCTTTCGACGGAACACAAGTGAGAATTACTGTATGAGATGTTAGATAAACAATACGGTGTGGTTGGTAACTCAATATATTCAACTATGGATGTACGGTTTAGAAGATAGAACAGGTAGAATAAAGACGGCAATTAGCTTTGACCCTGTGTCAAGAAAGCGTTGAATAAATGTTATCAAACAATTAATAAATAATCTTGTCATAAGCTGTCACAGATGCTAGCAAGAGCATATTCAGACAAAAAACATAGTTTAAACTTTAAAGAAAAAATCTCGAGTAATGGACTTACAACAAATAAACAATCTATCCTTTCCAGCAACTGCTTCTCATTAAGAGCCATAGCTTCACCTTTTCTTTTCTTTATTCGCTTCTTTTCTAATTTCTTCATTGCATACATTTGCCCAGTTGCTCTGCTTTGACACGCGCAAACCTGTGAAGATTTTTATTAGATATTAAAAAAATAATTAAAAGCTAATAATTATATAACAATAATTAAAATAATAAATATTTAATTTCATATTTTTAGGTTAGCAGTGCAAAGAATCGCAAACAGGGAATAAATAACAGGCCCTCGTAGTGGGAACACGATGACCTTGGGTCTTTTCCTGCTATGAGGGGCACAGTTGAATGTAAATATTAGAGTTGTAGTTGTTTTAAGTTGATAAAAAAAATAACAGGCAATCTATCTGCAATCTTTTGAACTAACCTATCATAAAATTTCTATAAAAACCTTAGGATTTAACTGGATATTATTGCAAATAACAACAGCAATCAAATTGCTAGAACAAAAAAGCTGATTGTTCTACGTAGAATAATTACGTATAGTATTGTAATTTGTTGAAACCTTTTCAAGAACAAAAGTTTTGACGAAAAAGAGATAAAAATTGAAAAACGTGAATAAACATACGAAGAGTAAAAAGACAATGATTTTAGGGAAAAAAATCAGCGGGTTTTCACAGGTAATTTTTACTTTTTCTTATTATATATTTAGATATATTTCTATAATTAATAACCGATAAAATTAATAATTTTCATATTGAATATTTTCTCGAAGACTTTTCATTGCATTTCATTTCATTTTATTCCTGAACCAAAACTTTGCTGGCGGATAGGGTTGAAAGAACAATAATGCCTTTAATGAGTCTTTCGCATATCAATAATTCGCATATCTACGTAATTAGAAACTCCCAAGTCTTACATTTAAATAATGTTATAAGTATCGACAATTTTGCTGGAAATGAAGGCAAATTTGCCAACAAATCTTACGAAGTTTTCATAACTAAAATCGTTAGTCTGAAACAAATCTCGCTTCTTTAGTCTGAAACAAAACAAATCTGTTCTAAAATCTCGCTTCTCTATATGGAGGTACATTTACTATTTAATGCCGTAAAACTCTGTATTTATCCGTTATTTGTAAAAGTCTAAACCTTGGAATAACTGCAAGCCCCTGACTTCAGAGAACTCTTTGTGTTGAAGAGTTGCTTCAACATTTACGAGACAGTTGGTATTTTGGGCACTTTAAAATTTTACAGTCTCCAGGAAAAACTGCCAAATAGTTTTCATAAAACGCTTCCCCTCCATAAATCTTTCAATGGTTAATCTTTTTGTGACTTGTGAAGAAACTAACAACATCGTAGAATAATTAGAGAGAGAGCATCACTGTACCGCCGTTACAATATTGGAGAAATAAGAAAACAAGATCGGCAAAATGAATTTAATATGTTTCTTTGAACAAAACAATTGAGAATTCTGGTTTCAGTTTCCTCAAAAACAGGATGAGGTTTTGTTACATCTCGAAAAAAATGCTAACGGCAGTGTAGGTGGCAATTAAGGACTGACAGGGTCAAGGCCTGTTTTTTATCAATTTTTATTGTACTTTAATATACCATGCATGATCTCAATTTGCTTATACAAACTGGGGTTTCTTAAATAATATAAAATCAGGATAATTCGGTAGGCAATAGTCGTAGCAGTTCGGAAAAAAAACATTTTGACATGCTGGAATGGATTCATCAAAACTTGCATTCAGTCTAGCAAAATTGACTGATTACATACAGTAACAAATTAAGTTATTAATCTATCAATCAAGGGGATCCTTGAAGTTTCTCGTGACAGAGAACTGTTTTTTCCTGAAGTTGATTCTAATAAAATTGAATTTTATGCGTTTTAATCTTCCCATGTTGATTTATTAGTTTCATCAAGATTAAAGAAACATGAAGGTATACACAATTTAGGCTCTCCTATGAATCAAAGCTTATATCGTTGGAGAGCCTCTTTTCGAATCATTATTACAATCAAGTTCAATTGATGAAATCAATTGGAAATGACAATGTAAATTTATAGAAAATTAAAGTTTGTTGTGTTAGTATTTGAGTGACTTATAGCAGTAGCGAAACTAATCAGTATTGACTTGACTGTAGAATCACTTGCAAATAAAAGATTTATTATAATGACAATAAAGGCAAAATTACCTCTCCAAAGCCTCCTTTTCCGAGAACTCTATAGTGCCGAAACAGGCTCTTTGTGACTGGTCGCCTAGCAAGGAGGAAAACTAACTTATCAAATTTAAGCTTCTCAAAACTTTATCTTACAATATAAAAACCCATAAATAGTGCAGTAATACACAAATTCTATCAAGAAAGAATCAATTCCATCAAATATCAAATCTACATATTCTATCAAGAAAACAAAACTAGAAGAAATGCTTGTCTTGATTTGTAATTAAAGTAATTAACAAATCCATACGCAAAAAATTAAGTAGATATCAGTTATGACAATAAAATAATAATGATAATAACGATCTTTAATAAAATCACTACTGTCCTGCTTTCAAAAACTAAGGTTGTCGATTATAATTACTTTACGTAAAAAATCAGAGTCAAAATACGTTGGAATGAAAGAAAGACTTAAAAGAATACAGTCCAGATATATGGTGGGAGTTGAAGAAAAATCAGACTACTTTATTAATCTTCACAAGATTGTTTCGTGAGTAAATCACTCTTAAGGAGATTTATGCTCTACGTGTACACATATTGAGCACAGTAACGCAAGGAAATCAAAGCACAGACGTCTAATGTATCCCAAATAAATATTAATAAGGATAATTCGGTCTGTGGCAGAGAGCTCAATGTCCTACCTACTAAAACACAGTCTTACCTTTTTAACACTTTAAGCATTCTATAAACAAAAAAGTTTCTGAAAACAACAAAGGATAAAAATCTTGATTCCCTGGATCCCACGAAAATAAATCATCAGATGAATGACAGAAGATTAATAAACGGATTCCTATAGTTAAATTTAACGTCGATTTCGAGTTTTTCGAGATGAAATTTGAAAACTTTTGAGATCTTACCGTTCCAGCCATTTCCACTGTAAAAACCTTTTAAAATACATGCTCTCTAAATATTCTCTGTAAGGCTTTTCTCTGAGAAAATCTTTGACCTCACTGAAAAAGGAGAATGATATGTGTCATGCAAAGGTGTTGCTGTGCATTGTTAGTCAAGTGTTGCATCGAGTAGGTGATTGAAAATCAGTTCAGGGTTGAACTGGATGAAGGGTATAGCTTGCAGAGGCTACGTTTAGAAATTAACATGCAGTTTTTTTAACAAACTTTGCTATTAGAAAGCTAAGAAGGGTAACAATATGGGCTTGAGGGGAAACGCCTTAATTATAAGATAACACAATTGGGAGGTTGCTCAAAGCTAAATGTTTACAAGGGAGTCTTTTCGAGAAGCTGGGTCTCAATTAAGAGGGGGAAATTGTTTAAAATTTATTTTTCCTGTGCGGTTTTCAAAGGAGGTTTCCTAGCAGAAAATTGGAAGTGTCAGAAATATGTATTGCAAAAATGTACACAAAAATTGCTGAAAAATCTTACTAAAGGCAAAAGTAACTCGAAGAAAAAAAACTGAATAAGGGACAAGTGACTTTACCAAAAAAATATTGCTAAAGGTATTTAGAGAAATTTTTTGTTAATTGTATATTCAGAATTCAGAATTCCCATGCATTTGAGTTCTATGCATTTCAATCTTCAAATAGCGCAAAATCTCGACACCATGACAAGAAAACGAATCAGATTAACGAATGTTGTTATAGTTACTAAAATAAATTACAAATGATGGGGAAATTATTCTTTTAAAATAATATGTTTATAGTGCTGTGGGTTTTTAAAGATAGGAGAGGCACCCTTTTCCATTATCTAAAAAAATATATCTTTTCGTACATTCCTTCTCGCGGTAAGCAGCGACTTTTTTGTAGGTTGGATATAGGTAAGCAACGATAAGAATGTCGATTCTTCAATTCTGATGTGGATAGCAATCACACGTTCAAACAAGTGTGACAATCAATTATGACCAAGCACGGCATTCTTGTTCCCAATAACAATTTTTTTGAAAAGAACGGCAACAGTAAAAAGGGAGGAAGGATGTGATCTTCATCTAACTTATCTCTTTTACAATTATCAATTACAACGTTCCTTATATTATTTTCAACCCCAGCTGTAGTTTCATCATGCTTAAAATTTAAACAAGAGATATCAAATTGGAGCAAAATTCAATATAAAAAGAAGTGACAACAAACCTGGTACATTTCTCAAACAACGTATTACTTGGACCATTGGAAGTGGCACTTTTCACATCTTCTAAAATATCTTCACTAACAATTGACTTGAGGACCTCGTGAGACTCCTGAACAAAATAAAACCAATTTAAAAAAAACCAAAAATATGTGCTTTAAAAGCACAAAAGAAAACAAAATGCGGTACAAGGTATTCGCAGACTCTTCTATTAATTCGGCAACAATATCCTTTGGAAACTGTTTTGCAAATATCTAAATTTGTATTGCAATATAATAAGAGCAATGCTTTCAACAGTTCTATAAAAATTTGATACAATGCAGGCTTTCGTCGGAAAGGCGTGCGATCGCACGCGCACGCCCTGGCGCACGCCTGCTGCTTTCCAGGAGTGCAAAACATCGCACGCCTTCTTTTATTATCGGAGCAAAATTCATAATTATTGGTTTTGTGGATTTTTGAGATGAGTTAATAAATTGATCCCTCCTTGGTACTTTTAATTCATGCCACTTCAAAAAGGCTTAACACCTTTTCTACCCTGGGTACCAGACTCACTATATATGAAATAAAATAGAGAGTCTGGTCTAGTGCGCCCCGTTCTCGTTCTGGTGTGCTCATATTAACCAATCAGGAGCGAGTGTACAGATTTCTGTACGTTCAAAGGTCACAGCGAAACAATAAACTTAGCTCTGGTATAAAACATTGAACAGAACTGAACATAAATAAATGCTAGCGACCGTAACGATAGAAGATGCTGTTAAAACTGTACTCAAAGAATATTTTCCGCATGTTGTGGAACTGAACACAGAACAGCATTGAAAGCCTTGTTTGCAGAGAGAAGAGACACCTTCGCCATATTGCCAACTGGCTTTGGAAAGTCTCTGATATTCCAGGCTGTGCCTCTCGTTGCAAAGAAATTAGGCCTTGCAGTGAAATGCAGTAGATAAGAAACACTGCAAGGCGCCGAGAACAAACAACAACAAACACAGTAAATCAGTTATAGCTAATATTTCGCCCGGCATACGGGGCTTCGCTTGTCATATTGCCCATATTTGCTGTGGTGACCTTCCAACATGATGATTCTAACCGCCGCGGTGTCCAAGCGCGCTGCCTTCACAGTTAGGAAGTAGACGTTGAAAGTACACACAATTTATGAGGAAAATTACAAAAGACTTATTTTAAGTTGTATACGAAATTTGATAATGATTAACATTTAATAACTGCATTGTGCTAACTTTAATTTCATGCTTCCCATATGTTTTTTGCTGCCAAATGGCGTTTTAAACCTGATTTCATTGTTATCTTGAGGCAGAAAAGTCTATTACCACTGTATTAAAAATGTCGACCTTAAAGAAAAAAATAAAACACGTTTGCTTTAAGATTTTCCAAAACTCCTCTGACTACTGAGTTTCTTTGTTATTTATCTGACAGTCTTGTTTCACAGGCCTAGCCTGTTAAATAGACTTCAGTTCTTTCAAGTAAGTTCACCAGAACGAGGATGGGGCGCACTAGACCAGACTCTCTATTATTTTATATAGTGAGTCTGGTACCCAGGGAACACCTTTTCAGGATTGCCGATTAAATATAAAATTTTGAAATAATCATAGAACTAATCTACAGTGGAATCCCGATATTATGAAACATTAAGTGTTTTGAACAAGACTTTCATTTTCTATCGCTTATGTACGAAAGTAGCCGATTATGCGATAAAAAGGAGCCGATTTGCCAATGATGCGGAAAAAAATAACAGAGGATTTGCTGGATTTCGCTACCCCCTACAGCCCCCTATTTAGACATCGCTATGCTTTAAATCTAGATTTTAGCAACATTTGATTTAATGAAAATTGGGCCATCATTATCTTTTATGCATCTGGCCAGTGAGGTACACAAAATAGCTGTCATGTTTGATAACAAAGGGCTCTCGATGCACTGATTTACACGAAAAAACTGCCATTACAACCAGATGAACGCCAAAGCATCAATGATTCTGCTAAGGATTCATTATTGAATTTAATGAAAACTGCTTACGAAATGGCAAACATATTTCTATTTTTGTAGTGCCGTTTTTTTTGGATATATTAAATAAGCTCAGTTTATACTTGTTTAGAAAATTGCTCAATTGCTAAAATGTAAGTAGTCATGGTAAGAATTCAGCGAAGTAAATTTCATTGAAATTTTTGCTGTCATCATTTTCGCGTTGGCCATTTCTCCGTAGATCTACCATAATTACCAAAATGTTTGTGAAAAAATGTCACACGCCATCACACGCCTGGATGTTTACAGGGGTGCGGTGGTTAGCACGCCTGCTATATTTTTCCCACGAAAGCCTGCAATGAATTCATTAGAAATTCTAAAGCTTTTAGGAAGAAATGATTATATTTATCTGACTTAAGCCCAATTTTAACATTTTTCCTAAAATAGATCGTTATTTTGGTTAAAATATTTCTACCAAATCTATTTGGGAACCTCGTTCCATGGTCAATTCACTTTTTGACGATGTAGTTATCATTATAAAAATTACTGCAAGGCCTACCCGGACTAAGTCCCACAAAGCATATTCTCTCAAAGCTTGGAACCCTTGATAAGCAACAAGATTTTTGCCATTGTTAAATAAAAAATGTATCTTTTGAATTCTCATGTAGTTTCTTAACAATTACAGAATTAAAGTTATTATTCACGTTAAATTTAAAAAGCAACACTAGTTGACCAGATTTAAAATCGTGACACTTACCTTTTGTGGAGAGGTATCACGGATTAAATATCATTCAAAATTCCTAATGATACATTGTGCGTTTGAAGATTAATACTCTGGCAATTTGCCAAAATCCAAGCTACAAAATGTGACAAAAAAAATGACAAATGTTGATTACCTCATCATACCAATATTTCTCCATAACATGTTTTATGTTTTCGTCTCTTGAAGGATCTGGGCATGATTCAAACTTTTCCTAAAAAGAGAAAAACTTATTTTGAAAATAAAACCTTAAAAATATAGACAATAAAAGATACTCAATCGCCACACCCCGACCACGCCTTGCTTTCGTAGATCATTTAATGAATGTTCTGAATCATTTGGCGTACTTTTTATGTGAAGTGTCTGATATTTGTCTAGACTATCAACATTCTTAGGGAGATAGGGGGCTGAGGTAGTAGTATTGAGGAAAGAGGTGAAAGCAAAAACACAGCGCAGATTGACAATAATTGTAGCTAACGTTTTGTACAAGACCAAAAAATAAATGGACCTGTTGTGTGAATGGATTGCCTAGACGTACTATTTTGGAATAAGAACCAAAGAGATACCAGACTTCAAGGCCAATGCAGCTAATACTGATCTTAATTAGTAACCTTTGCTGCTAGCGACTAATTGTTGACAGTCGTCGTTCAAACATCCTGCAAACAAAATTATTCAAAGCAGAATCTAGCTTTGATCCTGACATGCTGTGTGCCATACTGGTATCTTTTCAACAATACCAAAAAGCCTGTTTTCTCTTCATTCGCATACACAAATATCTGCAAATAATCCTTTCTTTGAGATGCTTAAGCCCCGGTCAATGCATATGTTATTCAAAGTCTTAATCAACTTATTCTTAAAGTGGCTTAATAACTAAAAAAATTATCGTTTCTTATTAATGAATTTATTTGCAAATTCTACAAGACACCTTAAAAGTGCACAGAGTTGACTGGGAAATTACTTAAATCGCACAAGCAACGGCAAAAGACAGGTGCCTTAACGTGCGAAACCTTCGCTGCAATGCATAATCCGACTGAACGTGCAAACAATTCGCCATGTCACTACAAAGCTTATCTACAAAACCAGTATTCTGCTATCTTCTCTGATAATCCAAAGACATTTCAAGACAATCATATTTCTAAATATATATATTGGTGTATATCTTTGCTTTGTAAACACCCTGACATATGATTTCGTGCTTTAAGCTTACTTACTTTAAATCCACCTAGATTGTTGATCGGGACCATGTAATTTGAAGCTTTCAATTTCGCACAAACAGAGTTTGCTTCATACAATGTTAACGTTGAAGCGAAAAAGGTTTTCGCATTACAAGTTTTTATGGTAAATCAGCGGGTTTTTAAGTGTTTATGAACGTATAAAGACCGTTCTTTTACACTAAGGCTAAAAAAGAACTGCTGTCATTTCTGCTTTGAATAGAATTCCATTGCCTATTAGCAAAGTCCTATAATTTTTGAATTCAAGAAAAGTTGAAAAAGTACTTGCTAAGTCAGCAAAAATTCCCAAAGCACGATCCTTTGGAAGAACAGCTCTGTATTGTTTTTAAATTAAATTTTGTATACATTTTACAATATTATATAAATTATTATAGCTATTTGGTTATAAATATTGAATCCTTATTGTCACTCTAACATTAGCTGATAGGGTTGCGTACATAAATATTTTGAAATAAAAAAACTCCTAAAGAACTTATTTTGTCAGAAACATTTGGCATTGAATTCTGTGTCATGCTTAAAAATCCTCATAAGAAATTTTAGTTGGCTGGAACTTGGAGTTTTGAAAAATCATAATAGTATTCAGCCCAGCTTTGCTTAGACACTGTTTAAATGGGCAAAAAAAACCAGGGCTTATTTGTATAAAGATTATCAATATATAACCTCAGAAACTAAAGGAAAGGAATGTTTTATTTTATTTTAATTTTACTGCAGTTAAAGATATGATATTTAGGATTTCCACATCTATACAAAAGGTCAAGAGCCTCCTATTATATTGCTGTAAAAAATAACTTGAATTTTCTCAAATCCATATTCTGGCTGAAATCCAATGAGCTTGCTTATGATCAGCCATCTTAGAATAGTAAAAAAATCTTCAATCACGTTCTCTTGTGTAGGTCATCACTTCAAGTGTTCATCTCTCAGTAGATTGTTACATATTACTTTTCACGAAAGGAGACTTGAAGTTTACCAAACCCCGATCAATATAGACAATCAACTCATCAGAAATATTGTTATGAAGAAATGAGGTGCCTTTTTAATTCTAACGTACCACAGATCTTAGGAATGCAACAAGCAGTTTCAGCTTTGGATCTCTGTTACAAAACTCTGTGAACAGTTCTCGACCAATAGGTTCTTTTTCGCATACCCTGTCGTATGTTATGTCTAAAATAAGAAAGAAATGTTAAAATATCAAAAAGTGAAAAGATAATGATTTAAAGACACAAGTTCTGCGAAACACCTACCAAACCACCAAAGGACTTAACTGAAAACACACAGAGTTTCACAAAACGCAGTTGAGTCAAAGTTGAATTAAACCTGGTCTGCCCATCGTAAACAATTAACAGACCACATGCCTTTTTAAGAGGGTTTCTTAGGGCATCCAGACGAAGCAGAATCAAACTGTATGTTACAGCATACGCATGTTTGTTTTGAGGTACTAGAAATAGTACTATTGCCAACCAAGGTTTTCAAACTCCAAATTGCAACTTTGATTTGCATTTTGGTCATGTTTACGTGCCTCTGTAACCCATTTACTGTTTTTGCAAATAATCTTGTATGCACAGTTTCATTATTGCTAATGAGATTATCATATCTATAATATCTTCTTTAACAGCTGGTGGCAATTTGGCAATCGGATTACTTGCTATAATCAAGGTAGCTTAAGTCTGCTTCTTAATTATGGCAAGAATCAAGGACTTTATAACATCATCATCGGCAACAAATACTTGACAAAGTTTTCATAAATCGTCTTCGATTATATTGATAGAAGGCATATCCACGCTTAAGAAGGCTAAGATTTAAAAACAATATTGGCAACAAGTGTAAGGCATGAAACTTGGCTGTTAGTTATATGTGGTTTGCAAATGGTGGCAGTAGTATGAAAATGGTATTTTTACCCGTAGCCTTTGTTTGCTAATGTGCTTCTTTGCATTTCTTACAAGGGGCGAGCACTCAATGTACATGGTTGTCTGGGTACAAACATACAACAGGCATAACCAGAAACGTTAGGCAAAAAGGATTTGAATGATTCGCTTTCCATCTGTCCACACACCCACACACGTGTGCCACCTGCAACTCTGAAATAATTACTATGCTGTGCTCGGGGTCGGTGCGCATGCTCGTAGATTACTTGGGGTCCCATTTGCTTTTTGCTGTTCACCCCCATTTGTAATGCTAAGGGAGACATTATAACTAGCAACAAAGGTGGATCCGCTAAATGGATTGACAGATGTCAATAACATGACACATCAATAAAGAACAGGAAACAGATACTTGGGAAAGTTAATAAAGCAAGGTATAAATTGATTCTCCCAAGACAAATAGAGTATAAATTAGGCTTTTGTTTTTCACTGCATGTTACACTTTCTAAAGCAGTTGTCTTAAAAAATGGCATTTCTGTTTCCTTTATCATCTATCGTGTGCTCTCTAAAGAATTATCTTTGAATTTGAAATGTTTCCCTAATGTAAGACAAGAAATGTTTCCTTAGAGTACAGTTTCGCTCTTGGTATCATGATAGATCATTCATACATTTACAGAGAAGTCTTAACGTACGTTTCTCCCTGAATAAATACCTCAAAATACTGTAACGATCAAAAAATTTAAGTATAAAATACTTGTGAAAGAACTTTGCAATCAACTGAGGGGGAATTCTCCGTGTATTGCCCTGTGCCTAGAAAGATACCCAGTAACCCTAAAAACTCAAAGTTGTTCTGGTTTGCACTCTCTCTTCATTCATCTTAATCCATATCTCCCTTTACTATGACTGCCTGTGTACAATGTAAAGATACTTCTCTTTATATACTGTTTTATTTGAACATTTCATATTACAAAGTTTTGACTAATAACTACTGATACAATACTATCAGCAGAGATACTGTAAGTTATGAAGTAATCTTTAAACGAGTTTACAATGGTCTTACTTCCGTATGACCTAAGGACATAGTTCTAGATGCTGCTCGCATAATCTTTCAATTAATCGTTTTACCCTTCGGAACAGTCTAGCTTGAGACAACATATAAAGAAGTGATGACAATTACTTCTATAATTCTTAATACTACAATCTGCATCAAATTGACAGCATCATAAACACAGGCAAATGAATTGATGAAACAAACTCACTGATTTCGTTACGCAAGTATTTGCACTGAGAGATGTGTGGAAGCTGAAGCATGGTCTTCCATTTTTTGCTTCTTCCTTTGACACGACCTGAAATACAAATCAAGTGTTTAATGACAGAAAATGCAGAATATCTTTTTAAATATAAAGTCACTGAACTTCTATCTTCAACAGATAATATACGACATCTCCAAAAATTGCTAATTTAATTCTACACGATGAAACTAATGACCAACGAATGAAGCTCCATGGATTCTTGATCAGCCTCATATTAAGCACAAAGAGGGGTTTATAAAAACTTGAAGTTTTCAAGGCAATGGTTTAATGACGGCTTTTAACAAACGTTTTAAATTTGCAAAATACAAAGAACAAGTTGCTGTGCGAGTGACACCGCTCTAAGCTTGGATTCGAGAACGTGAACAGGTAGCTCAATTGATTGAGAGACGAAGTACAGTGTCGCTGAAAACAGGTTCGCACCCGTCCCTGATTGTGCGACTCGCTTGCAACTTCTCTCCGTACGAAGTCGTAAGATTTCAGTTCTATAACTTATTTATAATATTGTGTTATGTGTTAAGTTATAGCTCTATAACTAAAATACTAAAGTGTTAAGTAAAAGCTCTATAGCTAAAAAATGCAAACTGGAAACTAAACAATCACTGCCCGTTCATGGCTTATGGATAGCTGTGGATCGGCCAAGAAACAGGCATGATTGAACCACCAAAACATTTGCTAATCTACATTTAACTTCATATGAACAAAATATCGAGAAATCCGACTTTCAACTAGAGCTCGCCTTGTGTTTGAGGAAGAGCACTTGCTAATCTATTGAACAGTTAACTTCAAGTGAACAAAAGATGGCGAAACTCGACTTTAAACTAGAGCCTGCCATGTACGACGATCAAAAAGCTTGCGCTCCCTCTACTTCACAGGAGGGAACTGTTTGGGTGGGGAAGAAAAATCTTTGGGAAACATATTGACGGAAACAGCAAGGGAATCTTGTGAGCTTTTAGTGAGCGCGCAAGTTCTCAAAAAGTAACACGTAAAGCTTTCTTTGAAGGCTACGAGATAACATCGAATGTGGACTGAGAATAATTGCATAGAAACGTGGCTCATTTCAAATCCACATGGCTAAACAGTAGCTAATCAATTATTTAATGGAAGAAATCTAGAAGTCGCCGCTCACATGCTGGCTACCTTCAAATTCATCCATTCAAAGAAAAACTGCAACAGCTTAAGCTGATAAGAGCTTCTCTAAAAACACAATGTATGTGGTTGTGCACATTAGCTTTTGGTGTATCGACGAGCTTTAAGCAGGAGAAGTACAGGGATTAGGTCTATTTACGACAGCTTGTGAAGAATTCTAGATGAAAACCTAAAACATAGCTGTACATATTAATATGTTAAAAGCAGCACAAGTTATAAAAAGCTGAAAACCTTCAACAAAAGGACGTTTAGGCCCGAGATTAATTAAGATACGAAGTTTTAACATTTGTAGAAGTAAAAAAATAGCGTTTAGATGCGATTGCTTCATGAAGTAATCACCAGGATCTAAAGTTTCTTTTGCAAAACTGGTTCGCGTTGGATAATGCACAGTAGATTCAAAGTAAAGCAAGAAATGTATGTTAAAGAAACACATGAAAGCATGTTAGAACTGAGACAACTGCCAAAAATTGCTGTAGCTCTTTGCACAAAAATTAACATCAGCTTTCGGTATTTTGTATGCTTTTCCTATGAAATTTAGACCATAAGCGATAAGAAATTTTTAAAGAATTCTAGAATAAACAGACCACATATCGATTGAATTTCGCGGCGAAGAGCAGTTCGCAAATAGTCACACAATAACAAGTTACAGCAGCTAATTATTATAAATAATACCAATATAAAATATGCTTTGTTCCCTTCAATGTTTTTTCTTTTGAGTTTCTCTTTTTAAAGTTGTTTTTCGATTAAATGCAATTGTAGCCTATCAGGGGCGGATCCAGAGCAAACTTGAAGGAGGGGCAGTTGGTAGTGGGGACGCTGGAAATTTTTCAAAAATTGGTGACGAGAGTACGCTGTATACATTAATTTCAAATACATTTTCGGAGTAAACAACATAACTTTGAGGTAATCCTTGAAGCAAATTAACCTATCGGTCTCAGAAACTTTTTCACCTGATTCTTATTCTTCAAAGGGGGCGCACAGTTTCCGAAAAAGGAGCGCCAGATTTGCTTCAACTCGTCGAGGGAGGGGCAACTGCCCCTAGTTGCCCCCTCTTAAATCCGCCACTGTAGCCTATTGCAATTGGTGGCCCAATTAAAAAATGGTTGTTCGACACATCCTTCAGGAAATTGAGTTACTTTTCAGAAAATTTAGAACCGACTTGTCATTACAAATTCAAACAATGGCAAATATAATAATTCTAGATGGTGATACAATCATCAACAAAAGTTGGCTGCCACCAAAACTATTTCAAACAGAGTTGCATAAAGATATTCACGAACAATACCAGCTTTTTAAGCAAGTTAAAATTGGCACTGAAATGAAAAGTCAAAAATCCCTGGATGAAAGCACAAAAGGCCAGAAAAAAAATCATAATTGTTAGCTGTCTATCGTCTATTACACTAGATTTTTATAAGAGATTTTCGAATCCACCATATAAAATCAGAAAACCATTAACCATTCCCTTAATTACGCGCTCTCCTTACAGAGCTACTTTTTGGTTGCGTTCATGTTCAGTTTGAGCCCGAGTTTTAGCATATCCAAAAACCAGTGAAAGTGAAAGTCACATTAAGCAAACGTCCCATCCAACATTCGAAAATCGATGAATTCGTGGTGAAAATCTTCATTACTGACAATGAAACCAGATCTGTTGAAAACTAAAAAAGCAGCACTGCACAATCAAAAAGTTCATAAATTCTTGTTACGGCACTGTTCACAAGTATGACATTCGGTTCTGTGACGTTGATTCGCCCTTGTTATTACGTCAGGCTTGGACTATTTTCAGCTGAATATCGATGTGGTGTGCAGGTTGAACTTTTTTTCAAGCCTTCTAGACGATAAGGCAGTTTTAACTGTTTTATATCTTATACATTCTTCCTAAATCTATTATTATTTTTCCAAAACGTGATTTCCACGATAAGGCGCAATATGAAATCTTGTCGGTCTCACTAGAATGACCTCACTTCAAGATTTTGATATAATTTCTTTATATACAGGTGGTTTGCAAGTACGAGTAAGCAAAGGGAAGTGACTGCGTAATTCATCCGGGCCTTTTTCCATTTATGCTTGAAAGGCATGTTCTGGTAATAAATCTTTGATGCGCGCTTCTTGTAAAAACACTAATGTTCTTTCCTGCCCCTACTTCATACGCTTTCCTCTTTTGCAAAAAGCTGGCAATATTTGTTTCAATGTAATCTTTTTTCGACCATAACCATAGAACTTTCGATCATATGCAAGATAAAGCAGAATTCAACATCGAGTGATGCCTTGATTGGTGCTGTGTGGCTACTGGGCTTCTAAGGCTTTACAAGCCTATCTGATCAACTACTTCGATTTTTAAATCTATTTATCCCAATTATTTAGTCTATTCGATATTTCACAAAATTATCTATCCTCTTCTTCTCCCCATTCCCAAGCTAGAGTGCTTCCTAGCTCTCTTGGGTATACCTCTGGGGCAATAGCGGCGTCATTTGAAGGGCTTGGGGAAGGACCAATTTTGCATTAGTTTAAATTCGATGAGAAAATGTGGGAGGAGGGGGATATTTTGGCAAAGTACTTTTGTGGTGTAATTGTGGTGGATTTTGAAACTGCTTCTACGTAACCAGATGTTAGGCACGGGCGTTCCCTTCGGGTAAAATTTGCGTCCCTTGCTGACAAAAGGGAGTTTTCTGGCATTAAAAAGGACGTGGCCTAAAAATCTTTGCTTTTGGAATTTTAATTTGGCACAAATAATTAGTTTAGCAGCGAACAATGAAAAAGGTAAACTACACCCTCCTTCTGCTGGAGCAAAGAGACATCCTGGCACATCTTGGCTACATCTTAACTTCTTCAAACAATATCTAGCCAAACTGATGTATCTGCTATATTCAAAAAGTAACTACGATACAATATGACATAATATAAATAACCATAAAGAAAAATATTATCTTACGAATTAGCCAAAACAATTATAATGAGAATTTTCTAACCACACAGACTCAACAGAGGTCAGGAAAAAATGGAAAATTGTAAGCCATGACTTCTGATATTTAAAGGTAGCGTGTCCCCCATAATTCTCAGAATCTCTTTTCGTGGCCACAATATTCATGCATCGTTGGTGTAATACATAAATAAACAGTCAGAATGAAGAACCACAAAAGTTCACTTTCCCTGAGCGAGTTGTTGTGAATTTTTTTTGGTGTCAAACGTCTTAGTCTGTTTCGATGATATAAAGATTAGGCATTTTTTGTCGAGCTCTTCCACAATAACTAACGTCAGATGCATGAAAGGCAAAAGAGAGACCCTCTTCTAAGGTGAGGTTGTCAAGTTATAATTAGCCAATCATGGAGTGCGCAGACTGCCTTTAAAATAAAAAAGAGATATGTGGGTCATTTTCAACTCAATTTTGAGGACATAATTTGTAAGAACTGAAGTATAACAATCATATAGGATCTGAGGCTAATATGAACAAATACTATATTGTGTCTAAACTTTGTTCAGGGGATGTATGGAGGGGACACATCATTATGGCAATTCATCTAAATCTGATGTGAATATGTAACAGGGGAGCTAATATTTTTGCCAAGTATTATTCATGGTATGATTCTTTGGTTTGAAATCACGTTTACATAAAAGTTTCTCATTAGGGTCCCTTTAATAAAAGGATGTTTTCTGAAATTAATAAAGGGATGGCTTTTTGTCCAGTCCACTCTATCATTCTGGCCTTGTTCATTTCCTCTGACACATGATTCTCAAAAGAAGTATAAAACTTAACAGTTATCAATGGATGCTAAAACTTTCAGGATTTTTTGGATGTCTCCAAAGTTGGCTATTGATTTTTTAAATGCAATCTCCACTCAGTTCTTTCATTTTAAAAATCCCTATAGAACACTTCAATTTTCCTTCACTATAAGTTCAGGCTGACAACAATTGAAAACTTGTTAAAACATGTTTGCTCGCATTTTATAATTTGCTTTCCTGAAATGAATAAATACCCAAACAGGAAAAGCAAAATGGAAAAGGATATCTTTTGAAAACCCAAACAGAAAAAGCAAAATGGAAAAGGATATTCTTTAAATATAAAGTGATTAAAAATAATATTTAAATAAAACTGAAAGCTGGTGATATGAGGTTTTTAGCTTCATCAAAACTGCAAATACTATCGCTCTCTTACTTTCCTCTCTCAAATATACTTAACAAAATGATACATTTTCATGGATGCTACTTCATTAGAAAACAAAATGATGTAAAATCAATTGATTTACCACTCAATCTATACTGATCCCAAAGGTGCACAGGTAAGGCACTTGATTAGATTAATTTTGTAAATACAATTATAAGTTAATATAATTAAACTAATCTCAATTATATATCACCTTAATAAAAACCAGAAGAAGATTACTTGTGAATCCTGTTTGATAAACAATATTATCAAAATGACAGGTAACCTATGAATTACAATTTCGAATCCTTCTCACCCATGTACAGAAAAGAAATCTTAAAATCAAACTTTAAATAAAAGAAATTTTGTTAGTTTGGTGGGATTAACAGATAAATTATAATAGGATCAGATGGCCCTTTGGGGGTTGGATTAACAAAAGTAAATTTTCATCAATAACTATAAAGCAAAAAACCTTTAATTATGGGAGAATTTGAGTATTAAATTTAGATCTTATCAAAATATAGCCACAAATTACAGAATGGAATATATAACTGTTATATAATATGCTGGCACAAAGGTAGGGAAAAGGGCTGGTATTTGCACCACTGTGAATTGTGATTCTCAATTCACTATGCAAATAGAATTACAAGATTTTCAGCTAAGGTCTCGTTCACAACCTTGTTTCTCAAAACAGAAATAATTGAAAATAAATTGTCACAAAGAAAAAGGAAAGCAAATATAAGGAGTTAAGTAACAAATTTACTAAAAAAAATATGACAGAAAAACAAGCAAGATTGAAGGTAAAACTGTTAATGGACCAGGCAGAGTTAGGCAAATGTCTGTTCTTAAGTCAAGGTGAATATGAGGCCCTCAAATAAGAAAATTTCTGGGGTAATGTGCAATGTGGTATGCTTATATTCATTTATTGTAAACTGAAATCAACAATAAGCAACTAAATCTGTGTTCAGTTCTGGATTTTTATGGCTTTTTACCCACTTAAAGCAAACATTGTCCATGCTTTGAAATAGATTTCCTTAAGAAAATGAGAAGCAAGAATCACAGCTCAACTAGCAAAGAAATGAATGTATTCTAGATATCTTAAACTGGACACTTTCATTAAGAAAGATTTCAAAATATTTGTTTCTCATTTTTTAGACAGTTAAAAAGTAATAATCTACAGGGCATAAAATGGAATTTTCATATTCAGATTGCAAAAAAGTAGGACACCAGTTCATGTTATGACAGACACATGTACCATTATGAAATAACCATTTGAAAATGAGAGTTTTAAAAAAAACATTAATTCATCTGCTGAAAAGCTAAAGCAGCTGCTTAAATTATCAAATTTTTTGCTGATAGTAATCTAGATAAAGGCAGTGAAACAAAATACAGAATCATTTTAATTAAACCTAGTAAATTAGCTTGACATTCAGACAAGCAACCAAACTGAGGAAACTGGAAGCCCTCAAAACATTATCTTGTGGTTAACATACAATCAACTGGAATCAACCTTTGGAAACATAACAATTCTAATAGAGAAATGCATTAGTTAATACACAGTAGCTGCATTGTGCAAAAAATGCATCATTTACTACCAATTATGTGTAACTCAGAGTTATTGGTGTGATACCATGGCTCCCTCCCACATGCCTTGATCAATATCTATACTAGAAGAATTGTACAACCTAAAATTTTGCATGTTAATCTGAGTCTCCAGGTTTATCACATTTTTTAAACATACACTTTGTTCTTTATGATTTGATGTTTAGAGGTGTGTATTTTGTGTACTAAGTTGCTTACCCCGGCTTTCATACTTTATGTGGTTTTCAAGCTTATACCTAGCTCTATCATTATATTGCACAGAACACTGGTCAAAATGAATCTGCACTGATTTGCTCTTTGAGTAGACTAATTTCATTCAAATAACTTAGATTAATAACAACTTTTATTTACCTGCATGCATTACTAATTCTCAATAGAAAAACCAACAAATAAAACTTTATAGGTTAAAAATCTGATTACCAGCATGTAATTTTTCCCAAATTTTTAATGAAACTTTCTAAAAAGAAATTCTCAGAAGATAAAACCTTCCTTAAAACCAAATAGAACCTGTCCAGTCCAATTTAGCAGCTCAACTGGTTGATGACCTTTGTCTTATTAAGGAATATATAGAAAAAATTGCATTTTATTTTCTTTTTAAAAATGAATGCGAAGCTGAGCTCAGCTTCATAACAAGTGTTCATTGTCTTTTCTCAAACATAACTAAACTCCTCTTAAAAACCCATGAATAAGAACAAAGCACAATTAAAAAACATTCAGCGACATTTTCCAGCTGCCCAGCAAATACTGACAAATTCCTCTATCTTTGTAGTTCAGTTCTGGGTACTTTTATTTCGAATAGCTGGGAAAACTTAAAATAAAAGAAATACTTCTCATAAAAAACGGCTATGTGATATGCATCATATACATGTTACGACAATACAGACTATTGAGATTTGAGGTTAAGGTTAGAACAGATTGTAACCAAATAAATGAGCAGTTCAGCACAAATTATTTATTTTTAGGGATGGGGCCAACCGACTCAATACCATAGACTGCTTCCGGGACGTTAACAACTATAAACAACGAGAAGGCTTTGTTTCCCAGGTTTTCTTTACTTTGCTTTTAACAAAGCGTTTTCCGTGGATCAGCTGCATCCAAAAACTGCCCAGTACATAGGTGTGGAGTCATCTGTTTATGGCATTGATATAACGAGTTTTTGGGTAGAATATATTGACATCGATGAGGAAAAGGTGACATGACAGGGCAGGATTAGGCCTAGTATCAAGAGCCGCAAATATTCACACGGAAATACACGAAACAATGCCGCAAATGAATTTGTTTGGGCGTAACTGTATCTTTGAAGACAACCAAAACGCGCAGATAACCGCTAATTTTCTCTGTATCCTTGTGTCGCATTTGCAATTACGAGCGACTATCTCCGATCTCTTTATCAAACACTAGCGACTTCGTTGGCGGCCCGGACAGGAAGGGAGGGCCTACGTCCCAACAAATTTTGCAACATCCATTCGTGAAAACCTGTTCTGAATTCGAAATTCTTGGTGGCGTTTGAAGCGCGAATTGTTAAGGCCATGATCCGAATAAAAATAATAGGTTTTTTAAAACTACAAAACTATACATCAAAAAATTGAAACAACTTGGCAGAGGAATTCCAGCTTTAGGTTGACAACACACCGATAAAGGTCTATGCAATATACTCACTTTCCCTTGCCTTGAGATAGACTGTATTGGCGACAATATTTTCTAGCTCCATCCATAGGCCTTTACGTAAATCTTTCCTACTTCATCTAGTCGAAATAAACTGTCAAAAAGAGTTGTTTTCCATCCCTTCCTCTACATGTCCGTCTCTGCTCCTCAAATTTGATCTCGAAGATGAAACCCATACATTGCTACTTTGCCGAAGAAGAGCCGCTGCGCAGCCATAAAACAGTGCAGAAACGCCATCAATCGAACAAATTGTTCAGAAACATACTTGAAATCAATTTCTGTTTAAGAAACCTCATACCTCTATTGAGTTTAAAAATATAATTAAAAGCACACTTCTTATACATTCATAACTTATTCTTAGAATTCTCGCTGCCCTACAGCAGCCTCGTCAGTAAAAATCAAGTGAGATTCATGAAAATAACTCGAACAGAGGTGTATAGGAACACAATAAATATTATTCTAGAGTAGATATCGATTGTAAACTACCAGTACAAATAAACCTTGAAGCAGTCTACTTGAACGTAACTACTATCAAGCATCAGCAATTTGTTGATAGAGTGATTCCATCGAAAAAGATAATATGAAATAAGGGTATATTTCCCAATTGCGATATCTATGAAGCACTTCAGAGAGACAAACAACCGGTAGTAGAAAATGGGTATGTCAAAGAAGCATTTTGAAGCTTCGTTTGTGACGTGGAAAAAAATATCCATTTGCTTAAGACGGTCATTGCTGCCTTGCAAATTTGAGATATTTTCTAGTCAAAAACATTAAGGATCTCACCATTTTCACGACCTCGCAAGGGCATTGAAGCCACTCGAGAGCACACCTGTTAGAAATGAAAACATGCGCAAGTAAATTGGAAAAGATATAACGCTGAGGATTCGATGTTTTTATGACAATAAAACGCTCGAAATTTATGCAGACCATCACCTGAGAAATCGACTCTCAAGCTTCTGTTGTTCAATATTTCAACTAGTGTTAGATTTTTTAATTCGATACCTGTTTATTAAAAAACAAATTGCTACCTTTGGTTGTCGACTAAAATGCACCTGCTATCAACTGCAGATAAGAAAAAAGCGACTTCCACAGAAATAACGAGCGAAATAGCATTGATATAGTGCTCGTGCGGTTAGAATTAAAATCAAGTACAATATCATAGCTTGACTTAAATTCTATTCCGAAAACGATGTCTACTTGCTTATGAAAAGAAAAATGCGAAATAACCGATATTTTTTTACAGATATGAACAGGAAATTCTCTGTAACACATCCATATTTCTGGGATAAAGGGAGCCCTTTGTTAGATGGGAATACAGGTCATTCCGTGAAAATAAGCGAAGAAAATTACTTTTCTCAATTCTTTTCATAGCTTTGCACAATTTTAAGTAAGAAAATGTCAAGTAAAGAAGAAATATATATAAAAGCAGTGGGCATTATGTTAACACTAGGGAAGTGGCTTCTAGCGTTTATATGTTTCCTTGTTTTAATGAAAGTCGTTGCAACAAACTAAGACAAATAAATTACTTTTTCTTTTGAGCCACTATCTTTCTTGGCCCTCTGCTTCCATTTGCAGCCCAAAGACGTAGCAGTAATTATAAGTGGAATTGTAGAAAATCAATGGTGCGTTGTTTGGCGATGCCTGTGAGTAGAGCTGCGGGGTGGCGCAAGAGGGGCGAGCTGAAGACTACCTGTTGGAGCAGGTGTAGAAACAGTTTGCATTTAACGACAGTGCTCATCCTATAATTTTCCTATTTGCCTCCCCAAGATCATCAACATCTGTCAAGCTCCCTACAGCTTTACAAAATAACAAAAATTCAAGCTGAAAATTCAAGAACAGTTTTAGTGTAAATAGTGTTGACTATGGTGTTAAACCAGGGGTGTCCAACATATGGCCCGCAGGCCAGATGCGGCCCACGAGGGCATATTCTGTGACCCTTATTAAGGCAATAACTTTATTTACGGCAATAACTTCAATAAATTGACCCCTGCACTATGTCTATGAACTAAAACTATTCCAACCAACATTGTTGGTCATACTTTGTCGTTACTAGGCATATTTTCTCATCGTTCGGCAAACTGATTTAATCTAAAGCAGGCGTGTTCTCTTATGAAGCTGAACAAGTCTGCAGTTTACAGAAGAACATTTACATGACATTCTTCGCACATCAGCTACTAGTTTAGTAAATAAACTTTGTGCAATCAGAACACGTAACATTTCGTATTGATGATTTTTTCTTTCAACTGCTTATGTAACCTTTCATATAATTTCCCACGTTGTATCTATTTACTATTCACTACAAAATCTGCCGACAATTATCTATCTGGCAAGTCTTTGACGTATGGTTTTTGTCTGTGGTCCAACCCTGAAAATTAGTTGGATAACCCTGTGTTAAACGTTCTTTTATCCGAAACATGAGCCTAATAAACGTGTTTTGAAATTTGACAAAACTGTTATCAAGTTGCTACATGGCGAAATAAGAATTGAGCAACACTAAAACTTCTTTCACAAGTAAATCAGGTCTTTTTGGAACAAAGTCAGAACAGACGCTGAAGTTATATTTTCCAAGGCTGGCTCAACATTTGTGATGAAAATATTATTGTACAGTGGGATGTATAGTATTCAGAAAATGTTGACGAAAATTTAAACATTTTGCTGGTGTAACTTTAAAAAAACCTTCTTACGGAAAAGAATCAGATACAAAAGCACCTTTCGTAATAAAGCTTCTTTTTACTGCCCCTTCAGTATCAGCTTTGCAATAAAAACGTGCCAGAAATGGCTGAACCCCTCCAAGGGTATTGGGGACGGGGTGGAGATGAGGTAAGTCTTTAGTAAAGTCCTTGTAATCGTAGCTCGTCGACAAATTTTTGGTTGTTCATTATTATTTGCCAAGTACACCAATCTTCGTGAATCAACGTTCAAACAAACAGGAAAGCACACAGGCCTACGAAGAGAAGGGGACAACGGGGGCAAACTGTCAACTTAATATAAAACACATGTTCCGATTTGGAGATCACCAGTAGAGGGGCTTTGAGTAATTTTTTTCAAATGTCCTTCATTTCGCATTTTGAGTTCAGTATCAATGGATAAAAGTAAATTGACAGGCAGCTGGTTCAAGGGATCAAAGAAAAGTTGTTCTATTATTGTTGTATGTTAGATTGTTGTGATGACAGAAAATATTCGTTTCGGCTGGGATGAAGTACATAATTAATAACAATCCATGAACTGGTTTATCGCTAATCATATATCTTTAATATAGACATGAACATTGGAGCCATAGATGATAAATTTAAAGTCTAGAAATTTGCCGACAAGCCCAAAGTTGGGGATCGCAGGACCTCTTTGGCTATCTATGCATCTGCTCGCTTCACGTACGTTTCTTTGTTTGAAAGAATTGGAGACTTCTTACGGTTATCATAGATTCTTCATTTTTAACATTAGGAAAACAGGTTTGCATATTGAAAAATTGCTATCGCGACTCGTCTAAGAACAGGAGGTTATTCTGTGACATCATTTCCTATATGATGCATAAATCACACAACTTGAAATGGAGTGTTTTCGAAGACGAGGGAGTAACGAGGAAAGCAAAATTACGAATTGTGATTCTTGAAAATTAGCAGGAACTGGCCGGATAATCACCAATATAAGGTCGGCAAATGCTAGGCAACAACTACCACTTGAAAATATGATAGAGCCTCACAACACTAAAGACTGAGAATTTTTCTGGGGAAATTCAATCTACAGAGGGAGCAAATTCATTGTGTTTAGTAAGAGTCTTTTGACCAATTATGTATGGAGCCGGGTGGAGCTGCTTTCGGTTTACCTGCGGTTACAAAGTCTTTACATAAGATTCAAACACAATATATAACTTGGGGAGATAACAATGAAACCTGATAATTACGAAAGGCTCGGATGTCTTATACATTTAAAAGCTTATGATGGGTCTAGATAGCAATGGAAAAGAACGAAAAAGGCACTTCATCTCATTTGCTTTGAAAAGCTATGTCCAGCTGGTCGATGGAGAAAAGCGGTGTCACTTCAGTATCATAAGATTGATAGAAATATTAAAAAGTGCGGGCCTCCCTATGAACCAACCTTTAGCCCTGTACTTGAATCTATGCATGTATGTTACCTGGCGAAGATTAGTTGCTAGGCTAACCAGGTTTATCCTCTGTAAATAAAGTTTATCTATCTATCTATCTATCTATCTAAATTTGCTCCAGAGAATCAAAGCCACCTAAATAGATGGGATCGGAAACCGAGCCATCAGAGCATTTCTTAAGAAATTTTCACTGCTGGGGAAAATTTACAAAAAGGGCCCAACAAGAAATAACCGAAAGAAGCACACGGGTATACGCTGCGGTGAGACGTTAATTTGAAACCATCGAAAAAACAAGCACAGCTAAGGAAAAAATTAAGAATAAACAGTGTAATGCCAACCCCAGCCAGTTCGCACTGGACACTGTCACACAATCCTGAACCGTTAAGGTATCAGGGATCCAGTTACCCTGGGTACCAAAGACATATATTCGGGCCAAGAAATAGAAAATAGGAGCGGGAAGTGGATGAGCGTCTTCCTGAGAAGAATGAGAAGTGGTTCTGGGCTAACTCTTCGTCTTAAATAGACGCTCCTCCGCTTCCCGCACCTATCTTCTATTTCCATTCACGAATTTATGTGGCTATGATACCCAATCAGGGCCAACGCCATGAAGTTTAACGTGGGGGGAGGGGGTAAGGCTAACTAAAGGGAGTGTTCACGGCATATTTCAAAAAGTGAGGAGGCCACGGTCACCCTGGCCCCTCGGCGGTGTGGGCCCTGCCAGGGTAGGATCCATTTTGTTATTTGAGTAGTGTGGCAGCAGTCTCGTAGAGTTACATGTAATGTTTCTGGTAAAGGCAATGTACTATGATGTTATTGCGTGCGTAGAAAGGACTAAATTTGAGTTGAATATAATAAGATATGCCGTTATCCTTTTTCATAGGACCGGGCAAAAAAGCCTGATAGACGATACAATATAAATCTAATTTTGAAAATTGCAAAAAGAGAAAGTACAAAGTCAAGAAATAGAGTTAATGTCATTTAAAAATTGATTCAAAAAAACATCGGAGGTCAGTAAAAATTGCCAGGGCTCAAAACTACTGAGGAAATTCTGTGATTTCGTCTCTCATTACTGGGGCAAGCATTGGGCCTAGTGGGGAATTTTCCCCAGTAGTTACACTGTTAAAAAATGCTCTGCGAGCCATGGCCCTCATCTCTTGTAAATTCGTCCGATCTTAACTTTTCCATTTGCATCGAAGAAGGTTGTTGGGTAGACATAAAAAGGCTTAAGAAAAAATTGTGGCAAAATAATAATGGTAATACACCAAGCATGATGTGATGTGAAAGAACAAGAAGAGCTCTCACAGTATATATCTAAAAACAATCGCAAAAAAAGGTCAATTTTGTATGGACAATTTTGCCACAACTATCTCTTTTACACTAGGGTCTACAAAATTGATCAGCATTTTGAAAGAAACAGTTCAGTCGAAAAAAGTAATGACAATCATTTAGCAAATACAAGCGTTAGAACCATCGCATCTCCGGGGTCTTGGGCCCCCAATAATTCATACAGCGTGTAGTGTATTCTTCAAGGACCGCGGAGCATATTACAGATTGACGGGCTAAAATACTTTGGGGGGGGGACTAAAGATGCTAAAACAAAGAGCAGGGCGATTTTTGGTATGATTTTAAGTACGTTTTGGAGATAACTTAGGGGCTAAAGCCCCCGTAGCCCCCGTAGCCCCCCACCCCCTCTTCTGCGGTCCTGGTATTAATTCAAAATATCCAGCATATTTTGTTAGATAGCATTGGATACATTGTGCGCCACTTCCCCCAATAATTTGCTTCTTGGCACGGTTTTGAACATATGAATAGAATAGAATGGCCTACGAAGAATAACTGAGGACGAGAAGTGTCTTCAATCTATCCTAAGTGATCGCTAGTAAATACTTCTCTTAAATAGTATAGGGCAAGTTTAACCAATATTTGGGATCGCATCTGTTCAACAATTTCGTTTTGTTGTGGCAGTAGCTGCTTAAAATAGTGGGCGAGCTTCTAATGGAAGGAAGTCGGAATTTGGAAGAATCCCCGTAAATTATCGCCGGAGATTGTAACTATCTTGCGGTGTGAACAAAATGTTGCCAGTACTCCTCCTCGGGCAATTGAGGCTGATTCTTGAAGTGTGGCAAGCGGAACTTTTTCACAGTACAAGATGTATCTCTTGAATTAAAAGTCGCAAATTACAGCATGGATGGATGTATTTTAAAAAGAATCATTAAATATTCACTCTAGCAATTTATACACGACCATATTGCAATTCTGTTCAGTAAATGGATTATGTTCTACAAATCTGCAACTTGTTCAATTTGTCTTTCTTTAAAGAATCGGTGTCGCTGAATCTCCTTTGGTTTGTTCTTCTGTGAGAAGAACGAGGTAATAGGAGCCATGTTTTTGGTACTTTCATCAACTTCCTCGTCATCTTCCCTAAAAAGGAGGTGTGAAATTCAAGATTTCAATACAAACGGCCGATGTTAGTTAATCAAGTTGACGCGTGATGCTTTGAAGAACAGGCCTCGTGTTAAAAACGAGATAAACCAAGGCGACGCCCTGCTATGGCAAACATGCATACGATATTTTTCAATCTTCCTTTAGATTCATCCTAACAGAAGATAATATTTTTAACCAGTCTAACATTCCCATAAGCATGCTATCTTAGAGGTAACGGAGCTTAGTTGGTTGTGAAAAAAACAGTTTTTCCAAGGGATTTTCCAAGTTTCCAGGTATGGCAAAAAATAATTCCAAAAAGCCATTAAAGATGTTGCCCACACTTAATTCATTATACAATGTGGGGTGCTACAAACATTTTTCTGTACGCCTTTCTTTACATACCTTCGACGTTTTCTGCTGAGCTTTTTGCTTTATTCAAGAACTTTCCTTTTTTAACAAGCATGCCTCGTGGAGGGTGTGGTATAAATAAAAATATAAACCTTAGTTTTTTTGCAAATCGTTGCAATGTCTAAAATGGTATTTTCCCACATTCACTCAATTTTCAGCATTTTCTAGTGATAAGGTCACATCAATTCTAACAGGGGCCACCCTACCAACCACTACGATGTTTTTACTGTGGAAAAACACTAGTTCAATTAGTAAGGAGATTGTGCTACAATGAAACCACTTACCACTCGACACTAAATGCTTTACTCTCCAGTATATTACTAGTAGTTGACCAACTGAATCTAACAAATTGTGGATAACCGAATACAGGGTCGAGAACACTGGCCAACCATTTCTTTGTTTGAGGGTCTGCAAAAAAGAGAAAATTTAAATACCTACAAAGGGACGAGAAATACAGACAATTCAGGGGTTTCCTTTATTCTTTAACAGATTGCCTTAAATAATTAATAGTAAGATAAAACTGTTAAATCAAAGAAAGCAAAATGTAAGCAGATTTATATCTTTGTCACGACTAGAAATATTGGCTAGAAAAAATTGGCTAGGAAATGGGTAGAAAAATTGGGTAGAAGCGATCGCGTTGGCATGCTTGCGAACAAGGTAATCCAAAACAAAATAATTTAATCTACCACATCTTACATTCATTGGCTACAGGACTGACGTGCCCTGTTTTTATTCCTGTGCAAGGACACAGCAAGGACCTTGTGAAACAGAGCTCGCCATCAGAGACGTAGGAACGGGGAGGGGCGCTGGGGGCAAACGCCGCCACAGATTTTGCAGTAAACGAAAGGTTTAGTCCCATTTCTCCCTGAAAAAACGAGTTTAAATGGACTGTAGATACAATGCCCTTCCAATGTTGAGCTAAACGAGTTTAAATTTCAAAAGCAATCTTACCCTGCAAAGTTTCTGGACTCATTTCAATTAACACGTTTGGCTATGTACTGAAGTGTAAAAATCAGCTACACCTTTTGCAGCTGTGTATCGCATATTCTTCAAGTGCTCTCTTAGTGAAAAACGTTGTCCTCAAACTGTCACGCCTCCCTTCCTCCTTCAATGACCAGACATTTTTTTGGTTTTTTTCAGAGAGAATCGCACATCTGCGATAAACTTATTATATAAGCCGATAAGCCTAGTTTTCAAAAAGGTGCGTTTTATGGAATCAAAAACGGCATTGTCACCAACATTCCCCTCAAGCCCCTCCAATTAGGCTCGATCCGCCCTTACCCCACCAATTTTACCATCTTTGTAAGGATACTGGTTTCTAGCCCAAATATTCCATCGTATTCCTAGCGTTTCCCCACCCTCATCTCTAGCTAAAGCGGATGCGCCAGCACACCAAACCACTAACTTTGATTTCGGGCGTGAAACAAATTTTAAATAACGTTCTAGATTATTTAAATGCAAATAAGTAACTTGCGAATGGGTGGCGTTCTTGTTATATTGATTCAATTATTGACAAAATGGATATTGATAGATTAGAGCTGGCAAGTCCTACTTAAAAATATAATCAAGCGAAGATATAAAAGCAAATATAGAAAAAGACTCGAAACACAAGAATTGCGATCATGCTTAGAGTGCCCAGCGAGGCTTAAAGTAACAATGCAGCGTATCGTAGGCGTCAATGGTGTAGGGCTTAGGTGCTCAAGCACACTATGCAGTTTCTCAGAGACGGCTCAACCACCTTTGGTTGTCTCTTGTAGACGAGCTTTTCAAGGAGATAAGTAGACTTTAGCCATTCATAAAGAAGTTCAAGATAAGAATTCAACCTGCTAATTTTGTTCTTTGAATGTGTCACTTTTTCATCGCCTCATTCACACTAAAATATCATTGAGAGAATGAAAATAGCACCGCTTCTTAAGTCTGTATCATTCTTATATATCTAAACATTTTGTTTATTAAAAAATTAGCAAACAGACAAACTTCAATATAATTTTCGACTTGCACTTTCGGAAGGCTTTCAGAGGAAAAAAGAACTTGAAGGGAAGCCGGGGAAGCATTTTTCTGTTGCTCGTGCTTTTTGCGTTTTTGGCCGCGAAACGTCCTGAAATACTAATTTACGAAAGTCTATTTTTGCGAAATATCTTGAAAATTTTGCTATTGATCTACTTGGAAAAGTTGTTGGCGAATGATTGTTTTTAAGAAATTTTAATATTGATTTCATTGTTTTGTTGCTTTTATGTGGAATGACAATAGAAGAAAAACTTAGGTGAATAGAAATGATTTTGAGCGATGTTCATGAAAATTTGCTTTTGCGAAAGATCCTATTTCACTTCTTCTGCGAACCTTGATTCCAAAAGTTTTGCGCAGTATTCAATTCACTCTCTACTCACTCGTGGAAGGTCATTATCATCTAGAAATGCAACAATGGCGACAACAGACAACTACCTTGAAACATACATATTCAAATCATTTCTCTAGGAAGTAGGACAGACTTGTATTTGTGCGAAATTTGAAATATATTTTCTGTTAAGTAGGTGTTGGCCATAGAGGGTCATGTGGCCTGCGAGCAGACTTCTTTTTTCGCATAGTCGTGAAGCAAGCACGCATGTTTGGGGACTTGGTTACGACTGTCATACCTCAGGTGATGTAATCTTCTGCAACTTTTGAGGAAAGGACCCGTAATATTTATAAATCTGAGCTCTGAGGGCCCGGGTGATGATCGCCACATTGCCAAAATCGAAATCAAAAGTCGGCTCTAATGGATAGAAGGTCTTTAAATGAATACTTATTTCGAAGCGGTTGCTGATTGGTAGAAAACAAAAGAACCACTTATACACTTCTTTCTTCTTTTGACGTTGATTTCGATCTTCATCTAGACAAAAATCTTCCGGTTACTTTACATCACTACAAGACGTTTATACTCTGAAGCGTGTCAGCGGAAAAGTGCTTCAGCACGCAATGTTTCCGCTATCTCGTGCTATCTTTAAATTTCTCAGTACCAAAAACGCATACGAGAAAATACATAAATAAATAACAAACCACTTGGGTATCCTGATCCATAATCTTCATTCATTTCTTTCTCTAAAAATTTCTAGGTCTTTAGGGCTTTGTCCCTTGCAACCTAGAAGTTAAATTGACATCTCTATGCATCAAAATAATTTTGATCTTTTAAACGACAACCCATTATTTGCTGGAAAGGGAAATAGGTAAGTTTTTCCAAAAAAATTAATAAAAATCTTACAATGTGCTGTTTATATGACAATAGGTGTTGGTCGTTTAGACTCTATTCTATTTCTATATTTGCTTTAGGCCTAGGAATTTTTAGATCATTTGGCCCACATTGTAATTAGGCCAGAGGAGGGCCCCTTGTAAAAACTGTGGAGCATTGCTCAATGCTAAGCTCCTTATAAACTTGAAATGAAATACTTGAAATAGTATAAAAAATAATCAATGAAACATACTGAGCCTGCTGTCAATCTCTAAAGCTTGAATGATTCTAAATCCAGGTTTCTACTTACCTTGGCACATATACTGGCAGCACTAACAATGGGAAACTTGGCATCAGCTTTTGGTGTGACTGTAACTTGAATGCTTGGAAATATTTCACTCAACTTAGCTTCATATTTCTTTGCATCACCAACCGTGTCAACATAAAGCTGAAAGTAACATAAACTTGAAAGCCAGTAATGTAAGGAATTTTAAGATTACAGCTGTCAAACAAATAACTAAAATTTTACATCCAAGTATTCCTGAATTTAGGGTTTCCTCTTGTGCACAAAACAATTATTGTTATATGCTGATATCTATAGAACATACAATAAGTTTAATTACTTGCTTGAAGGGTGGTAGCTCCTTTGGTTAGTGTGCCCCTTTTGTTATAGTTTTCCAGTGAACAATTCTGTTGTTCTTAAACAATGATTTCCCTCAATAATTCAATACTTCAAATCGATCAGTGACCAGAATGATATGAAGGTATGATACCTGACACTACTTACAAAAATATAGACTGATAAAGCCTGATAAAAAGAATTAGATTTTTACAGTGAATTCTAACTAAAGCCATGTGAAATGTTGCTTGAACAGATATTGGCAGTTAATATGCAAAAAGTTTAAGCATAGAAATGTAATTGCAACATTCTCCCTGTTTATTATTTGACTCAAAATTTAAAACAACTGTAACATATGAGTGAAATAAAAAGAACCACATAATCAATTTTTTCAAATCAATTAAACAGCAGATTTTTGTTTTAACAGCAAAAAGCTTAATGACATGCCTACATGTTTGCTCTTTTGGGATTTAATATATGCTTTTCTTAATATCCATATGAAACCATAATGTGTTTAGTCAGAATTTTTGCCTTAAAGCTTATTCATGTTTGCTTGCAGACAAATATAATTGCAACACCATTTACCTCTTTCACATTCACACCCTTCTCAAGTGCTCTTTTCACCAATGCAATAGCAGAATCATGTGAAATGGCATTTAAGCTATATTTTGTTCTGAAAATAAGCATATTCATCTCAGATAGATGAAATCTTAACAATTACATCCTAAAAAAAGAATATTAGTTATCTTCATAGTGTTTTATTAAGCTTTTCCAGAGGAAAATACTCTTGTGTTCGTTCGACAAACTATTTTCTACTATAGTTTACAAAAAACATGAATGTGTATCTATTGCACTTTATATGAATGAAACAAAACTGGATCATAACAAAATTTTACCGATCACAAAAAATTATAACTTTTTAAGTTGATCAGTTGCAAAATATGAAAAAGTGTGACAGCTATAAAAGAGGAATGCTACATATTCTAAATACTCAAATTAGCCCCCTGGGGACTTCTCACATTTATTTCTCATATTATTGGATGGTTGGATATTCTAGGGGGGCTTATACAAGAGGGGGTTTATTAAATTATAGTAGACATCAGGAAGATATTATTGAAAGACCTCATATATTTTAGTAGGAACTTATTTATTAACACTTGATTAATTATTACCTAAGGTATAATTTTGCGGCAATTCAATAAAACAACAAAGCATCCTCAGATGGTAACAATAGGCAGATCAAGGGGGCTGATTCAAGGATTTACATTACAAGTAAGTCCTTATTTGAGGGCGGTGCCATATTGACAATTTGTAGTTCTAGGACCGGGGCTTATTTGAGGGGGGTCAATTTGAAGAGGATCAATTCAAGGATAAAGCTTAAGACTCAAGTTTCTTTGAAATCAATTAGAATGGGTGACATATAATTAAGAAATATTTTGAGCAAGTCAAACTAAAAATTCAAGTCTTAAAATTACGAAAAAATATATATGAAAAACCTCTGAAGCATATTGTTTGATATGAATGTTGGTGAAATGATATCTATCATCCAGCCAATGAAGTCCTTATTTTCATCAATTTTTTTGAATAATTCTTCCCTTGCTTCTTCAGACAGTGTTTTTGAATCTATGATTTTCAGAAGGAAATTGGAAGCTATTAAAACAAGCATTGATTGCATTGCTAATGATTGTTCATTAGTGAAAATAAATCTCCTACTGTAAAATAAAATCATTTGCCGTAAAAGTATGAAATATTATTGCACTGCTGTCAATCTTTCTAAATACTGCCTATAACAGGCAAACTTCAGACCTGCCAAGTACCACGGTTTTGCCGTGGGACCCACGGTTTTTAAAGAAAGCCCACGATCTCACGGTTGGTCAGGAAATTCTCACGGTAAATTCATAAATCAAAAAAATCAAAAAGTTTCTCCCAATTTGCCATCTTTAACGAACAAATGCTAGTGTATCTGCATATTTAGCTCACAGAACTGTTCTGCGATATTCTAACGATGTTGTATCCTAACTTAATGTCAGCTATTTCAGCTGATGAATTATATGAAGAGTTTACAGACTACCAGACACTAAATGATAATGATTTTGAAGAGAGAGCCTGGGAAGAGGCACGTGTTTCTGAAGGAGTGAAGAAAGACATGGATGGTGAAATTTCATTTCATTTTAGAATTGATGTTTTGTGGAGCTATATTGCAGATATGAAAATTCCGGGCTCAAATGCCAAGCGCTTCAAGTTTTTGCCAAAGCTAGCTGAAATCATCTTGATCATCCCTCACAGTAATGCTGAATTGGAAAGACTTTTCAGCATTGTGAAGAAAAACAAATCGTTAGAAAGGTCATCGATGAAACTGGGAGGGACATTGTCGAGTATCCTAGCGATGAAAACAATGTATCCCGAGTCCAACACGCCCTGTTATAGCTGGAAACCCACAGAAGAAGTCTTGGAAAGTTCCAAAAAAGCAACCAACAAATACAATGAAGAACACAAATAGATAGCCTACTTTTCATTTGGAATTCATGTTTCTTTTTAGTTCTTTTAACTTTTTATGATGTGATTGAACCCGTATTAAGACCTTTTTGTGTTTATAAAATCATTAAAAAGTTGTTTGATATTTCTCAAGGTTTTTCTACAAAACTCAAGGTTTTTAAAGAAATTTTTAAGAAATCTCAAGTTTTGCACCCACCAAACTTGGCAGGTCTGAAACTTTCATTCTTAATTAACCTTGAAAATGGGTATTTTCAGGCTTAATAAATACTAAAAAATGTAGCTTTACCTGCAAATCCTAACTCTGCAAGTCTTTGATCCTCGTCCAGTGGGCAGTAGCAAATCCCATACACCAAAGGGCCTGAGGCAATAAAAAGTATATAGGTACCAAATGGGTTTAGTATACATATAGAAAGCTACGAAGGTTTATCTAATAACTCACTAGGCTTTGAACATTAATTTTAACTTGGATTTAAATTTGGTACTCAAACTTTGGAGTTAGCGTGGCACGAGTTGCTAAATGGCCTGGTTCCCCTTTCTTTTCGGGTGGTGAGCAAAAAAGCAAGGCGAAAAAAGCCTACCTAAGACTGGACCTCTTCCAGCCTCGTCAATGCCCATACAACATGGTTTTGATTTTGTGCATTCCGGTACAGCTGATTCCACAACGCATGGATCTAAATTATTCCTTTCAAATTGGGAGAGGTCCATGATTGCTTATTTCTAATACTCCCGCTCTTTCTCCAAGGCCTACAAGCAGTTGATATTTTGGCGCCAATTCCAGTCTCTATTTGAAAAGGCCTGCCTCTCTCTTGAGTTCTATTGACCTGTCAGCTGTTGCTGTTCAACTCCTAAAAATTCAAAGCAATTTCAGTAATTTTCTAGATCATGAATAAATGGTAATTTTTTGGATCACAAAAGGCAATACCTTTAGGATAGATGTATTTCCATTTCTTGTAATTTAGCAATTATTTATTCTAGCTAATAGTCAGATGAAAGTTGCGGAAAAATACGACGGACCACCACCAAAGCCAATTTTTTCTCGTTCTTGTGCCTCTTGAACAATAGATAAACGACATAGAAAAATTAAAGAAGAATGAGATAAGTCAGGTGAGAAAAAGTGACAACGGCACAAAAGTGCCAAGGGAGAGAGGGGAAACTGTTCTAACTAAATCGGTGTCGAAAAATTTAAATCAAGGACGTGCTTCCACCATTAGTGATGTTCAGAATGACTTTTAGAATGATAACATCACCGAGAAAAAAGATATAAAAGGGGTGACAGCACTGGTTGATGTCAAGCAAAGACATAGGAGCTGGGGATGTTTCCAATGTTAAATGGAATGGTCGCTACGGGTCACTACCGATGCAATAGAGGAAAGTGCCCCCAATTTTTGTTCTATATGCCCATCTCTAAGAACAATTCTCTTTAAAATAATGCTTTCTTTTTGTTCCAACTTTGAAATGCCTCTGACTTCGTTGATACCGAGAATGCTAGTGACCCCTTTGCTTTGTTTGCATTGCAACTTATGAAATGCATAACAGACCTGATAATGATTCTATTGAAACCCATTAAATTAAAGTTCAGGCTGGATTGTTCTTAACTTTTTGAAAATCTGAGGCTGGAATGTTCTTAACTTGCTTATAAAATAAAAGGGTGTAAGCAGTGGAAATGCAGGCTTTTTCGCTCTAGGGAGGTGTTCAGGCCTCAACAGGGGTTCAGTACCCCCCCTCCCTTCCCCAACCACGAAAACAGGGCCTTCTCACTGGCGAAATTGATTTTGGCAGGGTAAATGTTTTCTACCAATCGATCTGCTTTGTTATTGTTTGTTCCAAAAGTGTCACTATACAGACTGCTAGTGACACGAAATATACCTTAATGCTAAGGTTCGTTTTTTAATTCTTGAATTTTAAAAAAGCTCTTATACCATAAAGCTTGGATGAAATGAAGGTTTACAACTGCAAACGTGGAATGAATCGCAATGCCAAAGATTGTAGGTGTCTAATCGGCTTTGGTACGGAGAGGGGCGACTTCTTACTCTTTCTGCAAATTTTATTGTCGCATCTTGTTTACAAGAAGTTTATATTTGTTTTTTACAGGTACCGCGGAGCCTTGAGAAAAGTGGGGGGTCTAAAAGAGTGCGGGGGCTAAAACTTAAATGCAAAATATTAAGAGGTGAACTAGCCAAAAAAGAGATTTTTCGCAAAAAGTGGGTGCTCCGCGGTGCCTTTTTTGGAGCCGCTTGTTTCAAATCTTTTGATAAACTTTGTTATTAAAAGTAAAATGACTGTTTTTGAGAATAAATATAACCATTTGTTTGTTTATTTTTCATGCAGCAGGTTGGTAGTACGCATGATGATTTTTATGGCACTACGGCTAAGCTTCGATACCCTTATCTTGAGGAATGTTTGTGTATAGTGATTATACATTCAGTGCGACCAACCACCAGGGGCGAAACTTTACTATTTTCATTAGGGGGGTATGAAGCTTAGTTGCCCGACGAAAGGGCGTGACATGCTTGATGAAAGGGCGTGTCCTACATGAACTTCATTTTTAGAGCACATCGCCTCAAGGGCTGAAATCATCGGGAAGCCCGAGAGAGGGTCTTTAGACTTAGGCTGTTTGTTTTAAGTCAAAAAATATGCCTCTAGTTTTTCTGGTGTTGGCTATAAACATTTGTTTCCGAAAAGCAAGCATTTGTAAGGCCTGTCTTTTCTATAAAAGAAAAAAGTCTTCACTTTCTAAATCACCTAGCTTTTAACAGAGCAATTCAAAAAAGAGATTGAAGTAGGGTCTCAATTTTATCAAAGTGGAACACCAAAACACAGCTTTGGAATTTCGGAATTTAGAAACAGCTACGCAGATTACAATGTTTCAACAAAAAAGAGCTTCAGTTGCATTCTCTGAGTTTCATTTTCAATTTTCGGTTGCTCCGGAAGCAATTTCAATATTTTTAGACACCCAAGCACAAAGTACGTATATTTAAATTCACCATAACAAAATCCCTCAAGCAAAGAAAAGTTTTTTATTGGAGGTATTTTACAGGTATACCTATCATCAAAGCTCAGTTTTCATGTTTTCGTAATCATGGATATTGTTCAGAAATAGAATAAACTCGAAAGATTTTTGCATTTCATATCTTAACTACAATTTCTTGATAAATTTTATATTATTTCCCGCTTGAACTGATTAAAACTTCCTGTTACTTGTTATGGGTTATTCAAATTTTTTAGTTAAAAAACTTTGGCGTCTGTATGACCATTTTCTAGCGAAGGGTGCAATACTTTCGACCCGTAAGTGTAAAACCTTAAGAGAATTTTGGGGCATAACTCCTTATGGATATGTATTGTTGTGAAGGAGCAGCACGCGGTTAATCGTTCACTCTTTCCTAGACCTCGAAGTTGCATTAGTCATTTGTTCACGCCATGTTGTAATGAAAAGGTGTTCACGTTGGATCTTGTTTATTGTAAATAGTTTTATTATGTTCCTGTTGATGTTATGAAATTTTTAAAAACCCAAATGATGTCTTCTTCAAATGTCCTGACCTAAATCTCTAAAACATGTATGATTTCATGAATGAAAGTTTCATACATTTGGAAAAGAAAATATTGATTGATTTTCTCAATAACGTATTCCCAGATGGTATATCCTCCATGCTTTGATTCATGATGCTTCTAAAACTGTCAGTGTTCTATGGGCTCCGAGGCAGGATGGAACGTTGGGGGGGGGGGGCTTTTCAAGGGAAAATTTAGAAATCACAACAAAAGATTTTGAAAAAAGCTCACTTGTTTTGCAAAAAGTAGGGGGCAGGGGTATGCACAGTATTCATTTCCTTCTCGCATCAAACACACTTTACTTTCCGTCTATACTTTTGCTGTCGATCAATACTTCAGACTTCATCTCGAGGCGAAGATAAACATGTGCGCGTTGAGCTCCAGACGAAAGCGCTGATCGGTGGACGGACGAAAGACAGAAATGTTTATATGTTGCTGTTCCTTGCCTCGTTTCTGTTTTGTTTTCCCAACTGGGAGGAGATTGAAAAAAAGATGGGGGAAAAGACCATGAATTAAAAAACCAACCTAGGGCAAAAAGTAGCAATAAAAGTGCGACCTGAAGAAATTTCCAGATTTGCCCGACAGATACGCTGGCAGCCATAAATTTGCCCGACAAAATCTGCTTTTTTGAAATTGGGGGGGGTGCAGCACTCCCCCCCCCCCCCCCCATACCCCCCAGTAGTTTCGCCCCTGCCAACCACGTTATCAGTGAAATGCTGGAGTGCATATAGAAAGCTTGTTAGAAAAGAAAAGTTGTGTGTTTGATATGTGAGAGAATTTTCTCTGCTATAGGCCTATGATAATGATCCAGACATTATGAAAGTTTTTCCGCAGGACAACCACAACCTGACGGTTGTCGAAAGCAAATTATGAAGAAAAGGTCGCACGCAAACAAAAATGTGACGTCTTATGATAAAATAACTTGATAACTCGATGGTGACAATGACGCTCGCACAGTTTTTCTGTTTTCTTGAAGTTTTGGGCATCTAAATGTTCAACATTTTGGGTACCTAAACGTTCAACTTGTTGAAGAGTCGTGTTGTACTTTTTTATAAACCCCTTTCTTGTAATCGTTTATGCAAATCTTTAAACATAGCAGGAACCAAAAACACCCTCCCCCGTCCTTTTTGCAATCAAATATGCAGAAAGATTTAGCAGCCGCGGGTTTAGGGGGCTCCAGAGGGGCTACGGCCCCACACCTTAGAAAAAAAAATATTTTTGATTTTGTGATAATATTTCCAAGCAGTGGCAAAATTAGGGCAGATACTTTGGGTAAAATTCGGGCATTGGAAAAGTATTTCTTATTTCCTAATATGCAACCACAGAATAGGAATTAGGCAGAAGAGGAACTACTGCCCATCAGGTGAAGCCTGAAAATCCTAGCGCAAGCGTTAACGTATCCGAGGCTAAACAAGACCTCTACTTTCAAGTTAGGGGTCTGGGACACAGGCTAGTATCTGTCGCTGCTTTTTATAAAGAAAGAAAGTAGACAATTCTATTGAGATGAAATGCTCCATTAAAGTAAACAAATTAAATGATGTATCATAATTTGTTTCCTAGTTGAATAATATGATAATTCAATTTTTTTATTGAAATCATTATTAATCAAATTTTTGGGCAATTTATGGACGACGGGAAAATCCGAGCAAAGAAATTTTGACAACCCCCCTCCCTAGTCAGAGCTGTTAGCCAAAATGATGTGCAAAGTCAGATACCAGCATTAAAATTCGTCCACAAGGGTAGTGGGCACTGATCAAGATAAGATGCAGGCCCCAGCTGAGAAAATGCCCAAATGCTATTTTCAGACTGTTGTACTTGTTTCCAGGTCCAAAAAGCATTTATTCTAATAATTTCGCCGCTAGTTGTGATACCAGCATGACAATTGGAAGAAGTTGGCAGTTTGATATGCTCAAAATGATAGGATGCAGACCCCAACTGAGAAATGCCCCCAAGTGCTATTTTTAGACCTTCACTAGGTCCCAGGCTTCAAAAGCGTTTATTCCAAATATGTTGCTGCAAGTTGTGATGCCAGCATAAAAATTGGTAGAGATGGGCAGTTTGATATGCTCAAAATAATAACATGCAGACCCCAGCTAAAAAATGTCCCAAGTGCTATTTATAGACTGATGCACATAGTTCCAGGTCCTATAAGCGTTTTTCTAATAATGTTGCTGCAATTTGTGTTGTCAACATGAAAGCTAGTAGAGATAGGCAAACTGCAATGCTGAAAATCACGATATGCCAATCTCATATGAAAAATACCCATTAAGTTATTTTTAGACCGGGTATTCGATATCCGGCCCAGGCCTCTTGGGAAATATTAACTGTTCAAACACAGAGGTAACAAGTGAAAGGATATAAATATGCTGTCTTTATTCATTGACATCCCAGCATTGTCCTACACGTTTGGAGAGCTCAGTACCAGGGGGGCACATGCTTCCTAGCATCGACTACTCAGAATTTCAACGGAAATTTCGTATCTGTTCGGCTTGGGACTATTATTCATTTATAGAAAATGTGAAAGTTCAAAGACAATTAGCATAAGAAAGAGATCGAAAGGAAATGAAGTGAATGAAAAAACACTAAATAACCAACATTAGATAACAACCAATATCACAAAGAGTGAATAAAAAGAATAAAGAAGAGAAAGTTTTTGATGACAAGCAAAATCGCCGTCAAATTTGCAGTACAAGGTAATCACAATCTTGCAAGCACCTTAAAACAGCTCAAGTATGTAAAACATAGGCTGCGATCAACATTAGGCCAAAAAAGGCTTAATAGTTAGTATGCAATTTCGTGCCATCTTCAAATGATAATGAATGTGGAGTGTGTCTTAGCTGTTACCGTTAGTTATGACAGATTAATCAACAAAGTAGCAAACATAACATTGCTAAAGACACTTGTGCACAACATGACTCGTGCACTGAAAATTATCTAGTTCATTTCTTTAGATCCTTACGATTTTCATTGCGTGGCTTACTGCTAATTACAATTGACATTTACTGATAATTGCTGATAGTCAAACAAAGTTTGAATACGGATGTTGCATTTTCTCTGAATGACTTACTGAAACCAACAATTGAGAGAAAATGCAATAAAATTAACGTTGTTAAGATACGTATATGTCTTTCAGCATTTAAAATAACTGCGCATGTCCATGATGATGACATTGATTTTAGTGTAAATCCATTGTCGGAAAATTTGCAGTCTTTGCTACCCTGGGTACCAGACTCACTATTGTAAAATAAAATATTTGTATATATAGTGAGTCTGGTACCCAGGGTAAGTCTTTGTCAACCTTGAAAGTCACTATCTACGACGCCTCTGCTCAGTACATCCAAGATTAGACATAATTTGAATTCGCATTTTGAAGAGCAAATCCTCTTACAGCTGCATTTTAAAAGATTGTAGCATGCTTGCGGAGCCTCCGCTAAGTTTATTTACAGGTAAAGCTAATCCTCCGGGAAAGTTAATTTATGAGCACTCGGTGTAGCTAATCTTCGACCAATCCAATGTTACAGAACCGTGAAGAATGTTTAGATATGCTTAATAGAAATAGAAAATACCTCAAGAAAACATTTGTTCCATCTGGGTTAGTTCGCGCGCTATCTATTGCTGTGCATAAAAATAATATAATTTGTTGAATACTGAGAGAGCCATGTTGACTAGACGAGTACTAACTGTTCATATGCAGATTTTCAGATGGCCTGAGCTAGCAGCGTGGAGTGTGTGAAGGATTATTCTGGCATTGGCATCTTCGTTGCTGCATGGTGCAAAAGACGCTAAGTTACATTATTGCAGATTAGGTTTTCAAGAGATTTTTCAACTATGATTTTACTATTTATATTTTTGCTTTCCAAGCTCTCGTGCCAGCATCGTAGAGTGCCTCTTTGTTCATGTAAACTCGAAGGAATTGACGACAGTGCTAATAGGTGTTGATTCAACGTTAGATACCCTTATACCACCTCCATTCTTTTTCTTCAATATTGAGGCAATCAATAAATAGCACTTGGGGACATTTTTCAGCTGGGATCTACATCCAATCTTTTTGAGCTTATCAAACTGTCCATCTCTACCAATCTTTATGCTGGTATCACAACTAACAGCAACATTATTAGAAAAACCACTTTTGGTGCCTGGGACCTAGAACAACAGTCTCCAAATAGCACATGGGGGCATTTCTCAGCTGGGGTCTGCATCCTATCTTTTTGAGCATATCAGACTGCCAATCACTTTCAATTTTCCTGCTGGCATCACAACTAGCAGCGATGTTATTAGAACAAATGCTTTTGGGGCCTGGGACCAAATACAGTGGTCTAAAAATAACACTTGGGGTTATTTCTCAGCTGAGGTCTGCATCTTATCTTGTTCGGCACTTAAAACTACCCTTGCGGACGAAGTTTCATGCTGGTATTAGATTTTGCACAACTCTCTCAAAATAGGACTAACAGCCCTGACAAAAATGTGTACCAATGTTTAGAAAATATGTACCAAAGTGGTTCGACAACACCTTTTTCACACATAAAAGCAAAACAATAAATTTTAAGTCAGTTGTTACCTAATTTTTCCTCACTTCTCTAAATTCATCCCATTTTGTTATGAAATAACTTTTTACTGCCAAAACAAAAGATGGTACTGTGGTGAAATTTCTATTTTATCCTTGATATACAATATTTCAGTTCTGTGTAAATGTTTGCATTACATTTCAAACTCAATTTTCAAAATGTACATCCAGTGTTCAAGACATTTCTTCAGACATCTAACTTTGATAAAAGAATGACAAACTCACAAAAACACTTTTATTTAATGAAGGTTTTATTCATCATATACAATTCAACAACAACTGTCCCTGCAATATCCAACCTAAAACAAAACGGATAATTATCATTTCAAATTGCAGATATTAGCAAGGTGAACAACAATAACATGCATCTCTTTATTCAACAGTATTCATCAGTATTAAATACTGTGTAGTTATCAAACAGTTACAAACATTCACTTGAAATGTTCTTCTGTATAATGTAAGATGTTGTGCTCAATCAAGTAAACATCAAAAAATCTATTTGAAAGCATCTGATTTGAAATAATAGAGCCGAGATTGAGACTGAGAAAGCCTCAAGAATTTTGACCAAGGGCAGACACTTGGTCAAATATTGGGGGGGGGGAAGCCTATTGTTTTAATAAGATGATGTCATATTTTCCCATTTTTATAGAACAAAAACCATTGTCCTCCAAAGTACTGGGAGGGCAGGCTTCTGGCCGCTGCCCAAAACATTCGAGAGGAAAGAACGTTGGGAGTGTACTGCAGTTTGTGAATGAAAGCACTTAAAGGGAAATCATTAGAGAATCAAGCGAAATGTTTAGACATTGTTCAATGATAAATGGAAGAACTGAGTTCAGAAACTTGTATGTAAATGAGTAAGTGGGATGAGAATGATATCATGCCCATTCCATAATGTGAGGAAAACTTGACTTGAATATGTAAAGAACAATGACTGAAATGATGAGCGATCATGATGACAACTCATGTTGACATCTAGCAAAATATAGACTGATCTTCAACTTTAATACCATGCAAACTTAAAAAGATTATGTAAATATAAAGGTCGCAAATTACCTTATTCAGTGCTCATAGCAACTTCCTCTTCTCTGTGTTTTCCCTTAGCCTTATCTGCCAACTTGGCCTTGGCTTTCCTGTCCAGGATCTTTTTTCTGTCCTTGTCAAGTTTTAATTTGACAATTTCTACCTAAAATTCAGAAGAAATGACTAATGTTTAAGAAACAGTCAACTAAGAGTTTAAACACACCTGTGCACATAGGAATAAACAACATGAATTGACTAACAAAGAACATCTCATTTGCTCACAAAAAGAATTAATAAAGAATGTGCATCTTGTTTTCTATGTTATACTTCTTTTTCATACATTAATCAAGCATGATTAAATAAATAAATAATAGCTAAGATTAACCACAAAAATAGTTAGGGCTAAAATACAGTCCCTTTTATTCTATTCGAGGGAATTCGGCTGACCCAAGCAACTCAAGATACGTTTTTTACATTGAAGCAAACTTTTAGCAACAAACTTTTCTGGCTGTGAATTTTTCTCTCCAATTTTAAGCTGGAAGTAAACTGGCAAAAACTTTTATGCAAATTTGCTGCCAATATAGCAATAAATAATATATATAGTGACTGTTTGAAGAATGCTGTTATCAGAAAGTTTTAAATTATAAAGTTGATTTCATTGAAAAAGCATGCAAAACAGAAAAAAAATAATACTTAGTATAAAAAATTTATTCAAAACTTCTTCAGAAGGTGGAGATTCATCATTGGGTAGGAGATTTATGATAACCTAGGATCAAGAATACTTCTTCAAATACTTCTTTTATATTGCCCATTCTAAGCTTGCACAAACATGTGAGCTCCTGTTAGTGCACCTGCATTGAACTTGGAACACCCACCAATTTACGCTGCATTTGATATCTTTCATTCCTTTTATGAAAAAAATTGTTACTTCCGCCCCCTTCCCTCTCAAACAATGTTGATGATTTAGAGAAATATCATAAAAGAAGCACAAAAGAAAGTGCTTCCTAAAATCCTAACCCGTTTGATAGTAAACCAACATTGTTCCGTGGGGGAGAGAGGGATGATTGGTTTTGACCTTGGAAATTGATGTCAGTGTTCCAAGACTTTTGGCAGGCATTGTAGGTGTTGCTTGTAGATGCTCCCTAGAGCACAGCCCCTTCATAGTTTTTTAGGACATCACCCACACAACACAGCAGATTGAAGTCTACAAAGTCATTTAAAAATGACTTTGTCCAGCTTTGGCTGCCAGGGTATATATCATATCAACTATATGCCGAAGGTCCACTGGGGCACTTGTTTAGGTATGCCGAAAAAATGAGCAGTTAATTAAAACTGTAAAAATTGTACGGCAGACAAAGAAAACTGATATAGTCCATATTTGATTCTTTTTCATGTTAACTTTGTATGTGGCTCCATGTTTTACGTAGGCCAAAAATTTTTTATTGGTTTGCAAGCCAAACACCAAAAAAGCCAAAGTTTCTTCTTTTTGAGATAAAATGCCTAAATTCATGTACCCCTGCTGTAAAACAGTCTTTTGAGCTTGAATATTGTAAATTCTTCCAGAGCTTTTTACAGCTAAATACAAAATTATACTCACTTTGCAGGCAGGAATACCAACATTAACTGTTGCACCATTGGCTTTTTCACGCTGGATTCTTTCGATATGAAGTACCCATTTCTTTCTGTAAACGCTTATGACTTTACCTGATTGCTGGCTTTTAAAGTGACCTCTAGTGACAACAACTTCGTCGTCCTTTCTAACGGGCATAGACCTGACACTGTACTTTTGTCTCAGCTCTTTCGAGAGAGGGGCACTCATTAGCTTCCTCCTCACGTTTGAGGGTGCAGTGAAGTGAGCCTTTCGGCATTTTCTTCTCGATGATGAAACAGCTGGGTTTTTCTTCATTTTATCTAAGTAAATTCAAGCTACTCTTAGGCCTATTCCTGCCCGTAGATAGCAATTCCAAAAGAGAACAGAGATGCATGTGGATTCATCAAGTATCCCACAAAGCATCTCTTCAAATCTCTTTTTGGAGACGAGGTTTAGTAGCTTCTTGGTCGCTAAGATGGTGGACTGCTGGAGCAGAGTGTCGCGATAATCTATATCGACTGAAATGGACAACTGGAACTATCTAAAATTTATGTATTCAGATTCAGAAGAAATTGAATAAATTATGGGAGGATATAGTCAAAATATCTTAAGAATGAATGTTGTACGGATACCTTCATGTGAGTGATATTAGAAAGGCCAGTTTACACGACGACGATACAATTTTCCTTTGCGTTGGGTTGCGTCTGTCTCAAATAGTAAGACTATTGGATGACGACAAAGTATCTTTTTCTGTAGTTGTAGCAACCCCAAGTAATTGTTAATTTAAAGTTATGTCGAGTTTCGCAGAAATAGCGTAAAGAAATCACGAGTGTATATCTGACAACATAACAAAACTCAATAATAAATAGCGAACACAACTTCAGCAAGCGAGACACTTCAAACTCATTACAGTCACATAATGTATAACCGCTTTTGCGGAACAGGAAGCGGATGTAGATACGAATCAATATAACAAAAGATAATTATTGTTCAACAGTCCCCCTTGATGAGTATCTTCTCTTAGTCCTTTAATCTAAGACCCATCAAGTTTCGCAATTTTTCGAACTTTTCTTTAGGCAGCCCTTTAGTAAGGATATCTGCAATCATTTCCTCTGATGGACAATACTTTAGATTTACTTGTTTCTTTTCCACAGCATCTCGAACAAAGTGGTACTTTATATCTATATGCTTTGTTCGTGAGTGGCTGGTTTGGTTCTTTGATAGAGCGATTGCTCCTTGGTTGTCTTCGAATATTGTTGTGGGTCCCGATGTTTCAATTCCTGAACTCTCTATCAATCTTCGAAGCCAGATAGCTTCTTGCATAGCTGTACTGAGACTGATGTACTCAGCTTCTGTCGTTGACAGCGCAACAACACTCTGCCGTTGACTTCTCCATGAAACTGTAGAACCTGCTAGTTGAAACATGTATCCTGAAGTAGATCGTCTTGAATCAACGTCACCAGCCCAATTTGCATCAGAATACCCTTGTAACTTTAAACTTGCGTTGTTTGCGTCAAACGTAAGGCAGTAGTCAAGTGTTCCTTTCAGGTAACGGAATATTCTCTTAACTCCTTGCCAATGATCTAAAGAAGGGTTTGACATAAACTGACTCAGAGCTCCTACAGCAAAACATATGTCTGGTCTTGATGCAATCATGGCATAGTTTAATGATCCGATTGCTGCTTGATATTCTTTCTTGTCAAACGCTTTTTCACCATCAGATAGCTTCGTGTATACCTTTCCAGGTTCCATAGGTGTAGAGACTGGCTTACAGTCAGTCATACCAAATCTTTTAAGGACGTTCTCTAGATATGCCTTCTGATTTACAAAGAGAGTTCTATTTTCTCCACTGCGCTCAATAAGCATTCCTAAACATTGCATCGCAGGTCCCATATCTTGCATTTCAAATCTTTGTGATAACATCTGCTTCTCCTTCACAAGCAATTTGCTATCATTGGAAGCAATCAGGATATCATCAACGTATAATGAAAGAATCACATTAGAAACAAAGAAACCTGATTTCCATTGCTGGACACCACTTTTGTGTATATGCATGAATCTGCATTGCTCTGCTTGTACTCAGAATCCTTTAGAAATCTATCAATTTCCATATTCCAGCATCTAGCCGACTGCTTCAGGCCATACAGACTTTTCTTTAACTTGCAAGCCTTTCCTTCTGCGCCCTCTTTTACGCATCCAGCGGGCTGTGCCATGTAAATATCTTCCTAGAGTATGCCATTTAAGAAAGCAGTCTTAACAGCCATTTGGTGAAGCTCGAGATCTAATGTGTTGGCAACAGCTAGAACTACTCGAATTGAGTTATACCTCGCAACAGGTGCAAACACTTCATTGTAGTCAGTTCCTTCTTCTTGGGAGAAACCCTGAGCCACTAGGCGTGCTTTGAATCGATTGAAGCTACCATCTGCATTCCTCTTGATCTTAAAAATCCATTTGCAGCCAACAACATTCTTGTCAGGTGGTAAATCAACTAGCTCCCAAGTGTTGTTCTTGGTTAATGATTCATATGTCAATGTCAATGTCAATGGCGTCCTTCCACTGTGTTGCGAATTTACTGTTCAATGCTTTTTGTAGACTTTTAGGCTCTTCACTGTCCTGCACTGCAATATTTGCACAGTCCAAATCTTCATGTTGCCACCATTCTCCTGTTATTGTACCTGGCCTTTCTGGAACATTTCTTATTCTTGAGGATCTTCGAATTTCTTGTACTTGTTCATCATTGTCTGCATTTTCGTCAAAATTGAATAGTAACTTGTAATCACTAGCTTTAGTGGTCTCAAATGAAGAACGATCGAAATCCTCTTCAAGAAATTCCACATCACGACTTCTCAGCATTTTTCCTTCTTTAATGTTATACAGCTTATATCCTTTGCAAGTAGCTGGATATCCAACGAATATGCACTTAACTGATTTCTTCACCAACTTGCTTCGTTTCATGTCAGGTACATGTACGTGTGCACTGCATCCAAAAACTTTCAAGTTGCTGACATCAGGTTTATGACCATGAAAACATTCAAAAGGTGTCATGCCATGCAATGCTACAGTTGGGCTTCTGTTTCGAAGATAAACAGCTGTATTGACGGCTTCAGCCCAGAATCTCAAAGGGAGATGTGCATGGTGCAGCATTGACCTTGCACTTTCCATTATCGTGCGATTTAACCTTTCAGAAACTCCATTCTGCTGCGGAGACATAGGAATTGTTTCCTCTCTTATGATGCCATGAGTAGCACAGAACTCTTTAAAGTCTCCAGAGACGTACTCTCCGCCATTGTCAGATCGCAGGATTTTAACTTTCTTTCCAGTGAAGTTTTCCATCACAGCAACAAATTCTTTAAACTTCATCAAAACGTCGCTTTTTTTCTTCAGGAAGTACACTGTAGTAAATCGTGAACAGTCATCAGTGAATGTCACATAATACTTTGAGCCACCCACTGAATCAACATTCACAACTTCAACGTCACTGTGAATTAACTCTAGTATTTCTGTAGCTCTTCGTTGGCTTTTCTTTGGAAAAGGCTTTCGATGTTGCTTGCCTTCTAAACAACCTTGGCAGTTTCGATCAAAACTTTCATCAGCTTTTAGGTTCAAACCTTCCACCATACCCTTTTCATTCAACAGCTTTAGGTTGTCGTACCCAAGGTGACCGTAACGTTCATGCCATAGCTTAACAGAGTTATCACGTGCTCTGGGTGAAGCTAAATATGCGGTACAAACTTCCTCAGTATTCAGCTTGAACAATTTGCCATCTTTATGACCAATATGCAACGTTTGTTCATTCGAACTACATATGCAAACATCCTCCTTGAATCGAACTTCTGCACCTCGTTGCGTCATCGTTGGCAATGATAACAAATTCCTCTTTATTTTCGGAACATAAAGTACGTCCTCCAAAAATAGATTGAATTTCCTTGTGCCATCAAAAACTGGAAATCTTAGATTTCCCTTTCCATATGCATACAGAACATTGTTATCTGCCAATTTCACTGGTAGGGGGTTACTGAATTTGGTGTAATTTAACATTTTGGCATTTTCTGGCGTCATGTGCTTTGAGGCGCCAGAATCAATCCACCATTCATTTTTCTTTGATGCATTTGTGTTCACCGCCAATGCAATCTCACTCGTTGCTGTTGCTGAACCAGCATTTGAGTCCTCAGCACTGTTTGCTGCCTCCGTTTTTGGATCCTTCTTTTGGTCAGCCTTCTTTTTATAACAATCTTTTGCGAAGTGTCCTTTTTTCTGGCAGTAAAAACACTTGCCTTCTTTTGACCGCGAAATATTCCTTTGGTATTTACCTCTTTCCATCAGCAAAGCATCCTCGATTTTCACTTCTTTCTTTGTGGTAGATACACCTCCATTATTTATTTTGTCGTGCTTGTAAATCACACGATCACGCACATAGTCCCATGAGAGTCTCTCCTCCGCAATAGTCTCCAGTGTAGTAATCAAATGATTATATTCTTCCGGCAAGCTGCTGATCAGAATAATAACCAAGTCATTCTCCTTAATTGGGTCACCAACAGCATCTAAATGCTCCGACAAAGTTTTCAAATAATTCACATGGTTAATCATGCTGCTCCCCTTTTCCATTTTTGCTGCATATAGTTAACGACGATAAAATATTTTATGGGCAAGAGATTTCTTTTCAAAATGTTTTTCCAAACTCTCCCATGCTTCACTTGCTGTTTTTGCTGAGCGAACATAAATCTGAATGTCACTTGAAACCGACAAACAAATCGAAGCGAGTGCCAAATTCTCCCGTCTTCTAAACTTTTGTTGCTCTTGATTTGAGGCTGTGGGGGCCAGTGTTTCGTCCCCTGTAACGATTCCCCACAAATCCTTTCCAATTAAACACATTTTCATTTGGAATTTCCATGAGTGATAGTTGTCCCCCGTTAGTTTTTCCACCTTGAAGCCACTCTCTTCAATTCCAGTCGCCATCGTCAAACGAATAAGACACACTGAAAAAACTAACTATACATCCGTGTTTCGTTCTGGGCCCATAACCTGTTAATTTAAAGTTATGTCGAGTTTCGCAGAAATAGCGTAAAGAAATCACGAGTGTATATCTGACAACATAACAAAACTCAATAATAAATAGCAAACACAACTTCAGCAAGCGAGACACTTCAAACTCATTACAGTCACATGATGTATAACCGCTTTTGCGGAACAGGAAGCGGATGTAGATACGAATCAATATAACAAAAGATAATTATTGTTCAACAGTAATAGGTTTTCTGTTTTTCAAAAAATCTTGCATGTTTTCGTAACCCTTGTCTGTCTGAAAGGTACATGATCATGAAATAGATTGGTCATTGGTGTTTTTTCAAAAATCCTGTTTAACCCTTTCTGCCCGTGTCAAAATTATTTTTAAAAAAACTAAAAGATTGAGTACTTCATTTGTGCTACTAGATCTGAGATTGAATGCCGCTACATTTCTGCTTTTTCCTGCTATCTTGAAAATTTGGAAGAAAAATGATTTTGTGATTTTACAGATAAAGTGATTGATGAGGCATCCTTCAATACAGAATACTGGCCTAAAATTGAAAATGCAATCAATGTTATGCTGCACAAAAATCCTGGAGAATCCTTTCAATTTTCATATGAGGATGTCTTCAGGTATTCTATCCAGCTATTCTTGCTTTACTGTATTTTTTTAAGTTATTGTAATATTTTTAAATGAACCTTGCCAAGCTTTTGAGTGACTGATCTAGTAATCAGATGTGCATATATAGTTTTCCACTTTTGAGGCCAGACAGAAAATGCAACTAATGTCTCAGCAAGATGCTTGTTTTGTCCTTGTTGCACTACCAGCATCTTAGAGTGAGTGCTTGATAAGAATCAATTTTTTTGATATTTTTACATATATCTCACCCATGGATAAAAACTCTAAACCTGCCTGTTGAGGTTGAAAGAACCATGTTAGCTGAAGGAATGTCTCTAGCTTACAATGGTTTGACATTTATTGTCCCAAAGTCTCAGAAAATTCTGACCAAAACTTCAATTTATTCATTAACATTTTTTTGCTACTAGACAAAGGACTCATTTAAATAGACGGAGGGCATATATAGGCAAAAAAGGCCAACTATATGAGCTTAAATTAGAAACTTGACCGTTGTTTCTGAAAGTATCCTTGCCTCCTGTGCCACTGATGATCCTTGGTTTATGCTTCTAGACACCTTGTTGTGACTGAATTTCACTTTTCAGTGTTGCGTACAAGTGTACAACACAGAGATTCTCAGAGCAGATGCTATTACGTGTGACAACAATTATTGATAAATTCACCTCCTGCTGCCTTGCAAACATCTCTGTAAGTCATTTTGATAATGGGATAAAATTTATTGAATATCCCTCAGTTTGTATGCACCCATTGCATGCCATGTACTTATGTACCTGAAGTTTTTATAACCAGGGCCATGCCCCCCCCTTTTTCCAAAGCAATAGAGCTGGTTGTTGTGATTGATAACTTTTCCCTTGGCCCCCTACCCCACTTTCCAACCCGTTTCAGAGCCAATGATAACTAGGAACTTTTGATAAGGATGCATGTCATAACCTAATCAAAACAGATGTTATTCAGAAACCAAATCAGCTCCTTTTTTCCAGAGTTTCTTTAACATAATTGAATATTCTGTAATACATTTTATAATATTATTGTTTAGGAGAAGCATACTTCTTGTGTTTCTGCAAAATTGTCCTCAAGATACTATCAGTTGGATGTGTGTTTTTCCCTTTAAGCAGAATCTCTTCACACCCAATGTTCATTTTCCTTTTATGTTTTCTTTCATTTACACTTATAGCAACAATTACCAACTCCTACGTATTAGTATGTCTGGTCCCGTTATCAAGTAGTTGATTGGCGATAGGGACCTTGGTTTATAGGGTTTAAATACAAATTTTGCAGCAAGTTAGAAGATGGTTTCCCTGAGAAGAACTTGAGTTTAGAAAAATCAGATGTGAGAATAAAGATTCCATTGCACTCTATGAATAATGGCCAACCTAAAGGTGGTTTCATTTTCTTCCATCGAGATTTTGTTTTTTTGTGTTAATGGACTCTTTATTATTGTTTTCAACCAGTCATTATCTGGTCAAGAATACCTGGAAAGATTCAAATTCTTCTTAAAACAGTTCTTCCAAGCTGCAGAGGGTATAGCTGCTATTTTCAGCTACATGGTAAGCTTAACTCAGCTGAGATTGACACCATTGTCAGAACCAGCAAGTAATTTTATAGTACATATACAATATGAGCAATTTCTAAAAATAAGCTTTTGTTTGATATTTGATTATTTCTTTCAAGCATATTCCATAAAGAAATGAGTCATTATGGGATATGCCTGTTCAACAAATGTAAAAACCCAAAAGTGTTAAAGTGCAATATTGCTTGTCAAAAAAGACCCAGTTAGCACTGGACATGTTATCTAGTATTCCCTAAATCCATCCGTTAGTTCCAAAAGGAAAATAACTGACTGAGAAATAATCTTTTAAAGATTTTAGAATTTATATGTTATATTAAACAATTATAAGTTGCTGTTCCTACATATCCCTACAAAACCTGTGAACAAGTGTTTATATAAGTTGTTTACAGATATCTGGCAAAAATGCTTCTTTGTTTGCATGACATTGAGAATATATATCATTTGAAATAATCATCTAACAACCTTTAAAATTGGTGATTTCTATACTGTAGGATAGAAACTATGTTGTCCGAACATTTGGTAAAAATATGTTGTCCATGATGTATTGGCAATTATCTGAGAAGATTGTCATACAGTCCACCGTATTTGGTAGGAAATCTACAAATAGTGTCTTCTGTTTTTTATAATCTATCAGCTAATAATTCTCAAACAGCTGTTTCTGTATCGTAATTGGCTTCAGAGATCCTAATTTCTGTATGCTAAACGTTTTTTGTTGGCATATCTATGTTTCTCTATGTCTATTTGCTGAAAGTGAAAGAGTTCTCAATCCTCGCATCTGTCAGGGAAATATTTCAAGAAAACACATTCAGAACCAATGCACATAGAAAAATTCATTTTAAAAGTCGAATGTTGTAAAGCAGCAAAGAATTCACCAACTTTTAATGATGATTCCGCCAAAAATTATCTTACTTAGGAACTTGTCAGATAATTTCACAAGGGGTGCTTCAGTATCTTCCTTATCCAAACCTTATGAAAGTGAGCTCGATTTTCATGTTCTAACACTACTTTTGTAGTCCCTTTAGCCCTCCGCTAAGGCCACCCCTGGCATGGTATGGAAAAAAGTAAATAATAAACATGAATCTTTTTGCAGGAGAACTCGACACTGATCAGGCGGATAGTTTACCTTGAGATCATTCTCTTCTAACCCAAGATTTATCTAGACCGCGAAGCTAGCGGTTTTTCATTGTTGAACTGGAAATGCAACAATTGTTTGATAAAAAGATCCTCGTTTGACTTCCTAGAAATGTAACAATTGTCTCTTCAAAATATCACTGTTTGTTGAAGTTTTTATTTTACAACAACTATGTTCTTTCCCACCAATGATACCTGAAAATGTACTTCGAAAAGCGCGTAACCTGAATATATTTTATTTGAGTCTTTGATAAGCTATAGTTTTAGGGATAAAAATATCATCGCTTCATAGTTCTTGTTTCATTCCTCCTATTTTCTTTGTGCATTAGATATTTCATGTATTCGTCAGAAACTTCATGTCTATGGACCTTTTGCTTTTTTATATTTGTTGGCAAAGAAAGCAATGAAGAACAAATTTTGTAGTTGAATCCAGAAGTTAATTCAACAATTTGGATTTGGAGGGACATTGCAAAAAGGGGAGTTTTTCGTTGCCACCTTCTACTACCCCAGACTATTTGGAAGAGATAGTATAATCGCTACCTTTAGATGTTGTCTTTCGTAGTAGAGTTTTTCAGAGAGGATCCGACACACATGAGTCCGACGTTCGGGTCTTAAGCTCTCCCCACCTCCCACCCCCCTCCTCCCGCTTTTGTCTTCTACTGGCTCCATCCGTATATTGTTTCAACTTCTAGTCTGAAATTGCCATTTCACATAGCCATAGACAAGTTAGTTTTAATTAACGTTTGTTTCTAAAGATTAGATATTTCCAAAAAGTATTTTTAAATTTTAAGATCATGCTTACCTAATTTTGTGTTGATTCCTGTCTTAGATAATTTACGACAGATCTCGGAGGGTGATTTCGAAGTTGACCCACAGCTTCTGATGTCCATTATCCAAGGCCTCTATACCTTGAGGAAAGGTAATTTCACACTAATTAACAACAGTACATAGCCTTCTCTGGCTTGTGGGGTAGCTTTTTCTCTAGTTGACCGATTTTCTTTTCACTTCTTCCCCTTTTTCTCTTTCTGCAACGTACTTCTTATAGTCTTTGTATTGAAATCTATCTCCAGATTTTGCAAGCTTCAACATGAAGTTGTTTAAGCGGTTTATTCCAAACATTGAGTCTGCGTCGAACATCGATTGTTTGCCTGCAATGGACGATGAAGTGCTAGCAAGGGAAATCGATGAAAACAAGACAGTTGAAAGGTATTGCTATTAGTTTGATATGTTTTGATGTTACTTTTTATTCGTTTGGCTATAGGGTGACGTACTACCTTCATAAACGGTGATATTATCTTACAAATCCTGTTACTGTTGCAGCTAAACGACTCTTGATATCCCTTTTAGCCAAGGTGTTTTCAGCTTGTATTTATATGGGAGAGCTCTGTTAGGACGGGTTATGGGAAAACTCGATTAGGATGACTGTTTATTTTTCTGCAGTATAGTCCCCTTTGGCCTATAGAAATACCTCATTTCGTGTTCTGTTTGAGAAATGCCAGGAGTAATCGCCGGTGAAGGACTCGCTCTCTCTCTCTCTTTATTGTAGAGATAGGGTTGCATTTGTAAGCATAGATATTTCGATAATTGATAACGGTGAATTAGAAATAAAGGTGAGCCCCGTAAACGAAACACGCATAACGGAATTGTTTGGCCCTGGAGTATGATGAGGTGGCGTGGTCAGTTTCTTCTCTCGCTGCCATTTGCCTTACTATTATTGCCACTCGATACCCATTTGCTGCTGGCTGAACACGTGGAGTGGGTTGGTTGGCTTAGCTTATTAAAAAAACTTGGCAGTGCTAAAGAGGCCTAAGCCATCTTTCAATCAAAATTCCACCAATCAGTGAGTCTGATTCCACTCACACGCGTATTGATTGGTGACTGTTGATTGACAGATGTCTTAAGCCACTTTCGTATTTATCGTCTGCCTTTATAAGCAATGTCTAAACCTGACAAATACCAATGATTGAAAGTAGAAAGAAGAACCTTTCAATTGCATTCACAATCTCGAATTTTTATGCATGGGTGATAAGGTTATATTATCTGTTCCAGAATGGCATATAAGCGAAAGGCTGATGAAGTGATGGAGGACACACAAGGTATATTTTTTTGCCAACATTACAACACCTGATTAAAGTGCATAAAACTTTTGCTAGACTTTACTAAAGTGTGTTGCTATCTTTGTTTTTAGTGGCCTTACATTTGTATCTTTGACTTCAAAACGGTTTGCATAAATTTATTCTATCTTTTTCGTTTAAGCAAACTTAAAGCGATTTGCCAAGGCAAGTTGATGAACGCACTCTGTGCTATGTGTTATGAACTGTGACTTTTGTTATATACTAAACCGGGACAAATGGGATGTTTATTTTCATTAACACAGAGTAAGTGCACGTTGTAATATTTTTGTATCAAATCATTGTGGAGACCACGAGGCCTTGATAACCGAAGGCTTTTAAATGATTTGTTCGCATTTTCAAAACCTTATTTGACATCGTATATTTAAGGCTCCGTGATATGACATTTCTCTTGTGAAAAGGAATGTTTAATTGAGAAATTATATCAGATAGAACGTGCTTTTTCAAAGCAACTGTAGTATGTGAGGATTAGTTATCCAGTGCCCAAATTTGAAATTAGAAATTTGAAATTACAAGTAGTTTAGATTTAAATCAACGTATTCTCAGGAATGGCTGTTTGTGCCAGTAGCTTGACTGAAATTCTGCACGGAGTTTTTGACTCGCTTTTGAAATTAAAGTATGTCGCCCCTATGACGTAATTGATAACAATTTTGACTCTACCGCAGTGGTCAGGCCTGCTGAAACCTCGCTGTAATGAAAAAAATTGAAATCAGGTTCGGGGCCAGAAAGGCCTAGGTACCTCAGAACAAAACTTTTAAGGCACGCCAACATGTAGATGCTGAAAATGCTTTGATTTTGAGGAAATGCATAGATTAAGTCGTTCTAGGGTTTCCTGGTCCTGATTAAGAATACATTTCACCTCGTATCTATGGTAACGATGACGTCTTAACACGCCTTGATATACTTGTATGTCTTCTTGTACGACATGTACGTCTTAACAGTTACGGCGATATGGGCGCTCAATATTGCAAAGGTTACATTTAGACGAAACTTTGTTTACCACAAATAACTCTTCTACGCTCAGTTTTTCTATCTAGAAAGTTTCTTGCACGTTTTCCAGCCATTTAACATTTCCACATGCAATATTTTGATATGTCAAAAACAACATAGAAAGAGGCTAAATCGCACATGGAAGCTCGTTTAGTTTTCTCATTATTTATAGCGTTTAAGGTCATTTTACTGTCCCTCGAAGATTTCCCTCCGAAGCGTATATATTTTATTTTCACTTTGGAGAATAATGTTGTAATAGTTCAATTGATATTGCAAATGTTTGGTAGGTATTTTATAATATATCGTTTAATGACTTATGTAGTAGCTAGTTTTACAATCTGCTTTTCAAAAGCGTCTTCCTTGTAGCTTGTAATTTTCACTAAATGTGAAGACGTTATATGAAAGGTGTCATCTGGAATCTTCCCTTGTACAATTTTCTTTTGTTATTTGTACGTATGAAAACTGGAAAGACAAATTAATATTTTAAAGATGCGCCGATGGGTTTGATAATGCGCAAGTAAGTTTATACATGAACAATTCATCATAAACACAGAAGCACTTTCAGGGCTGCACAAATCCTTTATTATCCGGGAAACAAATTCAGAGCCGAATTTCCCTGCCATAATGAAGCAGTTGAAAGTGCTGTATTTCTTAAAACTTGACTACTTTTGCTCAAAATTTGTGCCTGCCAGTGAATTGTACCTGTGATAGGCGTTCTTGTGTGGCTTTAGATTGCACACGCCATGACTGTTTGCTGTGTGCGATTCTATGCTTCGCAACTAGCATTAAACTAACATTATGCTTCAATCGATGGTAATTTAAATAACCTTTCGTAGCTGCAGTAACACACCAGTATAGGGAGCCCAAATTATTATACCCAATTCTAGCACAGCTTTACCACAATGAACATAATGAACTCTAAACAAGAAACGTTTATATTTAATAATTATACTTTATTAAACATTAAGATATACACAGTACATCATGTAAATTAAACTAAAATTGAAAAGAAAGATAAAAACATACTTTTTAGAACATATGTCTTTGACATGATTAATCATCACTTTATTTTACACAAGAATCTATAAGATCATTACATTTATCAACGGTGATTATATTGAGTAAAAATAATATATTATAGTAAGGAATACAATAGAACATAAAGTTTTCCCATCAACGATTACAATGTTATTAGTGCCTTGCGGTAACTTACTGGTATTTCAGAGTATTTTCCTCACCTAAAGATACGTTATACGACATTAGTTATTCGAGTAGTCTTAATGGTGATTTGATTTGCTATAGATAACGATATTTACTTTATCAAACAACTTAAGCACATAAAATGTTGGTATTTGAAGTTTTAATACTGATCCGTATGTGACCTTGGATTTGTTTTTACTCTACCAGTTCTTCCAAAAGTTTCTTTGATTTCTCTGCCCTCTTCTTATAAACATGTTCTGCCATTTTTGTGGCGAAATTCTTTTGGTTTGTGTTCTATACCGTGATTGGTCCATAATTGTTCTGCTATTCTGTGCTTTATTATAATTTTTTCTTGCATTTTTCGTCCTTGAATAATATTTCGAAGCATATTGCTTTGGTCTTGATTTCACTTGAAGTTTTCCCTGTCGTGTCTTTTGTTGCGTCAATAAAGGCTGCTGGAGCTGCTGTTGTTGCTGAGGAAAAAACTGTTGTTGTTGCATAGGGTTGTTTTGATATCCTTGTTGTAGAAGCCCGGTGCTTGGGTCCATGAATGTATGGGGGCAGCCAGGTGGACACTGATTCACGCACGGGTTGGGACAGCCTTGTGGGGCAGCCATTGGTTGCATCATTTGAGGTTGCATCGCAGGTGCTGCCATCATTTGAGCTGGCTGCATCATCGTCATTTGAGGCACTGGCTGTTGCTGTGTCAATGGCTGACAACCAGGTGGGCATTTGTTCATGCAAAGCATTGGGCATGGCATTTGTGGTGGCTGAGCCGGCATAGTAGGCATAGGCATCGGCATCGTGGGTCTTTGCAAGGCTGGCATTTGTGGGGGAACTTGCTGGCAGCCTGGTGGGCATGTGGTCCCTCGGCATGGTTGTGAGCAAGGCATCATTTGTGGCATAGGCATCATTTGTGGCATAGGCATCATTTGTGGCATAGGCATCATTTGTGGCATAGGCATCATTTGTGGGATAGGCATTTGTGGCGCAGGCATTTGTAGTGGCATAGCCATTGGACATCCAGGAGGACAGTTATATGTGCAGTACTGTGGACAGCTCTGGGCTGCAGGTTGAAAATTTGGTAATGTGACTTCTTGAGGTGCCATCATTACGTGAACGGCGTCAGAAGGAATTTGTTCATCTTGAATTTCTGGAATTCTCGCAGTTGCCAAATGATATCCTAACCGCGGATCAAGGGTTGCACTTGGAGCAGGGGCAGGTGGGGGTGCGGGAGGTGCATTTTTTCTTGCTTTTTCACAGTTAGCCAGGTCTCGTTTCTCTTGTTCAGGATCATGAACTTTTCTTGTTGTCCCTAAAATCAAAGACTATCGAATAAATTTCAAAATTTGACTTCGTGCTGATACGTGATCAATGAAACTAGTGATGTTTGATTGTTTTACCTGCATGTTTATTCTGAAGCTCTACGTTATATTCCTTTTGAATCACATACTCGTATAAGAAAAAAGAGTCATTTGATAAAAATGTTGCGGTAAGTGTCTCGTGAAGCAAGCAAGTAACTACCTGGAATCATTTGTCCATTTTCATACACACACCAGCATGTGGTTCTTGTGTATGCATCACATTGGTATACTTTGTATGTGCCATCTGGATTACATTTTGGCTTGGCCCATTCTGGCGATGGTCCTTGACGCTGCAGTTCGCAGTGACTTAGAGGTCTGAATTGCGCTACTCCTATAAGAGAAATTCAATTGTTAATCTTTCGAGTTTTTGGTTTCTTTTTGTGGAACCAGGGACCAATTTTATATTACAATCAAGAAGATGGCATTCTTTAAATGCATACAGCTGATTATTAGAAATGGATCAATGTAACAATGACATAATCAATTGAAAGCTTTTCAAACTACCCTCAGGAGCACTTGCTGCCCGATAGGTACTTAGAACTCGCAATTTCTTTGCATTTTGACGAGTTTAGCCCAGCGACCGAATGTACTTCAGACTACTCAACAAAGATGTCATTATTTTTGCAATCTAAGAAAAAGGAAGGAGGCATCCTCTGGTATTTAACTACTGACGTAATACTGGAATGATTCTTAATCGGGGTCGTTGCAAGCTATCATGCTTCATGGGCAAGGGGAGGGGGGCTGCTTAAGTCTCATTTGCCAACGAAGTAGTGAGCTACCTTTGTTTGCCGACAAGACTGAAAGCCATAGGCGCCGACTACGTGGGGGCTCGGGGGCTCGAGCCCCCCTGGGAATTCCTATGAAATCCGCCACTGGGCTGAAAATTCAGCGCAGAACAGCTGAAGGAAGGTATATGTATATTCTAAGTCTCAAAAATGTGAAATTTATCTATTTTTAAAGAATAATTTGAATCAAATAAATCCCTTATAAAAAATTTAGTCTAAACTGTAGACCATTATATCATATCTGCTTTATTTAAATGTTTTGTTTTGTTAATATACATACTTATTTGTTGTATTACGTTATTAAAGTGACAGGGAATTTCTCTACCTTTTAACTTTTTAAAATTTTTTTTTACTTTGAATTTTGAGCCCCCCCCTGGGAAAAATAAAAGTCGGCGCCTATGCTGAAAGTTTGTCGACGAAGCACCTCTAGATGACAAAAACTACTCTTTTTTGTATAGGAATATATTTCTAAGTGGATGTGATCCCTTCCACACCCCACGGTAGCGACGGCTAGTTGGGGCAGATTTATTACACCCCGGATGAGACGTTCGTTGTCTATCAAATAATCGCCAATTCCCGTTTTCCTTAAAATAGATTTTTTAAAAATCTGTCGTAACCAAAATGCACTTACCGGTTTTTAGAAGACACCCCAATGCGACCACAAAGATAATCATTTTTGAAGCAGCAGTTGCAAATCTGCAAAATAATCACGTTACAGCACGACAGATGGTTGGAAGCGATTTTTAGTTTCTATTTCATTAACATATTTTACAAATATTTCTACCAATGAATTCATAATTAATTCCTTAGCATCTTAGAGGATACCTGGTATGTAAGAAACAATTGGGAGAGTTTTAACACGAGGCTATGCTTAATACTTTGTTTATTTGAGATTGAAAACGTGATCTATCATAACAGTTCTTCCTTTTTTCCAGCCCAAGAATGAAGCATTTTGCTTTACTTGATGCAAGTAAGAATCTGCTGCATTCTCTAAACGTTAATTAGTATTATCCAGTTTTAATCCTATACAGACAGGAAAACCTTGAAGTATGGAGTATATGCTTGCAGCCTTACTGGGTTTACAACTGCAGCGTAAAATGTACTTTTTGGAAAGTTTATTTTCGCAAACAGCATTGCATATTTAACAAATTCAACTACAACTTGTCCTACAGCTGTGCGTTCTAGCTGCCTTACTATTGATCTTCTTTCCACAAATCGTCCTTAACCCAAGAAACAACTGGGACAAAAGCAACTTACCTCTGCTTCTTTCAATGAATAGCTCCTCCTTTTTTTGTTTAGTGTTTATCACTTATCATAATTTTCCACTTAGACAGTAGTAAATATTTGCAAGATCGTAAAAATCTTTTTGGTACCTGTAGGGTCTCTCATAGGCAGAGCTGGTGTTTCCACTCAAGTGCTCTGAGATCATACAAAGAAACTGCAGCGATATCAAGTCGTCCGTAAAAACTACTGAGTAGGGATTGCAATAGCTTCGTAGTTAAGCTGCTGGAAAAAATATAATGTTTCCGATGATCTTAGGGCTTTTTGATTGAAAAGCTGCGTCGATTCTGCTTAGAAAAAGCTTGACATCAGAACGAAAGTATTTGGAGTTCTCGAACGTTATAGCAACAGGTTTTTCTCCAGGGCTTGTTTTACCTACGAAAAGGCCTTACCAACGGGGGATGATAAGTACCTGGACGTCTGCCAACCTAAAAGTATACTTTTCCTTCTTCTTCAATATTTCTCCTCCGCTGTCACATGCCCTCTCTGCAACTTGGATTCTCCTTCTCAGTATCTATCTATTTTCACTCGTGCAGCTTTCTCAGAAAAATAGATTCAGAAAAGTCTAGATTTTTAAGATTAAGGTATTTGTAGAAAGTGTAATTAGATGCAAATATTTTGAATACATTCTAGTTTAATTCAATATTTGGTGAAATCTTCCTGCTAAACATTGATAAAGAATAATTGATGATGTGACTGAATGATGGAACCCTCATTTCATTGAAACAACTGAGGTTGGAACCTAAAGCATTGGTTCGATGTTAATTTCTTAGCTTTATAACGAACGAAGATGCAATACACTAGGTTATTCGAGAGAAAGCAAAAAGGATCTCGAGTCATATCTTTGGCGGAAAACGCACCCCTAAATTGTCTTGGGCCAAATTGTAACCTTTATAACATTGCTAATTATAATTCGAGTAGTATAGTACGAGAGCCAATGTTTTATCGAGTGACCAGTAATTTTCCACCCTCCAAACGAGTTAACTTTTCTGCATGCCCTGGTACTGAAAGGATTGAAATTTGAGATGCCGGGAAGCAAGATAAGATACTGCGCTGTTTCTCTAGTTTTTCGAAATTCGCTAGGAAAGCTTAGTAATCGTGCTTGTTTTTACATCACATTCTCTATCTGTGATGTTTACACGTGAACAGCCAAAGTTCTACTGCAGATGCACAGGATAATGAGCTTTATCATGACACCAGTTCTGAGTTACTTGCTTTATGATACAGAGATTAACCTCTTGTCCCTGCAGCTTTACTCTAAGAACGTCAGCATATATTGCGTCTCAAAGAACTAGCTTTAGTTTACATCAAAGGCTCTTTCCGAAGCATTCGCTTCTACGCAGACGGACTACTTTAAACATTGAGAAATAAAGACCATTGTTCTGTCTGAAGCAATATTAACATTTCACGCGAAAAAAAAGCGGCAAGGCAGTGTACCAAATCAAAGAGTTAGAGTTTGTATAGTGATGTTTGATTAAAAGCAGGTGGACATCAGGTCGCTTGCTTAAAGATTTAGTCCATCACTTGAAATGGAATTGATATCTCGGACGTCTATTCGCACTCCAAAGCTACAAGCAATAAAAGAGGTAAGCCTTTTTAGCGAAAATAGAGTCTTTCTCTCGACGTCGTTAAAAGTACTCCTAATGTTTTATTCCGCAAACATGCCCGTTCTTGCTCTTCTTCTGTCCAATTATGGATCAAATTCATGGTCTTCAAAAACGATTCTATTTTCTTCACAATATTTGGGTCTATGTTATGCTGTTGGTATGACGATATTTAACCTCTCTTCAATTCCCGTTTACTATGGGCCATGTAACGATCATATTCGCCTAAGCTGATGTGGATCATATTTAGTTTAGCTGATTTATTTGATTCAGGATATTTGATACAAACAGCCAACCATGCTTTTGGCCTTTGAAACTCAGTAGAGTTTTTTTTCATTGATTAAATTGAGTTTAAATTTGCCTGTTAATTTCAACTCGCGCATGCAAGGAGTAATTAGGGTACAAATCCCTCCCAGTTTTTAGAACCATGGCTCCGAGATTTGTAAAAAATACAAAGACATTGGTATGGATGAAGGCAAGCAGATCCATTATATTTTGACGAAAACAATGTATTTCAAAATTGCAGTTTAGACCAAAAGACGTTCATTTCGATCATTCTCAGAAGTAGGGTTCACAATTGTCCGGTTCAGGTTAAAATTTGAGGTAACAACTACTTGACAGACAACTTGAAAACTGCGTCCACTGATACTGAATAGCAAAGGAATTCAGGTAATCCGAGTAAGACCTTGAATTTGAATGAAACTCTTAGGTCAGTAAAAATATTGGCCTTTAATATTCATTTTATATCTTACTTTTATGAATATTTCTAATCCTAGTATCATTATGTTCATTTCTTTCTTTTTAAGATCAATAAGCACGTTTGATGATACAAATGATAAATGAGATTTTAAAAAACATTAACTTTCATTGTCTTTTATATGTAAAATTTGGTTTTATTTCTCATATAAGTCCTGATAGGCTTATAATTTATCCCATGCTCATCTTTTACCAATCCTTAAAATTCATTAGGCTTTTTGGCCTTAATACTCATTAGGGTGGAAACTCGTTTTGTAGTTTTAATGCAGAAAAATAAAAAATTGCAAAATATTTGGAAACAATCACTCTTCTGGCTCCACAATGGTAAATTAACCCTAGAAAATCTTTCTAGCACTGAATTAATAATTGTCCAATTAATTTGCCGGACAGATATTCCGCTTTATTCTTCTACTTTCATGGACAAGCATGTTTTTCTTACTGTAGAAAAAATAGAATCCAACCCATTATCAAAGGCGTGCAGTTTCTGTATTCTCAGTGCCTCAGTTTTTCCGTATACCACGAATACCCATGCAGTCTTTTAGACCTATGAATTCCGAGTATCTTTTCGAGAAATACTAACCATGTTGCCACTTTTTCTACTACATTCTTCTAATGATATGAATGTTGTTGTTTTTCCGTTTAATAATGAAGATTATAAGATTTCAATTTTGAATCACAAAAGTGCAGGATTCTTGATGCAAAAGTTAAGGGATAGCAAATGATCGTTGAGAATATTTAAAAGACACAGAGCTGTGTGATTGCAACCGATGTTTCTTATAGACAGATTTATTTAATTTTAAAAAGCACCTAGCATATCAAGAAAATGAAATTAAGAACTATTTTTTTCTTTGTCTGAGCTATAATGGTATGATTTATGAAGGTGCATAGAAATGAAAAGTTTCATGTCTATAGACGAGATTTTTCATACCCACTCCACTTTAAATGTGCCAAATTCAAATTCAAATGAAGATCAAAATTTGTATATAATCTCGAAACCCTATGTAACAGAAAACAGTATAATATACCCCCCCCCCTATAACTCCCTCTACATGGTCACCCTATAGTCCCTGTTCAAATAATTATAATGTTAGCCTTACCGCGGGTGCCATTTGCCGCAGCGGTCTACAATACGTTTTCCCCAGTTTCTTAAAGCCTCTGGTACCCAGGGTATGTTAATGTCGAAGAAAATGGCAGCAATGAATTAAAGTAAAACTTCAATTTCTACACCTCTTCACGCTATTTGATCATGATATTTTAAGTAATAAGATAGGCGTGAATTTTAGCTGAGTTGCTAAAATCTTAAGCTGTAGGCGGCTGGCAGCAGGGGTGCTCTGCAGTGGCGGCGCCAAGGGGGGTATGGCGGAGGGGGGTAATTACCCCCACTCTTTCCAAAACATGGTCTACATATTTCTTTCAAAAGCATATTAAAAAGCGCTAGGTAGGGTTGGTTCATATTTTCTAAGGAAAATTACCCTAGTAAAAAGCACTGAAACAAAGCAAAAGGGCGTGGTATCACTTGCCACGCCCATTACCCTCCCACTCTCCAGTAGCTGGCGCCGCCACTGGTGCTATGGTTTTATTTTTGTAGAGTCACAGGACAAGACAAAAAAGGGAATGATTGTCTTGTGTTTGGCTCGTCGGCGTTTTTAAAAAGGGCATTTTTGTCTAAAGGACCTGATGTATGTTTAGAATGGTTTAATTTTGCTTGGTTTAACTAGATTTTGAGGAGCAACAAGCAGTTTATCATCATAACATTTCCCTGCAAAACTTAATTTATCATGTATTGCAGAAAGTAAGTAAATACTGAAATATCAAAGTTTGAAGGACCTTAAAGATCTCCTGGACCCTACCCTACTCAAATCCGTTTTGCTGGCAAAGCTTTTCCTCATAAATAAGTCTTAGTTGTATCCCTGTCTGAAGAGCAAAAATTCGTTTGGTCTATGTCTTTACAATCTTAGATTTTTGTATTACACAACCCTGGAAAACGTACATAGGTTTCTCGATCATAAACGCGCTGCAAAGTCTGTTGTTAAATCTAAACGGTTGATAGACGGGACATATTGCCCTTAAGCTATATTGTTTGAAAACGGGGCCAAGAAGCTTGCAGATGCTCGACAATATAGATAATTTGATTGGTCAATATCTTAAACATCACCAAATATGTCCAATTATTTGCTGCATGCAGCTAAATTTTGGGAAACTTCAAACATAAAATGAGATGCTCAATGTTGTATGGTGAAGCCTACGCAAACAAGATGTAATTTTGAACATCGCCCAGCTCATTTTTTACAACATTTGAAGATGGTTCTTCTGATAGTGATCGATCCACTGTGTAGCTGCATGCGAATATCATTTAACCTTTTTTTATTAAAGAGGAATTCATCTTTTTATTGTATTACGCTTCCATCCATCAGCATTTTCACTCCGACAGCTTTCATCTATATAGAACTATAGAACTACAATATCTTCCAAAAAGATATTTGGCGGAGAATATTTAGATGAAAAGCACACAATACGAATTTTCGTTGATGTTTAAGGCAAGGAGTTAAAAATCTTTCTCAAACAGTAAAAGACAATGTGTTTTCTTTCCATTTCATTTTTTGCACAAGTACCTGTTGCTAGTCTAAAGCATTGACAGGGAAAGACATGGCAAGTTAAGTTTTGCCTAGACAAAATGTAGGGCATCGCTATAAAGAAGAACTGCTTTTTGCTGAGCAGAATTCACAGTTGGAACCATCCACAATTAGATTTTGCTTGTATCTTAAGCTATTTTCTGTGGGTCATTGCTAGGGCGACTGAATTATTTAATATAATTCTTAACTGGATAAATACCTTTGCAACTGTATTCAAACAGTCACACTTTGTGTTCGGAGGCGACTAATTGCAAAGACAATAGGCGACACAGCGTCGCCACGTCAAAGAAATGCAGATAATTATTCTTTAATGATCAGAGTTTGCACCGCAGCGCCTCTGCCCCAGGAGGCTATACTCATATGTACCGCCAGCGAAATTCGATTACGGCTAGTTCGCAGCTTGTTAGACATACATTAGTTATAAGGACGAAAACATGGACGCACAGAAAGGAAAGAGGCAAAGAAAGCGCTCTCAAAGCTTAACGGCACTTGACGTAGCAAGAGGTCTGGCAAAGCTCCGGCTCCGGGCCCAAACCAGAGCCGGATTGAGATCGAGGAAATATACCCTGCCGAAGGTAAAGTACTTAATGACATGATGCATATATTTCTTTGCTTTTGACAATCACCCAACCCAAAGGAAATTGATTCTGCAAAGTAGGCTCGTCTTTTTAGATCGGATTTTACTGGACACCCAGTAAACAATATACTGTCCCTTTCTGCTCGGCAAAACTTATAGGCAGTCTATCAGTTAAAAGTTCAACAAAAAAACCTTGGAAAATGCCCTTAGCCAACTGTCAGTGATTACTATTCCCTTTTTTGAGAAGGTACAAACCTCAACTTACTTCGAAATTCCCTTGATTATTAAGATATTTTAATTTGATTTATCAGTGGTATTTGGGTCATTCTCCCGAATGTTGACCTACAAGCTGTAATAGTGAATGAAAAAAAAACAAAATTAAAATTAATAGAATTAAGTTACTTATGTCAAATTAAGCTGGCAGGACGATAGCAGCCTAGAGTAGGTGCTGTTAAACGCCTAATTTTCACTGTTGTACCTTTTTAATATACAACACCTTGTCGTGGAGGAGTAAGACAATCGTAAACTTCAAAGTTAGAGCAGTTGAAGTTACTTTTAAATAAGGTGAATCGTCTCTGCAGTTTCAAAGAATAGTTCAAAGGAAAGTTATAATTTATTGAAGCAAGCAGATTGATATTTTAACTCTTGCTTTCACAAAAGAAAAATAAAATGGATAGCTAAAAGTTTATTTAATTTCCAGCAAGAACTGACGCTGATATGACGAACTAATGAATGTTAAATAGGATTGGATTGTCCTTGCCATTAATAGACATGGCCAGCCATTCTAAACTGTGTTACACAATGTATGAACATAGGGTCTGAAAAAGTTGTCCAATACTCAGCCCGTTTTTTTCAATGAGGTATTTCATCAAAAATATACTTTACCCGTAGGCTAAGACCTGTGCGTGATACTGTAAGGATGGACGCGGCAGGGATCTTTCATAGCAAGCAAGGGTATCCAGTCTGCCATCGGGTCAGCTACTTATTGGTGTTCATTTTAAAAGGACCGAGATGGCGAAAAATAAATGTAACCCTTCAAAAATTCCATTATCACCTGGCTTAGCCTTGATATAGAGTCACAAGAACTTTATCCTCTCTTTAATTTGAATTTAAAAATAAATGGCTCAACGAAAGTCTGATATGATATTGACGAATGATAAAGGTAGAAGGAAAGAAGGCAGATGACAATTCCCGGTTTTTCTCCGCTGTGCGCTTTCCTGCATGCCTAAATTTGAGTCGTTCCATAAGGGGAGATGGCAAAGTTTTTCACAAAGATAAGTGGCCTGTAGTAATGTTCCTCGTGTAGAGAGAGAAAAAGTCGATAATTCTGTCTTTACACAAGCATTTATATGATACAACAAATAATGTATTTGTAGTGCGTTGATTTTATTAGGAAGTACCAAAAAGCAGAGGAAATAATTTTTACTGAAATCGTTCCATAAGGGGCGACGCGACTCTATGCTTCTCAATTTAAGTAAAGCATTAGAAAAGAAGCAAATCTCTTGACAGAATTGTCATGAGCATTCAAAACAATAAAAAAATTTACAATTGTCTTTGTTTACAGCTCCAAAACCCTCTCCAACATAATAACATAGTTAAGAAACTCTCAGCATTGTAATTAAGCATTGAGAAACTCGATCTAAGAAACTAAATTCCGGATATAAAGTATCGTCACATTCCGAAATAGCCTTTCGAAACGGTCTTTGAAAAGTCACACTAAGCCCTGGGCTTACGTGATGACTTTACAAAAAAACATTTTTAAGAATATTTGAAATTGGATCCTATAACCCGAGCATCACGAGAATTAATTCAAATCAGTTTAATTATTCCGAATGTGGCCAAAATTCAGAAGTCTTAAAACAGACTTTTTATGACTCCTTAACGGAATGCCAGCTGCCTGGGTGTACCAGGGACGCAAAAGCATTTAAGCGGCCAATGAAGTAACTGCAATACTGGTTTGTAAAGATGTTGCAAGTAGTTTTGCTTCATATATCGTTTCAGATAAAGGAAATAAACTTATTTTTCGATGTTTATTGTTAGTAATGGTAATACCTTGCTGGCATTACTGCTGGGATTATTGCTTTAAAAAGTCATAAGTCACGAAAATTATGTGCATGAGTTTTCCTTCAAATCACTAGATGTTGCGAATAACAATCTGGGCAAAATTGCTTTTATTGGTACATATTATTCGTTAAGTTCTTCAATTGTTTCCTCTGAAAAGGCGCGTCAGCCAAAATTTAGATCTCCATTGATTCACTGATTTGATTAGATTTTCGCATATAAATTTGTTGTTGTCGTCCTTGCTTCATTTTGTTGCCAAGCAACATTTTCAAAATGGCGGCCGCTTTGTCAACATCACTTGGGAAATCAAGCCGAATGAATATATCACAAACCAATGTTTTTGACCAAGAAAAGCAGGTAAAAACGGGTTTATAGTGAGCTGAAGTTTTTCCTTTTTCCTGTTGATATATTTATCCTGAAGCCTTCGAAAGAAAGCATCATCAATGGTGCTTTTACAAAGATTGTAGGCCTTTTTTAGGCCTGGCCCACACACAACCCAAATTGCAATTTCCTAGTTCAAACAGCCAATATATTCTTAATATTCCTAGCCTTCGATATTTGTAAAAATATAACAAAGCAACGTGTCTTGAAAGACTAGAAAATATGGTCGAATAAATATACTTTGCAATTTATCTTAAAATGAAATGTCATGACCGTGTTGTGTTGATCTCGTCCGCCTTTTGCACCGCAGAGGGAGTTTCAAACAATGATTTGATTCCTTCGACAGAAAAATAAAAATTATATCCAATTCCGGCCGAAAATTTCTTTATAGATTCGTCACGAAGATTTGCTGAAATGTTTCTTTATTTTTTGGCGTGATAGAATAGTTTCATCAATGAATTTTTTATCAAAATTATCAAAAAAGTGTATGGAATGAGTTTAATTTATTTAGGATTCCCATAAAGATTTGTTTGTCTTGGTTCAGTCAAAAAAGGGTTTTTTCTTCAATGAAAAATGTATAAACATATGCTCTTACAGAGTTTGGTTGAAGAAGACTTACCACCCTCTATTGAAGGCCATCCTCTTGCTTGGAAAAAGTTTGAAGACGAGGAGGTGGAAAAACTGAAGAAATTGAATCCACCTGAATTGGAAAGGTAAGTGAAGCAATTAGTGCAGAATTGACAGGATTAATTTCTTCATTATTTTAAAAGAGGCTTGTCGATAAGTTACTTTGCATTTTATTCTGATAGTCACAAGATCAAGGTACTCATCTCACTTTGATAATGAACTTTATTCAGGAGATGGGTTGTCAGAAAGTGTTTTGTCAAAAAGTTTACAGAAAACTGTTCTGGATAGCAAATTTTGATGTATGTTGTGCTTTCTAGCTGTCATGATTTTATGGTAGCTGAGCATCATATTTTTATCTAGCAACCTTAACTTTGAGTTTGTCAAATCCATATTTAAGCCCGTTTGAAAGAAATATTTTTACTTATAGGATTACCCTCGTTGTGAAGGAATGTAAAGGCATGGCTGTTTTAGTAAAATTTAACAGTTAACTTTCAAGACAAATGTATAAACATATGACAAAAACCATTCTAAAACTCTTACAGAATACTAGCTGAAAAACTGGATCTGAAAAACTTTAGAGTCTGTCTTGTGGATGGAGCAAAGTTGGACTATTATGTTGGAGGTTTCTTGTAAGTTTTTACGAAATTCGTGTGCTCTTTTTAAACAATTCTTTTGTAAAACAATATTATAGATGTTGGATCTGATTTTTTAGTATTTTGATAATATTAGTGCAGTATTTACAACTGGTTAGCACTCTGTAGTTAGTAGCAGTTCTGCGAGGAACACATCATAAAGATATGTGTGGCTCAAGTTGAATAACAATGGAAACAGTTGACAGAATCAGAAGCACTTCTGCCCTTATGAATTTTAACAAAGAAATGCAGCTAAAATATTTTAATTTTACATAGTCTTGAAGTTTCACTATGTTGTTATAAAACCTCTCATTCTCTTGTTCTGAAGAATTTTTATAGCTTTAACAATTTTTATTTGTAGATATTTAAGTATGAGTCGTTATCAATATATTTGTCCTAATGTCTTTACTCATAATGATATCATTTTAATTACTTTTCAAGGTTTGCTGCAGAAGAAAAGTTTGATAACTTTCAAATTTCTTGCATTATGGGCTTACTAAAAGAGGCTATGACCAACTGTGAATTAAAGATGAGCCTAGAAAGAAATGTTCAAGAAATTATAAGCTATTTTGTTGGAACAAATAAGAAAAATTTAGAAAATGTAGTTGGGATGGAGAGATTCAGTGTAGAGCAGGCCAAAAAGATAGTAGATTTTGTCAACCAAGGGTGAGTTTGCAAGGCTTCTTGTTTAGCTTGTTATCAACACTGATTTGATGTTCTTGGTTGGCTTATCCAGTCATGTTTCAACTTTCATTAATTAAAGCATACTCAGAACTTTATTTTCTTTCTAGAAAAAATTTTCTATGTTTTTATTAAACAAACTCTTTTTACTATTCCAGAATATTTCAACACTATACATTGTATCAAAACTTATTCATGAACCAACAAGAGGAGGAATTCATTCAAAAGATGGTAAATAGCAACTCATTAATTATGTACCTACATCTAGGCATGTTTTTGTTCAAAGTGGTAATTCACCTCTAATTAAATGAAAAATTTTTCAAATGTTTTTTTTTGTGAAAAACATGTCAATGTTTGACCTCATTCTACATTTTCTTGCAGCTTGAAATCGAGGTCCTTCCAACTGGCGATCTGCCATTTCCTCCACCATTGCATGAAGGAATGCCGATTGAGCTGTATGAAAAATATATTTCTCCCCCACCAACTCAGGTAGCAAGCCTAGAGACAGATGGTGGTATGGAAGAGGTAGTATTTTTTTTACTTATCCTGGTTTGGAAATTATTTCACTCTTGAACTTCTAAATTAATATTACTTTTGCATATATCTGATGCAAGTGGGGGAGGGCAAGGCAAATCAAAGACTCGTAACATAAGATTTTGCAAAAAAGCTTTTTGCTTTGCAAAAAGTTGGAGGGAATCCCCCCTGTCCATCAACTGTTTATGCATTTTTTATATAAAATTGACAAAAGTAATTATGACCACAAAATTCCATGGAGTAAATGTAGATTTTTCTATTGCAGTAATCAGCCAAATATTTCTTGTCATAAAAGTTTGTAATACAAATTTTTGCCAACAGGAGAACTTAAAAGAGACTGAAAAAGACATTACTGAAGGTGTGAATTTATCAAATAAATTTGTATCTTGAAAATGTATACTTTTTAAGTATTATTCAGTACAATAGCATCAATTAAGCATTAAAATTGGCTCATTCTTTTGGAACAATAGTATACTTAGAAAATACCAGTAATTTCAGTATGATAAACTTATAAAAAAAATTTGCATCCTTTCCTGTTGTTTTCAAAGGTGGTGAAGCAGAACCAATCTCACAAAAGTCTAAACACGAGACCTCAGCAGAGATGATTTTGAAAACATTGAAACCAGAGGAGATAAAACAAATTGTGGCAAGCGTGGCACAAGGAACCTTGGAAAATATAAAGGTAAGATTAAGTTGTTCTTTGCCCTCCCATTGATTGAAAGCAGAATATTCACTATATCAAAGATGTCATGTGGAATCTTAGTGCTGGTTCAAGAAATAACTAACAAATTTAAAATAATATATTTGACATGAGTCAAAGAAGCTTTTGAATGTCCAAATTCAAGTTAGTTATTTTTTTTTGAATAAAATTTTCAGAGCTCTAAGTTTATGGATATACTATTGCAAGAGTTTTAATCTCATATGCTCACTTTGTTTCAAGGTCTGCAAATTGTTAGCATTTTTGCTAAGAATTATTCTTCAATTTTTCTTCAATTGGCTTGCCCTACCTAATAGTAAAAACTGAACTTGTTATTTTAGGCAGAAGCAGATATGAAAATCAAAGAGAGGGAAGCTGCCCTTGCCTCTAAAATTAGCAAATTGCATCGAACTTGACATGCAGATTTTTATCTCAAATTTTCTCCTGTAAATTATTGATACATTTGTAAATAATTTGATGTAGATATTTCGTTATTTTTGGCTTTATAATTAGTTTCATTTGCACTAATAATGTTTGCAGAATATAGAATATCTTGCAGTGGCGAAGCTGGCTTTAAGTCAATGGTCATGCTTTGTATGGGACAGAAGGGGGACGGGGGTCTGGGGGCGTAGCCCCCAGGAAAATTACACACAACCACACCCTATAGATGCTTGGAAAAGGGGGGTAACGCCCTTTTTAGTATATTGAATCAAATAGCTTTTGTTTAGATCGCAATCAATGATGTCAAGGACTTCAACATCTAAATGTTCTTTCCACCCCATTCTCCAATGTTGTGTTTTGGAAATATCTTTGGGACAATGTTTTTGAAAAATTGTGCATTTGAAAACCCCCAACAAACACTACTGATCATACTGGAAAAACATTGCAGATGAGAGAATATTATATCTACAAATATTTTTCAAAATCTAAACTTTTGATAAATCAGCTTATTCAAATCAGCAAGGGCTAAAAAATATCCACTCTCTTACTATTAATTATTGACACTTTTGATGATGTTTCTGGATTAAGATGAATTAGGCAAAATAAGCCCTCAGTGATAGGTAGGCACTCCCTTGCTTATGATACAGGGAATTGTGGGATGCTTGTTTCTTGGTTCAGAATTGTATACTTAGCTTCAATTTTATAAGCTTAATTTTTACATATCTAAAACAAATGTATCAAGGATAGTACTGTTTAGCATATACAAAAAGTTTTGACCCCTGTATTCAAGGTGTAACATGCCATAAACATCAACAAGTTAAGTCCAAGCCCAACATCAAGGGCTTTCCTATAACTTTGGTCTTCCATGTTTAAGAAACCCCATAGTTTTCCTGGCAACCGAAAGCCCTGGGGAAATCAAACTGCACTGAGAAGGTTGGCTGTGTGGAAGCTACATATATAGTATGATTAAAAATCATTTCTAAATTCTATCCATCAGCAAATTATGGTCAAATATCCAATAACAGGCAAGTTCCAGAGTGCAATTTCATTATCATCATCAAGTCATGGTGTAATATTGAATAACAGGCAAATTACAGGGTACAATACATTTGCATTGCATAGGGTACAATGCAAATTACATACATGTATTTACAAAAGTTATAGAGTAATATTGAATAAACAAGCAAATTTAAGGGTACAATTTCATTTATCAACAAAAGTTATGGTGTAATATTGAATAAACAAGGAAATATAAGAGTACAATTTCATTTATCAAAAAAAGAGTTGGTGTAATATTGAATGCAGACAAATTTCAGGGCACCATTTCATTTATCAGCAACAAGTTATGGTGTAATATTAAATAACAGGCAAATTGCAAGATGCAATTTGAATTTTATTTTATACACAACAAGTTATGTTGTAATATTGACTAAACAAGAAATTTTTAAGAGAACAATTCTTTCTATCAACAACAGGTCTTGGTGAAATATTGAATAAACAGGCAAGTTTTCAAAGTACAATTTCGTCCCTCTCAGCAACAAGTAAGGTTGTAATATTGAATAAACCAGATAGAATGGACAGGCAATTTCCATCCATCATGTAAAATTCCATCCATCAGCAACAGGTTATTGTGTGATTTTGACAAAACAGGAAATTTTCAAGAGTACAATTCCATGAGCAAGAGGTTTTGGGCGGACATGAACAATCCGGAGAGCTACCATGTTTTGCTTGATGTCATATTTCTAGGAGAGCGTTCCCTGACCCTAGGCGACCTGTGATCCGTTGATGTAGTCAAAAAAACTCCTTGACGTGTATGACACGAGGTTAATCGGATTATCCGAACCGGATCCTTCACCTTCGCCGAGGTGGCGGACATGGTTTTGGTGAAATACTGAAATACTGAAGGCAAGTTTCCAGTGGCGAAGCCAAAGGTCGTGCCTGTCGTGCCCGGCACGACCATAAACTTCCAAAAGTAAGGTTTTCACATATTGGCAAAATTTATTTTGCTCCGCGAAAAGTTTTCAAATATAGACAAAAATTAGTCGTTTAATCGACAAATCGATCAAGCTTATCCCGCAGACATAAGTGAATTCTACTCGAATCGCCCAGGGCCCCTGGAATTATTTCAGGAGCGGAGTAGAAATCCACAGGGTTTCATATTGGTCGTGCCCAAAATCTGGTACCTTGTGATTTGGTCGTGCCCAACAATAGAAGCTTCAATTGGACAGCCTATGTTTGGTCGTGCCCAACAATAGAGAAAAACAATGCTAGTCGTGCCCTCAGAAATGAGCACGACCTCGTCATAATAATAATAATAGTTGAGGTACGATTTCCAGCGTTTGATTGGCTGAAGCTGGAGGAAATCAATCACGAGGTCGTGCCCGTTTCTGAAGGCAAGACTATCTGCACCCTGTTGGGGCCTACTTGTCAATACTGCAGGCGTTTGTGGATGTTGGTGTGATATCAGGGTGATTTAAATGGTGCATGTAAATGTTCCAGTCCAATAAACCGTTGTAATTTATCAGGAAACTGGTTAACGACTGTGGAGAGATTGTTTCATAGTTATTTTGACTCAGCCTATACGGAATCAATCCAATGGATCTCTTTGGTAGGCGAATAAGTTCTCATTCACCTAAACAGAATCAAGATCTTCAAATGTGCAAGATGCTATGCTATCTTATCTAGAAAATGGACAATAATTTGAATATCATCTGGATGTTTTTAACGTGATCAGAATGGAAAATATGGCAGTTTTTCGCTCGGATTTGTACCAGAGAGACGCACACTGAACGGGATAAACTCAATCAATCAATCAATAAAATAATCAATAATTATTTTGACAACAGTATACTTAGGTGTTCAAGACGAAAGTATTATGAACATTTGGGGCAAAATGTACATGAATATCTATTCATTTTACATAAGTTACGAGGTGTTTGATGTATTTTTGGACTGGAATCTTCCCAGTAGAAAGTTCTGAATTTTGAAAGTATTTATAGTAGAAAACCTCTTTGCAAATTAGCTCTACTGGAGTTTTACCCTCCTTAAAACACGTGAAAGGGAAAAATGAAATAGCATTGATCAACCTGTTGATGATTTTGTTCATGTGTCTGATGATATGTTTTCAAGCTCAGCCTAGTGATTTTCTGATTTTTTCCCTTGCTTTCCATGTAATTTGGTTGTGTGCAGTTTCCTTGGGTGTGCATATATTTTCCTTAATATAGGTAACTTTCTCCATGAATTAGTCAGTTTGTCTTAAATAAGCAGGGTGAAATAATCTTTAAGCTATTACACATACCCCCCTTAATTTTTTGCTCAAGAAACACTGTTGTCTGCAAATAGCTCTCAGGCTCATGATTATTCTGTATTAAATTTGTGACCCCAGTCATCTGATCTCAGTATTTCCACCTAGCTGGACACTGAAGAAATTTATTGAACATTCTTCATTTGTGAATGCTGCCCTGTTTATTCAAAAATTGTCATGATCTGTTTTTCAATGATTAATTTAATGCTGCTTTTCAATTGGAATTTTATTCAAACCTTATAATGGTTATTTCATCTTATGCAACTTTCAAATATTGTCATACATGGTGTAGTTTATCATTATCTCATAAGGCATAACCTTAAATTAAGTATCTAACTGATTGGTGAATCTAATTGAGTGGTTTGGTTCAGCTTAACAAAGTGGCTACCTACAAATCTTTATGCAACAAACCTGATGAAAAAACAGGTCTCAAGGATTTTAAAGAAAGATTGCCTTCATTCTGTCACTAACTATTTAGTGCTTTTTAACTGTGGCTAGATCAATAATGCTGCATGACAGTACTGTCTTCAGCAGATATTCTAATATTTCTGTTTCATCTGTTTCATTTGTCATCTAATTCTTGATACATGCCTTGCACTTCACAGTCAAGTTTGCCTTTAAAGCCAAACTTTTGCCTCTTTTTTGAATGAAATTCTAAATTTTATGTGTGCAAAACAAATAGTGCTTGCAATTATTATACATTTGAAATCTGAGTCCACAGGTGTATATTTTGGTCCCATTGTTGCAATAATTTAATAAAATTTTAGAAAAAGTTTTTTGTTCAAGCTTTATTATCCTGTGAACTGATATTTGGGTAAATAATACCAAAAATAAAAAAAAGTTGCCAGGAACCTCCATCACACTTTGGGAAGAAAATGAATTTTGAGTATCAGCCAGAGGCAGGGGAGACACAAAAGCAGCTTTTATACTTTTAAATTTAGTTTGTTTCTGTTTTGTCAGAAAAGTAATGCAGTGCCATGCAATTGCTATATGAGCTCCTTAGATCACTGAAATATTTTTTGGATAATATTGCGGAGGCGCATTTCTGTTGCGCAGTGGCCAATGGGCACGACCATCCATGGGAGTCCAGCTTCGCCACTGCAAGTTTCAGGGTACAAGTTCGTCCATCAGCAACAAGTTATGGTGATCAGCAACGTAATGGTAGGATTCTTCATCGATAAGGGTCGGCCTTTGGTTTTCAATTACAATTTTGTTTTACAATTACTTTGCACAGCCACACACAAGTGATCCCTGTAGCAGTTAATAAACAATATATCTTTCGGAAATAGCTTCGATTGAATTTCCCCACTCCCTTGCAGCAATGTTTCTCAGCTCACAAGTAGACCTTAGATACTTCATGTATGGGAGATTTAGGTCGGTCATGCTGAAAAAAATGAGCATGACTTGGGGTCCAAAACGGGCCAAGATAGCATGCGCAAGATAGAATTCAGCCAATCAAATCAGTGCTAGGTTTATGATTATAATGACGAGGTCATGCTATTCCAAATGAGCATGACTTACCGCAGGGATACCAACTGAAAAGTCATTGAAACTCAGCCGACTCACAGGAGCGGTTGGGCTCTCTGAGGAAAGAAACCCTATGGCAGGTCATGCTCTCCAGAATGAGCATGACTAACCACAAGGGACCAAGGTAGGGAAGGGCAGTGAAATAATAAGAATCAACTGGACGAATGGAGTTTTGAGGGTACTTTTTCAATAAAGAAAAGTTTTAATCATTATAATAAATGTCTTTAGCTCTGAAAAGATTTAGTCATGCTCAGCATGACCAGCATGACCGCTAGCTTCGCCACTGATATCTTGAACATAGAGGTCTCTTCTGCTGAAAAGATTAACAATTGCTTATTTCGCAAAATATTTAGATAAATAAATACCATATGACTAGCCTTAAAATATTTGAAAAGGTTTCTGAAGTTCGTATTTCCGTATAAACTAAATAATAGACTTCTCAAAAGAGCTGGAAATGTTTGCATCAACATAGCCGTTCATCAACAAAGAAGTTTAAATTAGTAATAAATAGCAACGAAACATACCTCATTTATGGAGCCATTTCTGAATATCGTTTACAAACAAATCAAAACAGCACAGAAGTAGCTCGCAAGACAGAAGCATGAATTCGAATTTCTTATGCTGCCTACAAGGTGACTTCCAAAATCAAGTCGTGGCATTGATTTAAGAAACTGAACTAAACTTCGGATAAATGGCATTCCCAATTCCCAAAAAGCATTACCACAAATTATTCAAATTCTCAAAAGAACTATTTTACGCGGGAATATTTGGATGAAAATCCCAATAGAATACTAAAGGCATTTTGGCTAAAAATCCAGGCCTTTGGGAATATTTCCCAAGACGATAGTGCATTGAAATTCAAGAAAAGAACCAGATAATGAAACTTTAAGCGCGCTTTCAAACTAAGATTGGGGAAGTAAACACAAGAAATGATTGAAACGCCTAAAATTTCTATACATCATAATAATTTAATTACAAATTGCGTCCGAAGTAAATGAATCTTTAGACAGAACATATGAACAAATAAATTAATGCAATACAAAAATAGAACTCTTTTGTGAATATTTTCTTAATGAAAATTAAAATCATTAACTGATATAAATAATGCAATATAAAAACTCGGGAGAATAAAAATTTTACAACTTCTGGGGGAAGACGACTCACTGTAAAGATTGAACATCGTGTTTGAGATTAGAAGACGGATGGGATTGGGGGTGGGACAAACTTTATTTTGAAAGGAAGTTGTTAATCGGAAAATCTGCTCAAATGCCATGGAACAAAAAATGGCCAGCCAGCCTCACTTAAAGCATAGCTATCAAGTTATTTATTTACATTGGTCAAATTAACAATTCTCTAAACATCTTTCAAACAAAAAAGAGCCTATAAAATCCTGTAAAAACCTAACCTTAAAATATACATTACTTTTTAAGATCAAAATAAAATAAATTTTACCAACATTATTGAAAATTTATTATTCTTAAGAACACAGATCAAAGACGGTATCCAAAGGCAACCAGAAGTTTTTTAATTATCCCACTACGCTGCTTGAAAAACATTTGTGATGGTCGATAGAGACAAATTCATGACGAAAAGTTGCTTTGACAATAAAATCGAGATTCGTGGAATCTGGCAAGAAAAGTTCCTTGTTAATGCACAGCCGGATTAATTTTGCATATAAAAGTAATTTTTCTTCATGTTTATCTCTGGTTATTTTAGTTAATCAGTAATATCTGGTGCCATTGCCCTAAATTTTTAATAAAGTACTGAATGCTTTCTTAATGAAGTAAAAAAGCTTCAAGAGTTCAGACTTTTCTATACTCGCAGCAGTGCAACACAGCCTAAACTATTAATGAGGTTAAATTTATGCTGTTACACAAATCTTCATTTCATCCCTTACTAAGCACTGTATACCACTATTTCCAGTTTATTATCTTGCAATCAACGATTACGAAGCATGGAATTATTACATAATACGTTACAGTCGCAAGATGTCACCTATCCTGTGTCGCAAAGGCTGGATGTTACCTTGCCATGAACACCGTGTTCTCACGTGGGTCAACATGTTCTCCCAGAATAAGACATTGATAAAACCATTTGATAGACACACATTTGATATCAAACATTCTTGACCGTGTTTTTACAAGTCTCTTCACAGTAGCATTATCACCAACGAGAATATAGTTGCAAGGTGGACCTTCGTTCTCACAATAGACCTTGTTAGGCAGCTTAGTGACTATTTCAGCTCCTGCAAACCGCACTGCCAAAGATAACTCTTCTTTATCTTCCTTCAGTACTTGAAGAAATATCTGTTATTTGATGCAAGAAAGATAGCAGATTAACATACTTCATACGGCCGGTATGTCAATATTTAAAAAACTGAGCCCCTTTTCAGGTTCCTGGAGCCTAGGCGTAACAATTATAGGCAGTGGACTCTCTTTTAATTTATCTCTGGCAGTAGTAATCAGTAGGTAACTAAGGGTGAGTGGCTAAGGTTCTGCTTTACCGTGACTGTTCTATTAAAGGTTTCGATGCAAACGTTCATCCCAAGTTTCGTATGATTTCTGTTTACTGCCTTAAGGAAATTTTAACATCTTACGGGTTAAAGTGAAGAGCCAGTCGCAAAGGACGTTCCAGAATAAATGTTTGGAGGAGGCTGGAAAGAGGCGGATGACTTGCTTCTGGTCAGTAAATATTTGAGGACCTAAGTGGTGTTGACACTGAATAGATATGCAATATAGTCCTTAGTCATAAAATGGCTACGGGATGGACACCCAAAGTTATTGAAATGATTTGTTTATCTTACCTTTATGCCTCGAAGTGGTTGTGTCCGATTGTGAGGATCAACAACTGTTCCTGTCAGCTGATCAATCCCAGCTTCAAGGCGATGACTGTGCTGAGCAACAAGGCAGCTCTTTTCACAACATTCTTTGATCCATGAATGGCTCAAACAGGGTACTCCGTACGACAATGCAAAGTAATACTTGAAGAAAAATACAATCATCACCAGGGGAAATTTAGTAATGAAATTTCGAGTTTAAACTTTTCAATGCAAAATCTATTAATCAAAAAATTATTTACCTTAAGTGTCTTTTGAGAAGTAGGGGCAATTAGTATGATTTTTTCCTTTGGTACTTTGACAAGCTGGTGCACAGAATCTGCTATCGTCCCTCCTCCTGCGACGATCTGGCAGCCAAGGTAAGACCTTTGAAAACCTTCGCAGGTAAGGGCAATATCTGGCTCTAAATCCCCTTGCTTTGGAGCAACTATGGAAAAAGAAAATAAGACAGGTTGCTGACACGTTAATTGCCAATCTCGAGGTAAACGTATCTCGGATCCAGAGAGAAAAAGTCGTGATGTTGCCTCTGATACAAGGATGCTGGTTTTTCATAAGCAACTTATTCAGTTACAGTAAAGATTATGATAATAATTATAACCAATCAACATTGCTTTTAATTAGATTTATACTGATCTACTTTTGACACGTACATTTAAAGATGCAATATTGATAATTATCTCCTTTTACATACAAGAACTGATAGTATAAATCCATCTGGGAAGTTGTGAAAAACTTCTCCACACCTACATGACCCGATTTCAAATCAACATAATCTGTAAATTGTTCCAATATCAAGATTGATCGTAAGATTGGACATGTAAGGTTAATCCAGCAGATCAAACACTTTTCTGGATCCAGTAGATAAGATACTTGGATTAGCATCATTTTACCACAAACTTGCATTAACAAAACAGTAACAGAAAATTAAATATGGGGCGTTTATAGAAAGGAAAAGGTTTTAATGGCAAAGTAAACTCAATTAAGTCACACGGAAAAGCCCACTCGATACAGAAATCATAATCTAAAGTATATTCATACTTCTGGAAAGAACAACTCCATAATAAGGAGGTTTTTTTTCACAAAAGGTACTGCTTCTTATCGTTCCTGATCCTACCAACCTTTTTATTCATGGAAATAAAACATAATCTTAAACAATGAAAACCTTCTGCAAAGCAAAGATGGTTTGGTATTGGGATATGAAATTTGTCTTAAAAGTTGTGATGACAAAAATTAACGATAATAATGCAGGTCACTACAAATGTTTGGTACAGGCTAGGTAGGGGGAGGGGGTGGCAGCCAACAAAATGAAGCATTTTTAAACTAAATACGAAAAGGAAATCAACTTTTCCCCCTTAAGAGACTCTCGGACAATTCTAACATAAATCCTAACATAAAGAGTTCCCTACATCAGACAGATGCCACGAAACGAGCACTCACCGTAAGTAATGAGAAAGCAATATCCTTTAAACAAAGCTGGATCTTCTGGTAATCGTCCATACAATCGCACAAAATCTGGGTCCTCTTGCTTCAGTTTTAAACGTTCTATTCTTTTCAGTCGATCCTCATTCCTTTGAACTGGGTCCTTCGTCTTCTTTCTAGGCTGCACTAAAGCTGTGTAAATCTTACGAGGCGAGTCTACTCTTTTCTGCCTCTTTGGTGGCAACTTGCTTGATTCTCCTTCGTCCGGGCTGGTGCTTGATTTGACCGAATTAAGTTGCTTTTCACGTTTTTCTTTTAGTCTTTTTATTCTACTCCGAATTTTTCTGACTTTAATCCTATCATTATTCCTGTCAAGCCTCTTTGATATCTTCACTCCTGCATTATTCCTATCAATGGCTTCTTGTTTTTCTTGGTGGATTGTTGAAATAACCTTTTCACTTCCTCCAGAAGGGTCTTTATCAAAGTCTTGGTTTTTAATTGAAGCCTTTTGATGAAATAAAATTTTGACATAACAAAATAATGCAGCATAGATCGACAAGTTTATAAAATTTTGAATTTTCTGCCCGGAATAAAACATCGAATTAAGAATGGTAGATTATGAGGACTCCACTTGATCATATTGATAAAGCTTTGGGCAGTAAGAACAAAAGAATGAACAAACAAATAACAGAAAAAACAACAGAACGAAAAGTCATTCAATGGAATTGGGGGCATTTAAATCAAACATACGAGAGCAAGACATACGTAAGCAATGAAGTATATTGTCTTTTAGTGGGAAAAGGAACAGAAAGTTGTTAATTTGCATCCTTTATTCCGAAACATTGGGGCCTGTATCAACAGAGAAACAAGGCGGGTCCATAAAAGATAAATGGAAATTTCCCTGCTATAAATACCAGCTTACGGAAGTTCAATGCGATGCTCCACTGTTCCCTGTTTTTTCATCATCATCATCATCATAATCAAAGACGCCTTAGTCTTAAAACAACTGAATTTTAAAGGTTGCCTACGATTACAAGTTCGTCATCTAAAGTACCTCACATGCTTTTGAAGATTCCTCTTTGCTCTTACTCCATCCAGACTTGCTTTTCTTTTCACGGGCCATTTGACTCTTAAGATTGTTAATCTGTTTTGTATCAAGCATTAATTCACTTGATTTGAAAATTTTTGATGAACCATCATGGGTTAGTTTGATCTCATAATGAATGTCTTTTTTCTGCCTTTAAAACGATTAAAAAACACAAGCTTTATGAATGAAGAAGAATTTGCAATGAAACATTCTGACAGTTACCATATTTAAATCATAAAATGAGACTGCAATATATCATAATTCATATTGAAATAAACCCTCGTTTTAAGAATATTATCATTCCGCTATAGCTAGATGTTCATAGTTATTATACTTCACTTTATCGCGAAATAGATCAACTTTTAGTTTTCAACCACATTAATGAAGGTAAAATGTAAGGATACCATACCAAAAACGCTTATTACAATATGACCAGTACACCAAGAACAAAATTAGGTATTTTCATAGAGTTTTAGAGCATATAGCTACCAGGACATTTTCATCAATGTCATTGCCTTTGCGATGTTTCATTGTTTCAACGAGAAATAGTAAGACGCTGGTTGTCTACCAAAAAAAATCTGAAATTTCACAGCTCAGCTCAGTTTTGTATACGGACTCTAAGTATATGTTGGAGAGTGGGTGACATGTTAATCTACCAGTTCTATGTATCCTTTTCATCGTATTTTCAAATGCCATTCCAATTATATAGTTCAAGTTGGGTTTTGCAAGAAGTGATTCATATCATAGATAAATAAAAACAAAAGTATTCTTCCTTCACTTGACTAGCTGCGGATTTCAATCCCGTTCAGTTACCCAGGCAAAATCTTGAAACCCTTTTGTTGGAATTTGCTTTGGTAGGTTACTGAACGTATTTAAGATATACAATCCTTGCCAAAAATAACTGGAACGCCTTCCCATTGCAGCATGTAGATAAGCAAAGCAAGTCTAAAACTACCTTACCAAAATATCACTGCCCCTTCAAAAATTTCGACCCCCTCCCCCATACAATGTTGATTTATTTTCTCAATACATTGACACAGCTTCCAGTGAAAATTTTTAATCTTAAGCGTCAAAACAGCCAAAGTGAACAATATTGTAAGGGGGGGGGGGGGATTTTTCAAAAAAAGCTTCAGCTTCGCACAAGTGTTTCAACAATTTTGGCAATACGCCTATAGCCCTTTCTCTTGATGAAAGATGTTACCGAAGAAAATTTGCGGTAATGTACCTTCTCACGACAGAAACTTTGCCAGCAACGTAACACTCTTCCTCCTTATCTTGTGCAAACACGGCTAGGCCGACCGGCAACACATCAACTAGCACAAGAGCGTTTGCTGCAAGAACCAGCTGCTTCCCATCATGGAATTCGATCTTATATCTATAAACAAATTTAAAAATGTTTAGCACAGCTACTACATAGCGAATGTTTCCCATTAATCTGAGAAACAGTGGAATTGGAATATTATGAACCCTGCTTATGACAAACTTCCTGTCCCGTGAATTCAGATATTTGAATTCTATTGCAAATACTCCTAGTAAAACAAGCCCTCGCTGTAACAAACCTTTGAGAGAATGGATGATGCTAATGATCCTAACAAAGCATCAGCCAGTAAAATCGATGGGATAGGGGCAGGAAGTAAGGACTCATACCATCAAAACTCAGAGCAGACAACTGCATAGACAAAGATTACACATTGCTCACTTTGGAAACATTTCAACTTACGGAAAGGATATCTTTGTCTAGGTATCATATAGAGAAGAAGAGAGTGGTGAAAAGAGTAAACGTTTACACGAAGAAGTCGTTGTACATCCATCCATGAAGAACAAAGTTGTGCAAGCTCTTGATGTACTCCACGTATGCTGTCTCTTTTGTAACGAAATGGGGATGCGAAATGCGATAAAGAATAAATTCCTTTTCACGATTATATGATAAAGTCATAAGCAAGAAGCAACAAACACAAATAACTGCATTTTTTAGGTAAAATTCATTACCAACAAATATTTAACATCAATAATTCTTTGCTATAGCTTATAATCAAACATCTTTTTGGTGCAAATTTCCACGACGTTCATTTTCTGTTGAGCAACTTTTAGATTGTCAATCTATTAAAATTTTTGCAAAAATACACTACGGAGGAAGGGTTGAGTAGATAAAGTGCCCTATTTGTGTTTAGAATTCTTCGAAAAATTCCCCTCTCGTCTTTAACGAACTCCACTTTCACAACGTTTTTCTTGTTCCCTGTAGTAATTGCGGGATTCCACTATATTTCTCATTAGGATTGGCAGCAAAAATTACCAAATTATACACTTATTGAAAATCAAGCTATAAATTCAAAACAAATACATGACAGATCTGGAGTCAAACAAATTTACCCGCTGGTGGCAGAATGTATCCTGGGATGGCATGCTGCAAGGTTATGTTATATATATTCAGATGAAATTAGAATAAAAGCTAGAAAAAATGTCTAAAATCTAGATCTAAATACTTAAGAATAAAATTTGAAAACATTTGATAGAATCAATAATTTGCAACGATATAGTTTGATAAGACGACAAACCTATCAGAATTTATTTTCTCTGCAATCGTTCCTGGATAATAACAGCCATCTAGCCATTTTCCAAAGCCTCTAGCTCCAACCTGAACCTTCTCAATACTCTCCCTCTCAGCCGAGCCTCGAACACTACTCCTTGTTTCTCTCCGCTCCACCCTCTCCTCAGCCAATGCAAGCTCTAACAGCTTCTCGTACTCTGACTTATCAGCGTCTTCTTGCTTCTCTGTTACTGGCGGCATGGAATCCACAATAGCCCGAGCCGGCGTTGCAGATTTGTGCGAGTTACTTGAACTCATTCTCGCCCTGCTATTTTCTTCTTTCTTTGATTTCTGTTTTGATGATGATGGTGTTGAGGTCTTTGTCGGGCGTGCTTTGGGAACACCGGGCACGCCCTCTAGTGAAGTTGAAGAACTTGATCTTCGTTTGAACCTCGGACTGGTCCTTATGGATGAGCATGGGTCTGTTCTGGTTGGTGTTTTCATACCTTCAAGTAATAAAGCGAGTTTGAGTCACAGAATCATATTTAGATTAAGCCACATAGGGGTTTAACTAATTGGTTATAGAATCGTTCGTTAGAGAAGTTCGTTTATCACAGGTTACAGAATTTCATGATGTTCTTTCAGGTTGGTGGAGAACTTTAAAATTCTAAAAATTGAATTTATTGTGACATCACCTACCAACTCTGTATGAAAGGGTAATTTGAAATTTCACACACGTACCTTCCTCCGTTGGGGCAAACAAAATTTATGCGATGTCTAAGCTAAAGAAGTGAAAAAAGAACATAACCAGATATCTGAATCCAACCTTTTCTATCATCTTCACTGGAATCCAGACAAATACTTCTAAATGAAACAATTTCGTATGTTGGCGTGGATTTTCTAACATTCAGTGTCTTTTCTGGGGCTTCTGTTTGCTCAAACTCTGACGTCTTTGTCTTCAGAAGCTCACCCGTTTCAAGCGAATAAAACTCGGTGACGATTTTACGTTTTACAGTGCGAACAATCTCTTCCTCTGTAGTGACATGGACAACTGCTTTGCAAAATGTTTCACTTTCCTCCGCAGGTGAGTCAGGGTTCTGTTCTCCAGATAAAGGTAAAACTGGCCTAAAGTAAATTGGAAAGACAAAGCTATAATCAGACGATGCCATACTAGCATTTAAAGATAAAATGTAAAGGTGAGTCGTGTAAACGATCCGCACATAGAGGAAGTGCCTGTTAGGGATGACGCTTGTCTTGATCTAGCAGCAACACCAAGTAGGACTGTAAGTTTTCTCCATGCTATCTTTTGCGGAGGTGGTGTCTCATTAGGCGACAAGCCTCCTGTATCTGTGCCGTGTCTAAGGACCTGCCCCTGTAATTTCATTCTACACCCATCTCTTCGGGACATTCTACACCTTCAAAAGGGGGAATTAATGGCAAAAGGCATCTTTGGACAATTTACGTTCATACTTACGATGGTCTGTCTTGAGCCGAGTTAAGCTTTCTTCGTTTACTAAGTGGCGCATCTGTTAACAAAAATATGTTTTAACTTAAATAACTTTCATAAGTTGGAGGCCAAGATACAACAATTTAATAAAAAGACAAAAAGAAAGTCTTTGGTTATATTAGGAGATTCTTCACCGCAGCATAAAGATTAGCAGAGAAGGAAAAGACGTGATTACGAAGGAAGGTTTTTGTTCAAAACACTAATTTCTGGACCCCATTGTATGGCATATATAGCAACCTACCTTGACTTTCAGGAAAAGCAAAAGGGTCAGATTCACTGTGTAGCTGTGGATGTGTATCCCTCTTCTTTTTATTCTTCGAAAGTCTCATTGCCTTTGCATATATCGTTTCACTCTGCTCTCCTAGGTCGAAATTTGATGATGCCTCGGATTTCTGCTCAGACAATTGTAACACATCCTTGACGTCAGACTGTTGCCCAGTCTTTTCTCTCACCGTGGCATCTTTATCTTTCCTAGTTTTAAAATTTGCTGCACTCTGCTGTGACGTGGCCTGCTCGCTATCTTCGTAGGCTACTTTGGTAAAACAAAAAGTCAATTGGCAAAAATTCAACAAAACTTGAGAACATTGCTTCTAAGCCTTCATCAATAAAAAGATTGTCTTGAAACGGGTATATTATTGATAAAGTCAACTCCAAATAATGACCGCTTGTCAAAGAAGTCAAGTTGCCGTCTTTAACATTCAAAAATGAGTTTATGAAGCCAGTGTTCAAAGTCATGAATAAAAAGGAGTATCGAACAATCTGTATAAATTGCACTTAACTGTGAAAGTTGATAGTGTTGAGGTTGCTATTCAATAACTTTAAGGGATGTTTTGATTAAATTTCACATAGGTACGTGGACAACGTTGTAAAAATATTGTTGTAAAAAACATATAATAAAGCTCACCGACATTAGATGCACCTTCATCAGGGTAATCTTGACTCACACCACCCTGATATTCAACATTCCTCAAAGGCGGCGTAAGTGTTTTGATTGGATGAAATTGCTCCCCCTCAGGAGGTAAAGACATATGAAACAGGTTTGGAGTAGACGAATCACTTGAACCATGAACAACTTTATCAAAGACTTCCTTAGGAATTCTGAGATTGTCTCTAGATTTCTTGGAAACCTCATTTTCAGGCTCTTTGCTTGGATGTGACGTGCCTTGGCTCTTCAAAGGGATAATCGATTGACTCGGCGTGGTTTTAAGGCTGTCCAATCGTTGACTACCAGACATCTTGAAACCTGCACAAGCATCTTCAGGCTCATCAGGCTTGATCATATCTGGTAACCTACTTTCTTTTGCTTCTGTCTCGTGCTGTGTTTGACTAAGAAACAAACTAAAATCCTGAGCTCGCTCCTCAGGTATATCTTCCGCGGCATCCTGAAATTCATCCTGCGATTGCAAGGGCCGAGAGTGCTTTTTATTACCTGACTCAGTAGAAGGGTTTGTTCCGGTATTTGACCCAGTCAGACGTGGATTAAACAAATCTTGAGACATTTCTATTTCCATGTCGGAATCTTGTGACTGGGGCATGTCATCTTTGTCCGGTGTTAAACTGCTACCGAGCATCTTTCTCTCATTAGTGGAACCTGTGCATTCGGAAACTGGTTTGGCATCAAGTGGTGCTTTCCTGTCTGAAGATTGGTTGGACTGCTCTTCTCTTTCGGTCACAGCTACTCGTTCTTTGACAAAATTCTCCTGACTTCCTCTCTGATCATTTGATTTAACGTCTACTTGTTTGTCTTCACTAGATTCTTCGATTGCTTTACCTTGCGAGGAACTTGGCTCTGAATAAGCACTCCTGTCCAGGACACATTGAATGGCAACATCAGAGGAGGCTGCGGTAGAGCTCAGATTGAAAATAGAAGACTGGGTCGAAGTTGACGTCATCTTGCCATAAGGTGGGGATGTCGCTGGTGAGCTCGAAGACGATAAGTGAGCAGAGTCGCTACAGAAAGTAGACATGTGTAAAAAGAATGGTATCTGAATAAAGGAAACATTGGAAGTGAAAACACTGAGCAATGTTTCCATTAGACACATAGAAATCGTGATTCGTGAAGTTTACTCTTGATGATCACCTATACATGCCCATAACGAAATAAGAAAAAATATGAATGTACAAAAAATAAAGTCCTTGCTGAAGACGATTTAGTGTCATGGGCATCTATCAAATTTGGGTATTGGTCAAGATTTTAAGATAACATAGGTATTGGTAGCACAATTTTGATACATTAGAGCAAAAGCTGGTTATACTGCAGCTAAACAAGATTCTGCAAAAGAAGACACTCAGAGAAGAAAATTTATTATACACCTGTCACAAGATATATCTTTCATATGTTGGCTACCATCATTTGCATCAACAGGGAAAAAATTTAACATTTACAGCTGCGATTTGTCCTATAGAAAATATTTTCTTAGACTGGTAGACTTATCGTAAGAAGATATTTAAAATTAAGCATTGAAGAAAAACACGCTGCAATTGTGACTAACGTGGAGCTCTCGAATTCAATCTTCTTGCGTTCAATGTCAGCTTTAACCCATTTTGGCAAAGCAATGTGTGATCCATATGGCTTTTTATATGCCTTAGTGTCAGTTCCATCTTTTCTCTTGATATTCTTAGAACCCTCTCCTCCAGCGCGTCTTGTCTCCAATTCTGAAAAATGTGCCGGTGTTACCTCAGTACTTTCTGTCAGTAAAACCGATGGGGAAGACGGCAGGGGATCTGGTAACGAATAAACCGATGTTACCGGCCTTCGGATCTCTCCACTTAACTGAAGGCATTCAAAAGACGTCTCGTTTGGTGTGGATCTCAAGTGTGGTGGTTCGAGGTGTGTCACTTCTCTGGAAGACAACCCAGACTGTGTGCCATGCTCGTGCGAAGAATCCTCGTGAAACGACGCGGAAGATGACGCGGGACCATGGGAATCATTTTCTTTGATAATATCAAGCTTCATTTTCTTACGAGAAGGTCCTTTGGTTTCTTCAAATGAGCTTTCGCCACTTGATGATGATGAGTGGGCTTTATGCAAAGGCGCCTTCCCAGGAACGCGGAACTCAGGTGATGATGGTATGCTTGGGGTATCTTGTGATAAGTGGCTGCTGGCCGATGTTAGTGGACGCAAAGAGGTAGAGCTGGTTGACTTGTCTTTAGGATAAAAAGTTACTCATAAATTAGTATAAGAAAGTCTAAATGAATGTGAACTTAAATTTGCTAATAATGAAGAACTAAAGAAAATGGCTGAACTGCTAACGAAAAACTATGTTTTAATGGTAACACGTCCTTCTCAAGTGGAAACTCTTTTACCAATACTTTGAGGCAAAGGTAGTTTTTAAAAGTAAAAAGTTAATTTGAAATAACACGTTCTAGAAGTTTTTTGGATTCAAAACAAAACGAAGTGCAGAGAAGTTGAACAGAAACCATGGTGCCTAAAATAGATGATGTGAGCAAAAGGTAGATTATTTTTACAAATTCACTCTTCTTAACTGCTAGCAATCTTTTGTTTAGGACATTGAATTAATATGTAAAAATTCTAAGCTAGATAATTTTATGTAACGTACTGTAGGAACAACCTGATTAAAACTTGTCAGGAATCTATCAACTGGCGTATTTCATCGTGTGTTTAAAAACTACGTTGAATATATAACAATCGCGTTCTTTCTTAAGCAAAATTATCATGGAAGAGCCTCAAGGCTAAATTCTAAGAATTTTCCAACAAGATTGACATAGAATCCATTGACTTACTGACAAAAAGAATTACCTCCGCTGGAAATAATTGATGTCTGGTACATGGTAGAGATCCTTGAAAGATCCAAGAATGGCTGAGGAGTTTTGGCACTTGGTACATTTTCAGAACTGTTTGTTGAAATCTCTGACATATCTGATGCCACGCGGTTTAGCTCCACTGATGTCCCAGTGGAACTTGAGAAAGTTGATGTGTCTTTATCTGGCTCTTTCTGCTGATTCCATTGATGTAGAAGAAAGATTTCCGTCACTTATTCAGAATTTTTCGATTGATAAAAAACATACAGCCATCTACATGAATATCTTAGATAGGTCTTAAATAGCAGCAAAAGTCTATATAGTTTGCAGCAGTGGCGGACACCTGGGGGGCGAGTGGGCGGTCACCCCCTAAATTTTTTTGGAAGACAATGGTCTTTTGTTCTAAAATAATGGGGGAAATGTGACGTAATCTAATCAAAACAATAGGCTTGCCCCCCAATATTTGACCAAGTGTCTGCCTCTGGTCTGCTGCTTGTAACCTGGCATAAAATTACTAATAAACTTTTAAAAAAATATGCACATATTGAATTGCTATGATAGAGTAAAACCCCAATAGAGTGAAAAACTAGTAACAATTACAGAATGTTCTTGCACATTTGCAGCATTATTTCCAATTCAATATGCCATTGGTGAAATATTGTAGACGAAAAAGTATTATGTTATTACAAAACTGACAAATATTTCAACCAGTAATTGATCCTTTAGAACACCCAGTAAAAAGTATTTACAATATCACAAATTTATAGAGACAAATCAATTTTCCAGACAGGTTTAATAAATGTTCAGTAATTTTTTATATTTTTCTACTTTTTATATTAACTTCGCCTAAATGATACTCTCACAATTCTAGGGGGATATTGCTGTTAAAAGATCTCTGGTTCAATTCTTTCACTTTTATTTGTTTATACACACAGTGTTTTTTGTCATGCTATGCTGCTTGTATATACTGAGTTTGTATTTTGTTAGATAGTTAAAGAAATTGTTATATATGACAATAAGCAATCCAGATATTTTCTTGCTACTGAGACTTCATTGACAATTCATTGACAAAGTGGGCTGTTAAAGGCTTTTGAATTTTATACAAAAATGACTTCAAATGCAATACAAACCTTCTGAGAAACAACTTCAGCAAGGCTTGCACTGGCTATTTCTTCTGAAGACAACTGTGATTTATATGAAACAGTAGAAACTACAGAAGATGCTGATTCACAAGAAGTATTCAAAAATTTTGTCTGCAAATAACAAACAAATCAAGTTTTAGATTCATGAATGACAAAAACCAACAAGCTAGAAAAAAAAACAGAAAGCCATACTATTGTTGGACAAAATGAGTACATTTTTCGAATTGGTTACCTTCAAGGGTTGATCTTTGATAGGTATTACTTCTGAAAGATCTAGAAAAGAAATTTCAAATAAAATCTTAGATCTGTTCATAACTATTGGACTTTTGTTTATTTAAGTTTATTACCTGGTTGTCGCAAGTGTATAATTAAAACTGCAGCACACCATTTACCTCAACCCTTTCAATGAATGACTCAGTACCCAAACAATCCTGAATGATTAACAGTTTTTGCCCAAAACAGTTCTGAGGAAATGAACACTATCTAATTCCTGATATTGACTAATTATCCAAATTATGAAAACTGAAATCTAAATTTTTATCTTTCATGGTTATAACGAGGCCTCTCTGGGAAAAAAACAATGCAGGCTATAAAAAGCCCTTGCCAGTTTGACAGCATGGGCTATTTAGCCCTTGCAGAACTGTTGTTGATTTTTTTATATTTGAGTATTTACAAAAATACATTACATTGCCAATTCTTTAAACACTATTCACCTTAAGAAGGCATTTTGTGCATATATTTACTACTTTAAAATTTTGTATCACCACTCCTTAAAACAAGAGAAAAGAGGGACATAATTTTTTTTTGGAATATAGCAGAGTTTTGTTAGGTTTTGCTGGTCAAATGTGGCTTTTTGGGAATGCCCAGTTTACATGCCATGACTTTAAAAAAATTGTTTTGTACTTGACAGCATGGTGTAACATTTCTCACTTTAATTATTTGTAGCATTAATCTGTAGCATTAGAGATTGGCGAAGCTGGTCTCACTTCACTCCTAGTTGATAAAGCTTTACAAACCTTCGTCAAAATCAGAATGTTCAGCACCACTTGTCTTATGCACTACTTCTGACAGCTGTTGTTCAAGATTGGCAACTGGACTTGGTTTTCCAAGCTTTTCTTCATCACTACCCTGCAAGTGGGATGGTGTCTCTGGTAGCTTTGAAATGTCAAGTTCCCTTAGTACTGACACATGAGAATCAAATTTTGATTCCAATGAAGTGGCTGGTTGCTCGAGTTTCTCCTTATTAGCTTCTTCTTCAGATACTTGTGAATCGGGTACAATGAAGGGATTAAGGCCTGAGTCATCTTCATCTGTGTCTGAATCCATGTTTCTTTAAACCTTTAATTTTCCGGATCAAGTTCCTAAAAAATAGTCTTCAATTGAAACACTTCATAGCCTTCTCCAAGGCAAATTAGCTTCAGGGGCAAGGCTTTGTTTATATAAAGAGGAGGACTATAGCCAGTTCTTTAAAACAATGGAAAGTCACTAGGATTGGAGGGGCAGTTGCCCCTTGTTAGTATGTTAAAAGGCCCTGAAATAATTTATCAAAGATTGGTATTGCTTTTATTAGCAAACTAATTGAACAGCAGTCAATTACAACCATTGACGGTTTGTATAAATTATGGAACAACGTAAGTCGCTTATTATTGGTTTCGAGCATGTTTTTACAATGTAAATTTCATTACATCTTGTCAGACCGCAGCTCTGTACCAAGCCTTTCATTAAGCCTACTACTTATGAAACACTTGTACTCAACTGCTTAAAATTTACTTTGAGGTTGTTTCAATATTTGAAAATTTCTACATGATCAATTGGAATCAAATAAAGAGAAACTATTGAGATGAACAAGGCAAAGGTCACACATATATCACTGTGTGACAATCTTTAAATATATATACAAATAAATCTGTTATTAATTTTGTTTAGTCTAAAAATGGTTGTTTCTTTTTACTGTGAAAATTGTGAAAAATATTGATTGAGCCTTGAGTGTGAGTGTTGGTCTACCGAGATGATGAAATAACAACAAAGCAAAATAGGGACGTCCAAGGATGTTCAAATGATAAATGAAATAAAACAGTAAAGAAGAAGAATAATAATCTATATTACCAATATTGTCTATTTCACCTTCGTCAAAACATCGTGCAAAGTCACCATTTTACATGCACATCCAGCTAGTCCAGACCTGCCTAATGACCGTCAATTTCCGCGGGAACTACGAACGGTTCCTCCGCAGTGCAAGGCAACCGTGCCTGAGCATTGCAGCATAGTTCTTTTCTAAATAGAGGTACTAAAGACAGGTTTTTCCGCAATTCCCAAAAAGTAACAAAGTTTGCGAAACAATTCGGAAAAAAATTGGTGGGCATGCTCTCTAGCTCCACCGTCCCCCCGGCCTCTAAAATTTTCTCACGTTATCTGCATTTGCTATGTGACGTCAACAATCCAAACTGCTGATGATGTGCTGTTTGAACTTTTGAGATTTTTCAATTTTTCTTTTTATGAAAATCAGTACCTTTACATATAAATAACTAGGTAAAATATTGCTGCTAGCATTACCTTGAGCTTGCTTATATTATATTTGCGATGGTTTGCAGTTACCCTTTGATTCAAAGTGGCTCTAAAGTAGCAAAATCAAAATCCAACATCGGTTTAAATTTCTTCCTAAGTGTTTATGAATCAGATATCATTAAACAGAATTAAAACGGAGCCAAAAGGTTTTGGATATATTATATAAACTCTCTGCTGATATATGGTCATATATTACGTGTTTGAATCTTGACGATTGTCCCAGAAAATTCTCAAAACTTAGATGAGATTAATTAAAATTCAAATTGCATTGTATTCGGCAATTTTCATTTTGAAAACTCGGTATTACGGTAATATCAAAATATTCTTGCAGAATTACGGTAATAGGGAAATTTTCTTGCAGAAACACGGTAGGTATTTGATACCCCCCCCCCCCTCCAAAGACCCCCGAAATCAACAGTTATCCTTTATTATTATTTAACTTCAGATCTTTCATTAGCCATATCCTAGCCGATTTGTTTCAGATTTATTTCAATGAATGCGCTTTCCAGGATTGAATGTTTGAATGTTTGAATCTTCACGTCGCCCCCTTTGCCATAGCCGGCAAGCACAGCCTCCTTTTGATGCTATGCAAGGCTCTCCTACACTATATATTTTTTATATCTTTTATACTCTTTATTGTTCTGAGTTGTTACTGTGAGTTACTACTTTATTGTTCTTTTCCTTAGATATTCATTGATGTATTTTGCTATTTTTCTTAATTCTTCAATTGTACCATTTATCCAATTAACCATCCCTGACACCCCAACCGCTTCGTGGGTTTCTTTGCACTGCACAATATGTTCTGTACTCTCTTTTACTCTCTCACATCCAGCGCACCATCTGTCTTTCCCTTGGTTTTTCCCTAAATCCTTCAGTTCAAGTCTTACTCTTAATAACTCTGAAGCTTCTTCAATTCCAACTTCTTTAATATACACTCGTCTTTCATATTTCCCGCTCAGATGCCTTAATGCCTTAACTTTGTCATTGTCGTTCTTTTTTCATTCCATATTTCTTTAATTTCCTTTCCTAATCTTGTTTTTACGATTTTCTTCTATTGTGACTTTCATAATTTCATTATTTCGTCTATGTTTATTTCTATCCTATCTGCTATTTCCTTTACGTCCTGATACCAACACTTGTCTTATGTCTTGGCCCCTTATTTGTTTATCATCAGATTTCATCAATTGATGGTAAAGCATCATTTTATGATATTCAATTCTTTGCTTCATCGGCTAAACTGCTAGCTCTTTCAACATTTCCCAATATGGAGTTTTTTTGTCGCATATTTGATGGTATGGTTGTTTTTTCATGCATTAAGATTTGTACCTCTATACCAAATTTTCCTCGTATTTTCTGCGCCAATCCGCTTGATTTCTTTTATAATACCGAAGGTTTTCTTTTTTGTTTCATTTATTTGTCTCTCCATATTCCCTTTTTCGTCTATGAAATTTCCCAGAAACTCGTATTCTTTAGCTTTTTCCATTTTTTCTTTCAATAATTCTATATCGGGTTCGTCTTCTCTTTCTGCTCCAGTATTTATTACTAAGAATTTGCTTTTTTCCACGTTGAAAGTAAACTTGTTTGTTTCTTCCATCTGTCTCAAGTTTGTTCCAAGCCCTCTATCATATTTTTACTACCCACACCACTAATATCATCTACATCTGTTAATGCATTGAAATAAACTCTTGGAGAAACTACAGTCACTGGTGTTTCTTTAATCTCATTCAGGCCCGTCAGAACAGGGGGGGGGGGAGCTGAGGGGCTGGAGCCCCCAATAATTGTCAAACTGTAGTATGTTTCCTTTATATCAGTGTAATGAATGAGAAAGAAAACAACGGGCAGCCTCCCCCTAATACGAATTTCGTTCCGACGGCACTGCTGTGTTGTACTGACACAACATGCGGTCCATAAATGGTACCCTGCTTCACGATATTATTTACTGTAAACTGATTTGTGTATCCTAATGGTGTCTCGACAGATATTTTTGCCTCTTTATTCATTTCTTTCAACAACGCTATTTCTCTTTCCCTAATTCCACTTTTATATTGCCTATATTCATCCATAGGATTCATCTGAAGTTGAGAGAATCCAAGGTTGAGCAGCAACAGCAACAACAGTTTCACGTTTCTCTTTCCAGGTCCTCCATTTGTTTTGACATGAAATGTACTGACCATAATATGCATACCTGATCACGTTGTGGCAGAGATCAAGATGTCCAAAAGAGACGTTTATGCGAGCAATAACAGGGCAATTATAATTTCTGCTTCTACAACTACATTTATCGTAGTTCTTATGACAATTGGGTTCTTGATCTTGCTTCGTCGTCGAAAGCAAGAGCGAAGGAATCCCTCGAATGATTCGCCTAATGCGGCTAGGCGAGAAACAGATGAAGCACACGAGTTTAGTGAGAGTCCTAAGCGAATGGTGACAATCAGTAGGGGTCTCAAACCCCATGAAGAGGTTGAAAATGAGCAAGTTCAAGTTATTGACGAAAATGTATCGTCAAGTGCGACCATTCTTTCTGGATCTTTGAGCTCCTCTGGACAATATCATTTTAGCTTTCGGGAGCTCGAATTTGCAGATAAGGTTCTCGATAGCACTGTTGAGGACAACGTCCCAGAGGAGACAAGTATTCAACAGGATCTAAGGAAAATAGCGGAGGAGAGCTCAGATGAAGATACAACATATGAAACCACTGTTGGAAGTCAGTAAGTTATGGAAATGGTTGCAAAGTGTTTCATTACAACTTATGTGATCTTTAGCAGATCTGTCGGATCTTTAGACCTAGATAAAATCTTTAATAGTCTGATTCATACTTCTGGATCTGTTGAGATAGATAAAATCCTTAACAGCCTGCATCATACTTCTGGCAGGAAAATGCAATTGTCAAATAAACGTTTTGTTATAAGAGACATAAATTATGAGAGTAAACAAGAGTTTTACTCATCTCATTGTGACTTTCAATGTCCCTGGAGCTGGATTCACATCCCAAATCAGATCAGAATCACCATCACAGGAGTCCACTGCAACAGCATATAGCAATGCTGTTTCTTTTTAATGTCATGAGCAATGTACCAGATTGGAGTCTTTGAAAGATGCGCAGGGGATCTGTCTCATGTCCATGAAAATTGCGCATTTGCAAATAGCACAGATAAAAATTTTGTGCAGCTGAGACTAATTACCATAAAAATATAGCATGTAACGTTTGGTTATACATTTCATAGCAAAACAGCTTGATGAACCATTGGGTTGGATGAATCATTTTAACAGAAATTGCGCAGCTGCAATTGCGGCAGATAGTTCATGTGCGCGGAGGATTTATCCAAAAATTCCAATCTGGGCAATGTACACAGAATATTAGTAAGATGCCCCTACCACTTAATATTTGGGCCTTTCCATCAAACTATAGTCACTGGCATTCCAAAAACTAACTGGAAAATTGACATGTTTGCATGAATATTTAAAAATAATTATTGAATTAATGGAAAACAATCCTTTTTGCAAATTCATAATTGTGTTCTCATCTACCTGTTTCCTATAACCTGCTGTATAATGTGTTTTCCAATACATAATCTTTCAAGGGGCCTAGCTATTGTCACACAGATTATGCATCTTTTAACATATACATAAATAAAATAAATTAATTTTACATATAATGATGTAGAAAATAATGTAAATGAAAGTTCTGTCCAAAGTTACTTCTTTATTTTCATCTTAAAGCATTTTGCCAGATTTCAGCATCTATATTCAATTTATCTTAGCTTATTTGGTCTCATACCCAAGATACATATTCCCTTCAGGCTGGACAGTCTCCGACAGTCTCCCCTTTGTTGAATGCACGGTTATACTTGACTACTTACTTCACAGTGTCATTTGAAATTTAGAAAGGATCCTCAAATCTGAGAGACTTTATCTGGTAATAGTATAATATTTGTAGTGATGAGTATAATATAATAATAAGTATAATAGTATATATAATAATCTAGAACAGTATAATAATCTCTAAATGATTCCCATTAATATAGAAATCAAGGTGCTCAGCCCTACTTATGGTTTCTGTTTTCTTGATGTTTGAGACCCTAGAACACTGTAGAGCCTTACCGCTGTTGGTGAATATCACAATATCTTAGAAATCATCAGTATTGTTTAGAGTATATCAGAGAATTTATGAAAGATAGAAAAAGAAATTGTATTATACATATCTATATAAATAAATCCTAGTATCATTGTAAACATACTTCGAACGATAACTGCAATTATTATATTGTGATTCAAAATTAGACAGCCATTTTACAATCTAAAAATGTAAATTATCTATAACTAAATTTGTAATTTTGCTTATTTTTCACAGATTTCGGGTTTTTATTTCCAACAAAATTCCTGATGTTCCTAATGGACTGTCTTTAACTGCAAAACTTTGCATTTTGGAAATTACTTTTACCATTGTATATTACCATGCATTCTTTTCAGCAACCAAACCACAACAATGTAAAGATATTTAAAAAACCATATATCCTAGTATTGTGACAAAGAAGTCCTGAATTACACAATTGTTTGCTGCAGTTGGCCTATGTTGACATTGAAGCACACTGTCAACTCTGGACCTACTATTTTATGAATAGAAAATCTGATGATGTAATATATAAAATACTAATGGATATTATAAAAAGTTGTGGTAATAACAACAAAAGCAACAAAGAGTTGTTGGAAACTTGGCATTTTCATAAATTTTGTGAATTGGAGATTCATGGTAAACCTAAGAAACAGAGCTTTTTTATTTATATTGTCAATATTGAAGCTTTAAATCTAAGGATAAATCATACTGCATTGATTTGTCATTTGTATAATGAGAATTTTATATCTGAAGCCAAACTGTATTGTACAGTCTGTTGCAGACTTTTGTTTGCAGTTAAACCTGGTGTTAGCAATACAGAAAATGCACTTTCAGACCATGGAAACCTAAGGAGCTATTAATAATAAATGTACAAAAACTAATTCTCATACATAAGAAACTTGAATTCTTTTTAATTATTAAATCCTGCTTAAACATCAAGTTAAGACAACAAAATTTATTCAAATACATAAACCAATGTTGAAGTCAAAATATTCAGCGCTATTACTTGCTCCAATTCCATGGTAAAGCACTTGTGCAACCACTGCATTGTTTATTTTGATTCATCTTTGACATGCTCAAGTCAAGCTTCTCTTTTTCTGGTTCTGCAAGAAAAAATCAAAATATGAAGATGACCACTTTTTATGTTCAAAAATCTGGAGATTTTTTAGATCTGTTGAGATAAAAATTTACCAGCTATTTCCAATAGCAACTTGCTGGTCGAGCAAAGTATAAATCTTCTATTATAAATTGTTTCTTATAACAGTTCACAACTTTTCTGTTAGAAAGCATCAAAATTACACAGGAGAAAGGTGACAGCATACTTCTTTGCTAAAGTGAAAAATTAATTTATATAAACTAGAAATGTTTTATCCTGAGGAAAAAATGTCATTAGATAAAAGATAAAGATTTTTGTTCAAACTCAAAAGTGAAAACAAGACATGAAGAAAAGTCACAAAAACCAACAGAAAAGCAAAACAATAAAACAGATACACTAATACATATGTAAAACAATATAAACTAATGTGTACAGTAATCATTTGCTTACTTGTTTCTGGTAATGGCATAGCATAAAACTCATCTGCAATGTCTTGAAATAGCTCATCTGGAAAGATGAAAAACCTGCAGTCAAAATGTCAAAATCTGTGTCATCTCAAGAGACTGTTTGCAATAATTTGAACTATAAAATGTTGGCATAATAACTGTAACATACCAACATTTTCTCCTGTCTTGCTTGATGTCTCAAACACCTTTGCACCAATTGAATCTCCGTATTCAACACTATCATGATAGTCAATGCCCCTGTCCTTATGTTTAAGCAGGTCCTTCTTTGTTCCACAAAGGTATATTTTGCAACTCTAACAAGGAAAGAATGCAATTTTAATTTATATGGGTAATAAAGTAGGGAAATATATGGGTAAATAAATTGGTGGAAATATAGAACGAAGTAAGTGATCTGAAAAACTTGGTATAACGAGAGAATCTTTAAAGGGGGCACTTTAAAACCCTATATGTACAAGGATGTGCTACAGCATAAGTTTAACAGCAGACACAGGATTTCTGGAAATAGGTTGTGTATGGATCTTCTTGGGGATCTTCTTGAGATCTGGCAAAGTGATAATCAGGACGTAAACCTTACAGGTTTTGTAAAGTTGGTTCAAAAGCTAACAAAAAATGTTTAAAACTGATACTGTCTTTCTGTATCAAGTAGACATGTGCCCCTTTGGGGCCTTGTTGTAGAATTGAAATTGAATGACTATGAATTGCTGAGCTTGTCATGCTTTAGAAACTAAACATGGATATTGTGCCAAAGCAAGCTGATTCCCTGTCGCAATTTATAAAACAAGGAACAAGTTAAACAACCAATTCACATAACAAAACAAAAACAAAGATTTGGTTGCCAAAGTGCTTGCACAATAAATCTTTTGGAGAGTTAGATTAATGATGCCTCCTATGATAATTAACTGGAATTAGGCAATCAATTCCTATTTCTGACTATTACAGGGTTGTTCCGCTTGTTACTGGGTTGCTACTCTTGTAACTGAGCTGTTCTGCTTGTTACTAGGCTATTCTGCTTTTTAGTGGGTTGTTATGCTTGTTTCTTGTTTTATAAACATCAGATTGATTGTTATTTGCCGGCTTTTTTGATGACTTTTCGTCAGATTATTTTTTAATTATTTAGCTCTGGAATATGAGAAATTCTGCAAGTTGCAGTCCTCTCTGCTTCCCAACTATGACAATTGGTCAACTCCTGGTGCATAACACGACAGAAGGAACATTGTCTTGAAGAAAATTCACATTTCCCCTTGAAATTTATTTGCAGCAAGGCTAATGAAAATCTACACACATAGTTGTACCCTATTAAGTTGTAAAACAGATAACTCAATACTTTCACCAAATTGGGCTGACTTTCAATCCCCATTGGGTTTTCCTAACATAAAGTCTGGAATTTGATTTCCTACTTTATCTGGATAAGTCAGACATTTGCTATTTGAATGACCATTGTTTCATCCCCCGCGCACCTTGAAGGTCCAACTTAACAGAATCCAACTCTATGTGTTGTTATAGAACTGTCACAGTATTTTGGTATGAATTAATTTTTCTACAGTGTTACCTCTTGGTGCAAATTTATTTCTTTCACCCAAAATTTTGCTCTTTCCCAGCTTGCTAGGTCTGTTAAATCTAGTGCAGAATGAGAAGAGAGTTATCACAACTCAATTCAAATCTTTAAAAACATCCTTTATAACAATGAACTAAAGTACAAATCTTCTTGGAATACTCCTCAAAACTGCAGGTTTTTAATGCAGTTAAGACATTTTAACTCTAGCTGGCAGCCACATGAACCAGAAATTTGACCGAGGATAAGCAATAAAAAAGAATAATGTGTACATTCCTCAAAAACAATCTGAGGACCATTAAAGTTTCCCACATTTCTGGCTACTGGTATCAGAATGGGCACATTTGAAAGTTTTTTTGAGGTCTAGTGAAAGAAGAAATTGTCTAGGGAGGAACAAAAGCAGTTGATGACTTCATATCAAAGACAATTTTTCAAATTAAAAAATCAGAAAACTTGAAGTTTTAACTTACAAACAATTTATTCAATCTTTAGTCTATTTTCACATCTAATCCCAATTATTTCAATTACAAGGTTCTGGTTGTCCTTAGCATAAGACTTCCCATCTCAAAATGGTCATTCTTTTTTGCAGTTGCTAAACTAAATTTTGATAAACTGCTATACACACTTGATTTCAGGTTTAAAGTCAGGCAATTATTGGAGTCAGAACTTAAAAGAAGGTGGACTAGTATGACAGAAAATATAACATTACAGTCTATATATCATGTATCCTTTCTTTTAATGCAAATAAAAATACATTAAACAGAAAAGCTTACCATAACAAACAATTGCAGCTCCTGCACCACGATAGTAGATTCTACTCATGGCTTCATATCTTTCTGAACCAGCAGTATCCTAAGGCCAATTTGTTGTAAAGGTTAATATTCAAATCAGAAGATGATTAAAAAAAGTGAATGATTTTAAGAATAACATTAATTGATGGCTTATGTCAAAGAAATGCCATATGGGCATTGTTCTCTACCAACGATGCTCACTCACTTTTGTCTAGTTTTCTTACAAGACAAACATATAATTTCCAAAGATAACTTCTAGTGATTTTTCAAAGATCTTACATGGTTATAATCTGCCACTAAATGCTTTATCAAAATATAAATGGAAAGTCTAACAAAAAGACATTATGCAGCCTGTAGTGTTTAGAAAGTTGTGGGAACAAATCTAAAAAAAGACTGGATCAAGCTTCTCCAGCCCAGCGTTGATTCCACATGGCAGCGCCCATCTTGAGACCCTGACGTAAGGGCAATCATGTTGGTTTTAGTTCAACTTGTCTTTTTAAAGTAAAATTCAAAGTAGTTGTTGAAACAAAAACTTGCAGCATTCTTGACGTAATACATTTTTGCCATGGTATAAAGTTTATGTAAGGGGGAGAATCCACTGTTCACTTATTTTTATTAGGCCTGTTGCCTCTTAGATTATTTAAGAATTAATGTTGGGATCAAAATAAAAGATGTTTCTTTTGTGGCTGTCTATTTCACTTGAAATACAATAGTTCTATAATCTTTTAGTACCATAAAGCTTGAAATCCTACATAAAGGAAGTAACATTAATAGTAGTTATTATGGCTTTTCAGTGCAATTTAAATGAGATGAATCTCAAGGCCTTGATGAAAGGTACATGGTCACCCACACACATGTTAAAATCTCTACCGCGTGGCCCGATGTGGCTTTACTTAAAAACTAGAGACACATGAAAAACCCTTTGAACAAACACTATCCCACAATTATTGTTTGATATGATAGGCTTATCAATCATTTAGAATCAATAGCTTGGATACAGGCCATTTAGCCCTTGCAGAATTTTTGTTTATCTACTTCTATTTGGGTATATACAAGGAAAAAATTATATTACCTTGCCTACTTGTAAACATTCTTTATCCTTAAAGACAGTTTTGTGTCCATAACTACTCCTTACAATGACAAAAGGGATATCTAGTTTTTTTTGCAAGATGGAAAGGTTTTGTGTAGGAAGACAGAGTTATTGAGTAGGATCCAACAAAACTCATCTTTATTAAAAAATATAGAGCAATTAAAAAAAAGAGCAATATAAAGTATTATTTGAAGAGTAAGATAAAGTTGATTTGCCTTAAAAATTCAAGAATAATGACTGAAATACATTTCTTTTCTATAAGAAATTAAGGTCAATGTTGAGTATTTCAGTTTCTTAACGGTACAGAAAAATCCAATACCCATTCTTTCTTAAGTGTTTCTTAACCTGAAAACAGCACAGAAGAGTGGAAACATATTGTACTGAAACTTTTTTTATCCGTCACCCTCAAAGTATATATGTTGGTTAATATAAAAAAGTATGCAGAAATTTTTAGTCGATCGAAATTTATGCGGGACATTGGAAAGCGTGAATGATTGGTTCTCTGTTATTGACCAATCTCAACCGAATTTTTCTGTTTTTGCTTCGAGAAATGCAGTTTTTTTAGTTTTTCCAATTGCCCAGTACTCTTTTCTTATGTAATAATTCTCATTCTTGCTATTTTATGCTATCTGTTATTCCTTGCATGCACAAGCATTCCCTATCCCATTGGAAGTTGTAGCAGGTAATACCATAGTTTGTTAACATTCGCTGTCAAGAGAAACTGAAATTTCCTTTTTATAACGATATTTATTAAAACCGTCTATCTTTTTGACACTACATTTTTCATAGATACCCTGGTATAGTAGTTAGTAGTTAAAACACTGGGGAGTGAGATGAAGTGGATTGAATGAGAATGTTGTTATAAACAACCGTGCGGGCACGGGTAATAGCCTGCGTCTGCCGGAAAGGCCTGCTTGGATAGGATTTATCATTATGCTTGTTATTATATTGATGGTAAAACAATTAATAGATTAACCATCCAGGTAAAAAATATGTGACACACATCAAATAAGAAAATCATATTTAATAAAACAAGTTATATGCAGCAATCAATCATACCCAAATTCCTAAAGTTACTGTTTTATTTCCACCTACAGTGAGAGATTTTGCACCAAAGGCAGCACCAATGGTCTAAAAGAAAGCAAAGATGTTAGTACTCAAGAATTTTGCAGAGGAACATCAATCCAGTAAAAAGATTTGATACTAAAAAAATTTCAATGGAAATCAATTATTTGCAAATCAGTAGTTACTTTATCACAGATCTGTACACTTTGAGAATGTTTTACCATTTCTCTTATTATGCAACTTTTTTTACTCTATTCGATACTAAAAAAATTTCAATGGAAATCAATTATTTGCAAATCAGTAGTTACTTTATCACAGATCTGTACACTTTGAGAATGTTTTACCATTTCTCTTATTATGCAACTTTTTTTACTCTACAAGCAGTTAGATTTTAATATAACTTAATTACTAAAAAAAGAAATACAAAAATCTATTCACAAATTGTACAGAGGCATCTGTCTCCATTTCCAAGTCTTAATTTCCTTTTTAAAAGCTGCAATAGACTCTAGATTTTTTGAATCACCATTTAGGGTATTCCACAGCATAGTCCCCCTAAATCTTAGGATGTTAATATTTTATTTTATTGTGCTAGACCTCTTAGGGAATTCATATAAAACGTGTTAGCGTAAGTTATAAGTAATTGATTTCATTTTGGAAATCCTCCGATATTCAACTGATGAATTTTGTCACTTCAGAATAACAGGTAAAGGATAAACTGCTTACTTTTTCTTGGAAATTTCTTAATTGATTTTTAGAACAAGATGGTTTAATTCTACTGGCTTTTTTCAACTCCTTGACCAGATATAAAAATTTATTATTTTGGCTACTCATAGGTGTGGGCAACAGCACATATTTAGCTGTGACCTACGAGCAAAGGCATTGGAGCTACAGGCAATGCTACCCATACAAAGAAGCATAGGTGCAAGCATATCCAAGTTTTCCAGCCTGATTTTTCTCTATGTCACATCAAAGCATCTGCCCCAGAACTGTTTAAAATTTTGATGATAAAATCCTTTTCTTAAATTGAATATCCATTGGGGGAAAGCGATGGTTTTGTTCGATTTCTACCTTGTTTTACCTTATGCAACATAACTGCATAAATTTTCAAATCTGGGACACAATTTTCAAAAATCTGGTGATAGCTACTAAATTGGTACCGTCTTGGTCTTCAATATCAAATAAAGATAAAATGTATATACAATTTTGACCAATTTCCATTACCAAACTTGGTCCTTTAAAATTTGGAATTTAACTGAAAAAATCCAAACAGGAAATCATTCTATGGTAGGATTTGGTAAATCCTGAGAAATCATTTGTTTTGTGAAAATCTAGTATTTTTTTACAAAAGTGAATTGCCTCTTGAATTTACGGTAAGTACTTTAGTTCAAGTAATTTATGTTGCTAAAAGTTTGAGTATGCCCTGTTTACAATGCTAAGGATTGCTTTGGACAATATCAAAGTGATATGGATTAATCTCCCTTTACACCACTCCTAGCTATCCTTAGCAAAACTGATACAGTTAACCATATTACTTTTGATCCTTTTAGCTTGAAACATGCAAATGATTTAGGAAATTGAAAAAACCAGTGTAAACGGGTGGTCTGTGGCTCTTTTGAAACAGATTAACAACCAGGCCTTAAATAAGCACACTAGTGAGGCTATTTCAAACCAACAGACTTGACTGGACTTATTTTTGAATGCCTGGTAGGTTGGAACTTAGTAGGATAACTTTATCAATTATGTTATAATGCCAGAGGAATGAAGGTTGAAGGATAGTTGCATGAATCCATTGTTATGAGTGATGGCAAAAGACCATGGCGCAGGCCAAGTTTTGCACCTCACAGATGAGGACTTAAAAATATTGAATTTGCTTTACTTTATTGAATAGAAATTTTCATACGCACTCACAAATCTGTACTGGTGTAAACAGAAAGGCTATCAGTAGCAAAAGTGATCTGGTGCAGTGTAAAAACTACATATATGCATAGCTCTTGATATATATCAAAAGTGATCCAAAGCAGTGTAAACAGGGCCTGATATAAACCTTCCAGCCTTGATGTTTTGATTCTAATTGTCGTTTTCCCATCACCTTTGGACCATTACATTGGAGCATATACATTATAATGTTTCTTACATTAGCATATGTAACATAAGGACCTTATATTTGAATGTTAATATCTCGAAAGTACATGTGCAAATGACTTTCGAAAATCTAACCCTTCTTGGAACAAATTACATGGGCCTGTCGTCTGCCTTCCTAAAACTCTAAAAGCTTACGTTTTGATATGGCAAGTCTTCATTGAATCTACTGTTTATGAAGCGCTCCACCAAACTTGTTTTCCCACCATATTCTTTTCCAAGCAATACAACTTTTAAATCTACTTTTGAAGCCATATTCTCAGTTTGCGTATGACGTCAAGTTTATAGCGTTAAGTAAGTTGCTTTGTATCAAGTTACTACGTCGGATGGCCTAAATCCGGCCTAGCTTGAATGCATTGGTATGAGCATCAAACGATTTGTATGCATTTAATGCTAGATTGTGACTTCTTTCTACTACACAACATTCGAGAAGATAACAGACGCCAACATCCTATAAACAATCTTCAATAATTGCAAGAAAAATCTTCTGGAGCAAACAAATGCCCATCATCGACACGGCAACCCTCAGCCTCGAGTCCATCCACCTGACTATGACGTCACTGACAACAGCACATCAGGCCAGGTCTACGCTGGTCGAGTTTCTGAATTCTGCTTACTTTTGTTCCTTCACTGGACCTTTAATAATTGTCAGGCAAGTTAAGATGGCTTTTTCACGAAAAAATAAATGCAGAACAGTGTTGAATATGCACAAAATTTTGGGCATTGAAAGTTAACGATCTTTTCTAAATTTTCCAAAGAGGGCCAAATAAGACCTAGGCTTACTTATTTAAGCAAATTAGCTAATATTCACAAAAGATATACTGTCGGTACTTTACTTACTCAGCGTAAACATATTTATAAATTAGTAAATATGGCAAATATGACAGTTTTTAGGGTATACCCCAACCGTATAGCGGTCATAGAGGGTTTATGTTTGTGGAAAAACTGAAATATTAATTGGATGTTGCATGACTTTACAAAGTCCTGGGAAATCTTTCTCAAATTGCATTTTTTACAGTTAACAGTTTTGAGGCCAAAGCATGACTTTGAATTCACATACAATGATTATGTAAACCGAATCCCTTCCCATGAAAACTTTAGTACATTCCTCTGATACAACTGTTGGAAAGAAATAACAGATAATTTCGCCTCATTATTCTCAAGGTATGAATTGTTAGAAGAAATCTTCTTTTTCTTCTTTGCCATTGGCCTTGTCCTAATTAATCAGGATTCGGCCGCCCGAATCCTCCTTTGCCATTCTTTTATATTTCCAGCAAGGTCAGCAGTCAGGTTCAAATTGCGCAAGTCTCTCTTGATGTTGTCTTTCCACCGTGTCCTTGGCCTTCCTCGCTCACGCTTGCCTTCCACAGTCATGCTTTGTATTTCCTTAGCTGGATTGCCCTTCTTAGCTCTTTCAAGGTGACCAAACTATCGCAAACTACTTCTCTCCCTGACCTTTTCTTTGATGTTGCATGCTCCTAGTTCTTTCCGGATGTCCTCACTTCTTTTCCTGTCGCTTATCACGCCCATAATCCTTCACAGCATTCTCATTTCAGTTGTTATAAGCAATCGTTCTTCCTTCCTTATCAGGGCACACATTTCCAGACCATATAATATTATCGGTCTTACGACTGCTTTATGCAGTTTGACTTTTAATTTTTTTTGGGTTCTTATGTCAGTAATCACTCTGGATAATTCTATTCACTTGCTCCAGGCCATTTTTAACTCTAGCCCTGATAGCTGTTTCCGAACCTCCTTCCTCGCTTACGAGTTAAAATACCTAGGTATTTAAACTCTCTAACTTGTTTCAGTACTGTATTGTTTCGATCATCTGTGATGTTGGCTCTTGCTTTATTTCTGCTGCTCACTAGGACTTCCGTTTTCTAGATATTGACTTTCAAACCATTCTTCGCCAAACCTTTGTACCAAGCCTCCCTTTTCACTTGCAGCCCCTCTTGACTTCACTATCCGCCATGAGCACAGATCATCGGCAAAAAGATTTTCCATGAAACGCAATTTCTACGGCGTAATGATGATGATGAATAAGATCAAGAACGACGATGAATAAGAAAGGACTCAGAACTGATCCTTGGTGTAAACCTACATCAATATTGAACTCTTCCGTTTGTCTATATGGTGCTCTCACTGCTGTTCTAGCTTTGTCATACGTTGCCTTGACTAGTTTTACCAATTTCTCCGGTACGTTTCTTTTCCTTAAGTACCAATAAACCAATTCTCTAGGGATTCGATCGTAGGCCTTCTCTAGATCCGCAAAACAGAAATATAGGTCTTTCTTCATTTCCCAATACTTTTCTTGCAGTTGCTATGAAAATCGCATCAGCTCTTTGCCTTGCGGCTCGGTATATTGCTCTTTGTCCCTCTTTCATTTCCATGTTGTTATATCAAACTCTTGTAGCCTCTTACTTCTACTTTGCTACAAATCGTTTTGCCTCCTTACTGAGGACACTAAATATCTTTTCCAGCAGCTTATCTGTGCGGTGTTTTTGCCATTCTTAGAAGGTATCTCTTTTTCCTTTGATGACATCCTGTACTTCATCATCGCACCACCATGTTTCTCTTACTTGGTGTTTACCACCCTCGTTTTACCACAAACTCCTTCTACTGCTTTCAGAATCACATCTTTTGTAGTCGTCCACTTCTCATTGCCCGTCTTTCCACAGAATGTCTGGCGTTTTTCTTTAACATTTGCTCGGTATTTAGTGATGCTATCTCCCTTCAACCATATGATATTGCGATATCACAGCTTCTCCAGGTATAGCCTTGCAATCCTGTACTAAACGTTGTTCTGTCTGACTTTCGTACCATGATGAAATCTATCTGTGATTATTATTCCCGCTTTTGTACATGACCAGGTGTTCTTCTTTTTGTCCAAACCACTTGTTAACTAATACCATATCCTTTGACTCGGTACTTTCCAAGACTCTTTCACCTTCTGCATTTCTATCCCCATAGCCTAAACTGCCATATCCTCGTTGAAAACCGTTACCATCATGAATGGTCACGTTTTGCCAACATGACCATTCAAATCCGCACCGATTATGAGTCTTTCTTCTGGTGGTACAGAACTAACTAGATCATCTAGCTTTTCAAAAAACTCATGTTTATCTTCATCGCTCATACCTGATTGCGGTGCATATCCTGAAATTATGCTATACGGACATCCAGCTATCACCAGTCTAACCCTGATGAATCAATCCGATGGTCTCTTCACCTCGAACACTTCCTGTTTCAGTTTTTCATCTGGGATATGACATCAACTCGATTCCGCTTATTTGCCTCACCAGAGTATAATATTTTGAAACCTTCACCCAATTCCCTCGCACTTTTACCACTCAATTTTGTTTCTTATACACATGCTATATTTACTCTGCGCCTCTCAAATACAGCCACCAATTCTCGTCCCTTTCCGGTCATGGTTCCTACATTGCACGTCACCACTTTTACAACCATTGGTTCTTCAGCCGCGGTCGTGGAGGCGAGCTCCGCCGTACCCCTAGTCAATTTTTCACGCCAACTGCGGGTCGCTGCCGCGCGTTTCCTGCGAGGCACGCCTTAGCATAATTTTCTCTTTTCTTTCTGGACTCAGGCATATTGGTTTGGGGCCGGACAACCGGATGCCCTTCCTGGCGCAAACCACTGCTATCGGCGTTGGACCCCAGTGTTTTTCTCGAGATACCATCTCTAGCTAGCTGGCCGTTGGCTCAAAGGAGCTAATCTGGCCTTTGAATCAAGCCAATCTCCGCATCGACACTGTATTGAGATGGAGGAGCCGGTTTAGTCGCCGACCACCCGACAATGGAACAGGTAGTATTGGTTTACATTGTACCAATGAAGAGTTTAAAATACCTAGATCCCTGGATCAAAAAAGATACCTGGTTATCTTTTGGCGAAGATGAATTATAACTGTCAGGGCCACGGCCACAAGATAAATTATAACTGTCATGGACGCCGGGGCACCTACCACAATGGAGCCCTAATTCGGGCAAAAAGTTTGGACTACGCTTTGCTTTCGCTCCTGGAAACGCCCTTTCTCTGAGATTGAAAGCGCAAATGGGCTTTATTCGGCCCTTTGTAGCGCGGTTGAAATGTTCGTCCTTTCTCAATCCTCCCCACAAACTTTTAGCTTGGGTTTCTTTTTTTATAAAATTGGTATGAATGTGGCGTTACCTATCTAGACTAAATCATCTAAACGTTAGTCACGCGGCAATTAAAAGTGAGTGAACTTTTGGGCCTCTCTTTCCCCGATATATTATATTCAAACAATTACCCATCAATTTTTAAAATCTTTGCAGTAACACTCTACGAGATTTTTAAGGAAAACAGGTTATTATCATCATTAAAAACCTTTAAGTAACATCACTTTCAATACTTAGCACAACCAAGTCATTCAGTTGACCCTGGGTTCAAGCCATGACCTGTCAAAGCTATCGTTCTATGTTATTTTTAAGGACCCACTTTGCTAGTCTGATAAATTGTCGAAAATTGTATCAAACATTAACAACACAGAATTACTTTCACGTACTTTAACATCCAATTTAGAGCCTTTTGGGGTTCTTATGAGAGAAAGCCTAGAATGACGCGCCATCGTTGAAGAATAAAAAAGCTCAGTTTTGAATACAGGCCCCTGCCAGTGCCTGGGCCCCAGAACACTGCCCAAGCTGTAACCCTTATCGGCGCTATTGATAAGTAACAAACCAACAGTCGAGAATCATTCAAAATAAAGGTTACTTAAAAAATAATTTTATGTCCTTTGTTCAAGCATTTTACAATCATAAAATTTTACAATCGATGCTCATTGCAATTATACACAAAATTTTACATTCCTTCAAACTTGTAGAATTAATTGTTTCCTTTTATACATAAATGTTCGTTTTTTTCATTATCAAAAGCATCCCCTGTTGAAGCCATAGATGCGCAAACGTCTCGAAAATTGATGCAGTGTAGATCAGTTTCACCACAAAACTTGATCCAATTTTTTGTCAGAGGCGTTGGCTGTAAGCAGTTGGATTTCGGATCATTCTTGATATCAAAAGGGATATAATCAGCTGCTAGAATCCCAGCTCTAAAAAAAAGTATTCGATCAAGAACAAACATTTGATCTCTTGAAGCCTGCTAGTTTTAATATATGTCAGGAAATTTTGCTTTGTTGTTATTATGCTAGGGAAGTGCCTGATGGATCTATACCAAAATTCTAACAACAGAAAAGAGGAAGAACATAAGAATAGGAGAATCTCTGATAAACAAGAATCTACTAGGAACAAAAATCTTCTAGTTCCTAAAAATACAAGCTGTTTACGTAAACATGATGTTTATGTAAGAATTGCAAAATTAAAAAGTTTTTATGGAGTTCTAAAGTAATGATGCCATGAATTGATGCTTTAAGTTTCGGAATATGGATCACAAAACCCAAAATAGCAACACGAAATTCTTTAAAATGTGCAAAATGAGCAAAGTTTTTATATGGCAACATTTTATATGGAGATATGGCCTCATTAGCACTGGCTCTGTCCCCATCAAACCACTGTGAATTGGTATTTGTTCATAACTTTATGAATCAAGTCAAAATAGCAGTAATCTATTAGCTAACATCAAACCTTTCATTGGCCATATCTCACCCAATGATTATACTGACATATTATTAACATATCAACATATTGCATCTTTAAGAATATGTGATCAAAAGTCAACAATTCTGAAAATAATTTTATGACGTCACATTTAATAATTCTTTTGCGCAAAGCGTGCACAAGCTTTTTGATAAGACATTCTTACTATTGTTCTCAACAAGCTTAATGAACAGACAATCGATGCACGGAGGGGGGGGGGGGGCGTCCTCACTCACACGTTCCACTGCTTAAAATACTATTGTGGGTTACATGCTTTTAGGTATAGTGACTGGAAATTTTACCTGCCAAGTGTCACCCGAAACATCATTCCTATCTGCGATGGACTGTACACTGATTTCATCACTTTAGGATACGATTTCACCTCTGCTGCAGTAGGCTTTTCTCCTCCAAGAAATATTCCCAAGCTAGTATTGGAATGTTTTGGGAAAAGAAAGTTTCCTAAACTATATACTACCAATGCACCTGTCCCACGGCATTCATGACCCTGTAAAGTAAAATGAAATGTTGCTATATTAAATCGAGACCTGCTATCTTTATTTTGCAAAGAAAGTTTTTGAAAAGTTATCTTGCAAAGTTATCTTGCAAAGAAAACAGTTTGACATAAAAGGAATGTATTAGCAGGAAGAGAATCAGAAAAGGATCGAGTGTTCTGTTCCTTTTATAAAAATGTTGTTTAAAATATCTATGCTCAGTATCATCCAATTTTTACGGATAATATAAGGACATTGCTTAGCCTCAGCGTGCATAATTGTGTCTCATTTTTCGGTAGTTGCAAGTTTTGGGATATTCCTAACAGATAATTGCAGAACTGATATATCTTGTTTTTCAAAAAGCGTTGTTTTTATTCAAGAGGAGACGATGCACTGCTAAACACATATCAAATTTGAAAAGAAAATGAAAATACTTTAAGAATATGCTCAGTCTTAAAACGAAAATATTTTTTACAAATATCCAGGAGGATTTTTATAGCATTCTTGTTAAAAAAGTGTGTAATTAGCTAGCCATATTATTGAAAAAGGCGTGCAAAGAAAAATCAGTGAGGGGGGGGGGGGCTGTTCTACTGCACTTCAAAACCTTTGCCTTAGTATCTTCTTGCCCAATCGACAATAACCTACGAGGATTCTATCATCTCTAGTGGAGCTGTAGCTCCCCAGCCCAGAGTTAACAGGCAAACATTGTCGTTACATTCTTGGACGGGTGTTGGAATCATGGTTGGATAAAGATTACTTTTTACTTTTGGGGAATGACAACACAGAAAAGTTTCCACTTGCTTCAACGAGCAAGGCATAACTCTATTTGACCTTGAATGTTCTAAGCAGATGTGAAGGAGTGCATGAAAAGTCACCACGACATTTTTAAAGGCAGGGTATTTTCATATAGACGGACGCGCTAAAGTTTCTTTCATAAAGCAATTCGTTGCCTGCGAAAACGAAGATAAGTTCATCATTATGCGTAGATTTGGTACCTGTTGATGAAGATTCAAAGATTGCAACATAAATGTTAGAGGAATTTTTCACCTGCAGTACCAGAAAACACATAATTCACGTGTGTCTGTATGTGTTGGCTAAAATGTGGCCAGGCGAAAAAGAACCAAATTTACAAAGAACATGTAAAAAGCTAGCATCCACACAAGCTTTTTATTTCCTTTCACTTTCGAAAGATCTGACTGGATTTTCAAGATGCACCAAATTTTTTATTGATCGGTTAAAAGTCACAGATACTCGTGATGCAAGATTTCTGTTACAACTTTTCACACTTAAAATAATTTTACTGAAAGTTTCTTCCTTCCTTTCCAACAAACATTATGACTTTAAATGAATTTTTGCGCAGCCACAGTTCCAAGTTTAATATAAATTCTCGGATCCTGATCATCAAGTCCTTGATGAAAATAGATTTTAAAAGCTAAAAGACATTTTGAAGGAAAACTTCTCCAACCATAAAAAACAAAGAGGAAGAGAATTGGGAAATGGAAACTAAAATTACCTGAATAACATGTGGGTGACCACCCATAACAAGAGTTGCTCCAAAAACAACCAATGACTCAGCAATTTCTCTCATCCCCAATGGAGGAACAAGCAAATATTCCTGGCTCCAGTGCATTAAAACAACCGTAAAATCGACGCGTTTTGACAACCGCTTGATATCGTTACGAGCAGTGCGCTTATCGAAAACGGCTGGCCCCAGTCCAAAAATATAATTGTCACCTTCCGTAGAGTCGTGGCAATACTCATTTTCACACTTGTATGTATTGCAGCCTTCAAAATTTAGGCAATAGGACAGAAAACCGATTTTCAACCCGTTAACCGTCTTAATAACAGGCTTTTGACTAGTCTTTTTGTTTACTCGATCTTGCATTCCAACGTATGCAATGCCTGCCTTCTTCAGTGCTGCAATTGTGCTTTTCACCCCAGCTACTCCAAAGTCAGCAAAATGGTTGTTCGCCACTTGCACAATGTCAAACCCTGCATATTTTAGCCCCTCGACAGCATCAATGGATCCATAATGAGATATAAGTTTACCATTGTCAGGTACCTTTTCAATATAAGCTCCTTTCAGTAATGGAGACTCCAGGTTTGCAACTCGTAGGTCTGCTGTTGCCAGTAATTTTCTAACTTTTTCGAAAGGCCTTTTATAATCGCAAGTCTTTTCTACTTCTGCAAAATACTTCACTGGACCGTCAAAAGATATGTCTCCCCCAAATATTATAGTAACTGTCCGATTGTCGTTTGTGCCACTCCCTTTTTGGCCAGCCTGGATCAATTCTTGATAGCTAAACAATACAATGACGATTAAAATGGTTGACTTCATGATGTCAGAAACTGTGAAGATTGATCAATGATTTGTTTTCAAAGTTTAAGCATCTCATGATAACTTGTTCTAAATATTTATCGTAGAGAGTGCCTGCAACCAGTTAGTTTGCTGGTCTTCTTTGTCAAGCGAATCCAAATTTAAATACGACTACAGCGGGTTCTTAATAGTTTTAATGTTTCAAAAATTATTCACAATTAAAACTCCAATAAGTCCATTCAATTGCAGGTGGCCTTCTGGTATTGCCCTAGCTAGTTATATCCATCCTACTGTTTGGGTTTTATTGGCCGATTGACTTTGATTCGAAGAAAAAATATCAGGGGATGGTCTGGTCTATTCTCTTGGTAGAAAAAGATCTATTTTTACGTTCTTGATAGCAAAGACCCGTTCCTTGACTTCCTATTGAGCGTTGTTTGAATTGAAAACATTTTAGTGGGGTGAGACCCATAATACGGGGGTGCAGTGCTAGGGGGCTCAGGGGGCTGGGCTTCCTTGCTCATGCACAAAATTGGCAAGTTTCTACTTTTACTATTGTTTTTCGCAACATTTTGTGCAAGAGCCTAGTTGTTTTGATAGCACTACACCACTGCCCATAATATGCTTTTTAAAATGCTACGATTTCTTGTTATCTCGTCTATCAACTGAATATTATAATCAAAAACAGCAATAAAAACCATCTACTCTTTAAAAAGCCCTCTACCTTTTATTGCAGCTTAACTAAACTTGTGTCTTTAATCTTCACTTTTTATTCCATCACTTTGAAAGGTGCAGTAGAATGGCAAAATTAGCAAATGAAATTTTACAAATAGCTAAAGAATCTGACTTAACATGACCCAAATAAAGCTCAAGTTACTTGACAAACCATTTTGTTTCTGAGACACTGTGATGATGATTGGGTTTTGCTCTCAGAGGTAAAACGTCCCTTAACAGTTTTACATTGTGTGAGCGATTAAAGAAGCTTCCGAAATTTTTCTTGTCTTTTGCATCTTTCCCTCTTTTGCATCTTTCCCTTTTTCCCTCTTTCCCTCCTTTCCTCCTTTCCTCTTTCCCTCTTTCCCTCTCTCCCTCTTTCCCTCTTTCCCTTTTCCCTTCTTTCCCTCCTTCCCTCTTTCCCTCTTTCCCTCTTTCCCTCTTTCCCTCTTTCCCTCTTTCCCTCTTTCCCTCTTTCCCTCTTTCCCTCTTTCCTTCTTTCCCTCTTTCCCTCTTTCCCTCTTTCCCTCTTTCCCTCTTTCCCTCTTTCCCTCTTTCCCTTTGCCCCACTATTCTAACCCACGATTCTAATTATCATTGATTAAATCGGCCATTGTCGTTCGCAAGTAGGTTTTCACCAGTTTCAGTCGGCTAGATGTCCGTTCATCTTTAGCAACAGTGACTGGGGCTGTCATCAACAAGCGATAACATATTTTTGAAACTGCGAAAATTCTCTTCCCTTCTTCTGAAAATCTGGCTGCGTCAGCAACAGATGTTAGCTCTTTGCCAATAATTTTCCCATGGCTGATGAAATTCCCAAACTCTGCATGTAAGCATTGAGGGTCAACTAAGACATTTTCAGGAAACATTTTCGCAAGATCATTTATTTCTTCAATGGAAGGTTATTTCGATGGTGGCTGCAAGATAGAAGGAGGTTTTACTTCTCGGAGAAATTGTGACAATTTGAAACCAAATTGCTGTATCTGCACATCAAGAACCTCATAGAATTCTATTTTGAAGAATTAGACGATGGTCGTTTCTGACATAAAACTCATTATCTTTGTCAAAGTGGAAAATCGAGAACCCTTTTTCAAGTTTGACAAAGATAATCCGATTTCCGCTTGGAAATTCGAGCGCGCTGCAGTTCGTGTGTGAAGTGGTTGTTTGCTGTTAGGCTAATGTAATATGGTTTAAAACAAAGAATGATTTGACTTTGGGTATTCTATGGCACCAGAAAAATGAGTTTATTGCTAATCATTTCCGTTTTCCAGAGCTCGTGCTGCTCTGGGGCAGGACGACGGAACCTTTGAGGGGTTAGTGAATTTGGTTCAGTGGCAATTTGGGTGGGCGCAATGGAAATTCAGCATTGTTTACTAACAGGCTTAACCCCTTTTCTCTACGAAGAATAGAGATTAAATGTGTCAGAAGGTCTCTCTAAAATCTTATTCGGTGCGTCTAGAGTCAAAGAGAACATAACAGGGCAATTTCATTGAGATTTTTTTGCAGAATGAAAGCAAAAATATCATTAGAAACCAAATATGAAAGCTCCGTTGATTTGCTTATTACCATCGAACAGAATACAAAACTGTTGCCATGACAAATTCTACAACCGTGCATCAGATGGACTCACTATTTTTTAAGGTTACCTTACCAATTAGATTGTTTAGTAAATATTATATATGCTAGTTTTTAAATGGAATAGCAATGATGGCGAAGGAGCATTATCTAAATCTAGCAATGGATGCATGAGAGCGGGTAATATTATAATATACTAAAATACGAAGTGCTTTGTACTGCTTGTAAAGAAAACATAAAGTTCTTCTAGCATATTAAACATACCCTTGATGATGGGACTGGCGTTTTAGCTCTATAACTGCTCCTGTGTGCTTGACATGAAGTATACGAGACAACCTTGTGCAACCTTTCATGCAGTTTCTGTTGAGCACTGCTGCATCTGCCAGACATGGATGCGGCTAAATCGTAGGATTGAAAGCACAGCTCGTCTGTATTTAACGAGTGACTGTTCGATGCACCAATGATGTTCTTTGCTGTGTCTTCACCGGCATGTGCTTCAAGGCTTATAGTCGTTCCTTTGTATTTGTTGTGCCAATAAATCTGCAAACCACGGTCCTTTGATCAGATTTCGACTTACCTGGTGTTGTATCCGTGGAACCATTGAACACTGCAGCCAGTTTAATATCTAGAATAATTTTTTGACCGACTTGATCTGCCAAGAGCATATGACATTGCATGCCCTAGATGAACGACTGTTCAGTTATTAATCTAGCAAAGGACAATGTCGAGCTACCAAATGAGAAATTTGAATGAAGTTTCCATTCTGTTGCAATTTTCCATGGAAGTTTTATTCTGTTCAAGAAATGTTTGATACTTCTTTTTTTCTGGCTTTCAAAAGTAGGTCCTTCATTGACCGTGACCTCTTTTGAGATGTCAATGTCAGCATCACCGAGCATCCCTATCTTTCTCTTTCGCTTCAAACCCATCAACACTATACTCCAGCGCCTTGTTTTCTCTTATATTTCCTGCATCTGTTGTATTTTTTGTGACTCCATAATCGCTAGTTGAGCCATCGTCTATCTGTTCGCAGTTCTTTTGTTGTTGATGCTTCTGCTCTTTTGATGAAGTTACCTAATAAAAAGTTTAGTAAATTAGACTCGAAGATGGCTTTTATGCATAGTTGTTCTACTTTTATTCATCATTAAATTGGTATCAAAATTCTGCAGTGATCAGTTTGAGATTCTCTCAATACTAATTACATTGCCTTTAGAACATACCAAACTTAGGTGGCGATTGGGCGATTGCCCCTACAGCACCCCCCACCCCCAGTAACTCTCTAACTTTCCATTCTTGAAACAATAAGCTATTGTCCTCCTTTAGCTATAAACAAAGGCTTGCCTCCCTTAGCTAGCTTCCCTTGGAAAAGGCCATGAATAAAAACATCCATGTTTATTCATTTTAGATTTGTTTGAAATTCAAAAAATCAATAAACAAAAATCATCATATCTGATCGTGTTTGATTGTGTTTGTAATGGCATCTTCAGTGTCATTTGGATTCTGCTCATATCGAGTAGCAATAGAAAATAGATTCTTTGAAGCGCCATAAGATTCATATAGAATACTTTTCGTTTTTAACAGCAAGTCTTTATGATACCTAATGCTGTGAGATCTTCGATAATCATTGTCAAATGTTTCATTACAACCATTTACAAGACAATTCAGTTTAGTTCTTTTCCTCGCAATTGCAGCAACTTTTTCGCTCATTTTATTAAACAGACGCAGGCCAGCTAGAGAGAAGGAAGTTGACGTTACTTAGCACAGTATGATACCACCTATAGGTATATATAGACTATAGTTTTTGATGACATTTGAAGATAACAAATAAACGTATTAAATATTTGTATCGTTTAGGACATCTTGGGAACAACCCTTTGCATAAGCCCCCCCCCTCCCTTAAGTATCGTATTGATATACCATCAGGCATTAATTTAAGGAATTTTCATCACTGCATAAAACAGTGTAAATCGCCGATTTTCGGGGCCAAATAGGGTGTGGCTAAGGGTGTGACTAAGTTTTGACTGGACCTCTCCTGGACAGAACAAAAACGTTTTACATTATTTGCAGGGACACTTTCAATGTAATTGAGCCTAACTACAGCTAATACTGATTATGTATCCATCTTACCAGAAAACTCCTTTGCAGCATAGTTTTTAGACACATTTACTGACAGAAAAGATGCTATATTCTACATAAACGTTTAATTTGTTTGCAGATATGTAAGCATTTTATCAAGTTGCAGATAAAGTGTTGTTAGTTTATCCGGGGGGATAGGCTTAATGCTCGTTTTTTAGGAGAGTCTTGAAAGCCTACTTTCTGAATATGAATCAACGGTATAACATTGGTAATACAGGGACGGCGCCACGAAATTGAACCTGGGGGGGGCTTAGAATGAAGTTTAGTGATATATGAGGACCCACTGTTAAATCACACTTCAAATGAGATCTAACGCGTGAGTTCTAATCAACAACGTTTAAACTAGTGAGCAGTAAAGAGAAAGTTTAACACAACTTACGATCTTTTACTCGGCTGCAGTCAGCGTAAGATGGCAAATAGGGTCGGCAGGTTTCCAGCAAGAACAACTAAATTCTTTCGTAAACACAACTTCGATATATGAAAATCAACAAATCTATATGCTACTTCTTAGCTACTCAGTTCTTCGTCGAGTTCGGCTCTTCGGTTCCTCTTCTTCGTCTCGACATTTTTCCAACTCCCTCTAACTTTTACTCAAGCATTTATATAAACTAACAGATACATACGACGAAAATAGAAAAGTCCATATAAGGTAAAATAATGTCGTCTAGCGACCCACGCAATAAACAAAACATCGTCTATAAATATAATTAAATAATTGTCAATTGAAGCAAATGACGTAATGGCGTTGAGGGGTTTCCGTTATCCAACACCACCATGGTTGGGTATGACGCGAAAGAAAATTTTTGAAATGGGGCTTCCTAGAACGGCTAAAAATGCATCTCCCAGACTAAAATTTAACAATTTACTTTACCGCTCAGATAGAACAATTTGATGCTTCTCAGAAAAACATCGATCACTGATTTTTAGGGAAAATTTGGGAGGGGAGGAGTCGTGCTAAAACTCTAGTAACAGACGTTGGGGAAAGAAAGAAATGGTGATCTTTGGTTCAGAGTGCACGTCGATGTGAATAACAAAAAACTGTTGTATCGATTGAAAGAATTTTACTTCCTGAACAGAAATATGCATCTTCTTTGTCTCGAGTATTTTCAGTAGGCCACGTTTACACATCCAAAATGTAAACATTGCAATGATATACAAACAAGAAAGTTATCTACTGAATTAATGCAAATAATAGAAAAATAATAGAAATGTACCTAAACGAGTTAGAAAAAAGATAAAAGAAAATCAAACAGTATTTAAACAGTTTATTCTCTTTTTATTTCATACTTTGTTTTCAAAAATAAGGAAAAAGAGGGTCAAAAAATTTTTATCTCTGAAGAAGTGGGGGGGGAGGGGGCTTTAGCCCCAAGTGGCATCGTGCCTGAGATACATAAAGATAAAATTTATTTGGTTATAATAAAGAGTAGGAAATGGCCAATGAAACCTAACAGCAAGCATTGATGCCTCTACTTGAAATATCTGTTCAAAATGGGATGCGCAAACTCATGCTGAGTTGGCTGAGTTTTGCCACGTCGTATAACTAGCATACGGATTTTCAAATTCAAAGCACAGCGTAGATTCAGATTTATTGCTACACACCCTATAGTATATAGTAATATTCTCCGTACTCGTTGTATACGACCGCAAGTTTAGCACTACCCTGGGTACCAGACCCATTTTATATGAAATAAAATAGAGAGTCTGGTCTAGTGCGCCCCATTCTCGTTCTGGTGTGCTGATATTAACCAATCAGGAGCGAGTGTACAGATTTCTGTACGTTCAAAGTTCACAGCGAAACAATAAACTTAGCTCTGGTGTAAAACATTGAACAGAACAGAACATAAATAAATGCTAGCGACCGTAACGATGGAGTTTGAAGATGCTGTTAAAACTGGACTCAAAGAAATTTTCCCGCATGTTGTGGGACTGAACACAGAACAGCATTGAAAGCCTTGTTTGTAAAAAGAAGAGACACCTTCGCCATATTGCCAAC